GAGAATGACAACACTGGTTTTATTTTACTTGAAATCGATGCAAACTATAATTCTCTGTCAACTTTAATCATAACTCCTCAGCGGTGTTCATTCATGACCCCGCCTTAAAGGACTAGACTTAAGACTTTCGGCATTGTGTGAAAACGCTCAACGTCTAGACCACTTAACTGGTATCCAGTGGTGTTACTGGTTAACTTCAATCTATTCACTACATTGAGAAACCTTTGTTCATTGCCTGTAGTGGATAATTGCCTCACATCTGACATAAATTGAACTCCTTTCTTAGTTAAACAGTTAAATAAAATCATATTTGATAATATTTATTTTGAACGTTTATTCAATATCATCTATTCACAGTTTATTCTATTCTTTACAATTCAATGACTTTTCTTTCCCTTCTATTCTTTTCTTAACTGCATAGTTACCATCACAAAGTTTGAAATCAGATTCACGAACCGCTTTAGTATTGACATTGAATAAAAGTCGAATTTCTGCATGTCATCAAGATTCTGTTGTTAGCCAAGGAGAATTTACTGGTGAGATCATATATATGTTTTTGTTATCTTTCATATATACTAGATTATTATCAGTTATGTTTAAAGTCTACCTCCATGTTGTTTCATCTATCTATCTACTTCCTTACGCCTGTTACTCTTAATGGCGTATAGGCCGCCATCCAGCATTCTCCTACCTACTGTATCTTGAACCTTCTTTTTCCAGTTCTACCTAATTACTTTTATCTATCCTACTGTGTTTATTTTTCAGCATATACTTTTAAATTAAATTCATATTTCAATTTCTTTTTTTTTGTTGATAAAAAAACAAACTAGATTTCTGTTTACGTTTCGATGATGAATTTAATGTTGGCTCTGATGATTGGAAACCAGACAGAAAACGATCAACAATTGATGTGAAAGGAAAACGTCATGTTGTCATATTGAATGCATGTGTTGTTCCTAGTGGAACATTCAATGTCTATTGGAGAGATTTAGGTAAATAAACAACTACGAGTATTTTCATTGATAATTTAGATTTGATTTTAAGTTAACCATACTCTTTTTTCTTTAATTATCTATGCTTCTTAACAACATTTAAATAAGTATATATTTTCTTAGTAACTTGACGATACACTACTTTGTACTTTCATTACAAAAACTAGTTTCTGTACATTGACTAATCTGCAATAACTTTATTTGTTTGTGCGCTTTTTACACTTATTTATGATCGAGTACTTTTTAGTGTAATCCTAAAATCAATGATTCAAATCTACTTCTTTCTTAGGTAGTTTTGAAAAAAAATATTCATATAAAACCTCTTAAATCAACTGTTAAATTGGATTTATCACGTTCATCTATGTTTGATTGAAAATTTCGTTCATTGAAAGAACGTTTTTCTTATTTTTACAAATATTATTGTTTCCACTTTTTTACATAATTTCAACTATAGATTTTCAATGTTTTCTCTGTGAGTGCATTTCAGGATGTTTTAAAGGATATATCTGTAGTGTGACTAAAGGCTAGTTGAACTGCTCCCTAAAATGTTCTGCTCATCTATCCAATATCCTAGTTTGAGAATGACTAATAGTCCCATCTTTCTCTGAGAGTCTCGGTAATAGCTTGAATAATCGTCTTATGTTGTCTATCGCCGCTTCCTTTACCATCTCTTTTACTTTGCTACTCACCAGTGCTTCCAATCAGTGCGCAGCTTTTTTTATCAACCTGTGTTTCAGCTTGCTCCGTTCCTCGTGTTCAAAACCTATGAGTTCTGTAGATGCCACTACAATTCACTGCTTCTGCCTAACCTGTCGGTTCAACTTGCTGGCATATATCACTCTTGTTTCCACAGCTTCCTGGATATCATTCCAAAATGCCATCGCTTACGAGTCTATCTAGCTCCTTTGCCAGTTGTTTTTGAAATGCACTCTTGGCTTTGTTATCTCTAAGTAAAACTCTTAAGTGCTTGCTTGCTGTATCTTTCTTACATTCAGTAAGCCGTTGATAAATATGTACTCTAGAACGAGCGGAAGTTTTCTGTAGAGCCCCTTCATCGGTGGCCGATAACAATGTGGTCTATTTGAGTCCGGCGTTAAGTCTGTTTCGGATATCGCCATGTCAAAAGATGTTTATCTTTGTGTTTATAGTTGATGTTCGCTAGAAATGGATGGTAATCTGAGCATAGTTGCAGCAGTTGTTCACCGTCATCTGTTTGCTGAGCCACAATACTATGAGATCGACCCAGGTTTATTTTGGTTTCGTCTAATCTATCTAATGGAGAAGTAAAATCACCAGCCACTATTACTAAATCAGAGTCCTTAGCTTTTTGAAGAAGATTGGAATATTTTACGTAAAATCTATCTTTTACCTCACCTGAGCTGCTTTCACTGGGAGTGTGAACAGAGACAACGGCGACTGTCCCTATCTTTCCGAGTTCTCTTTGCCTTATTTAGTTGGACAGCTCAAAAGCGGCTGTCTACTGGAATCTGGTCTAGGAAAGTTATTCCTCCGTTTGAAATTAATACTATATTTGCACCATTTAGTCCACAAATAGTAGCAGTAGGGTGCGCGAATACACGAAGTGTACGTAGTGACGGTTCTCGCTATTGACGAGGTGAGGTCAAATGAATAACTGCACTTGAATCCTGTATGCATGTTTCGGTGACGTACCATAAATCAATGGCTCAAGATTCTTGAATATTTGCTAAGGGAAGCCTGTTTCATCTATCATTATTCATATTTAGTGGTTGATAAAAATATCCTGAACCTCAGATTCTATCTGCTTGAGACCCATCTGTAATCTTGAAAGAACTAGCATTCCCCAATGTACTAGAATTCGGATCACCCACGTTTTTTTATTCTGAGACGTCACAACGAAGTATTATAATAAAGTGAAATAGTTTTTCCTATCATTTTATGGATCACAATTACTGTTCACTAATTCACATTTCAGCATCATGAGTAAACCTGTTGAAAACGAATGTTTCTATTTATTTTAATTAATCAATATTTTTGAAGTGTTCCTCTCTTGTTCTGTTGTGATAAATATTTTAAAAGCTAATTAATACAAGCTAACCAATTAAATTTTATGCTATTACTAGAAAAACGTGGCCGGTGGCATATAGCTATTAATTGGCAAATGCGTGGTCTAGATTTTCACTTGGATGATAATATTGGTCGACGTCTGAAAGCACTATTTACTATTCTTACAAGAATGACCGGTTATAACGATGCAGCCCCTTTATTGCCAACTTCTGGTGAAGAAGAAGAAGAAGAGGGATATGAAGAACATCAGTCACATGATATAATAAATACACAAGAAAACCAAACAATCCTGCCGTCTGAAAATGAACACCAGACTCTACCATGCTCTAATGAAAAACGTTCATCTCTTGTATCTTCTGTTTCAACTAAAAATCCCACTGCAGATGTGGACATTGCTTCATTGGATCGTTATCGACATACAGCTATGTAAGTATAAGATACACCTTTATGAATTTATCCTAAAGCAGTAAATTTATTGTTTTATAATAGGAATTCACCGTTTGTTCTGAAGTTAATTCTCATCCGAAGCTAATTTCGGTTTAAGAAATACTGTAATGGACAAGACGAAACTTTTATCTTTTCTTAGTTTGGAGTTTCTAAACATTGTGTATCCACAGATCGACAGGATACAAATCTCAAAACATTCAAGCAGTTATTAAGTAGCAACAACTCCTAACTTATAATCACTGGATCTCAAATTAAAACCTTGCCTCACTTTTGGCTCTACATTGGAGTACCTATCGCTAATCCTCATAACTATCAAATATATCGCTTAAAGTTGAGTAGATAAACATTTACTTGGTAAATGTATCACTTTTTTCTTGTGTCATCATCGAAACCCACTCATTTCAATACTTAACTTTTTTTAAATAAATGTTATCGTCACGACGTGGTGTCAAAGAAGCTTCCATAGTGTTTTCCTGTCCAAGCTATCGAATGCTTTCTCGTAGTCAATGAAGTTGTTGTATGTTGGTGAATTCCATTCAATCGATTGTTCCACAATGATCCATAATGTTGCAGTTTGGTCGGTACACAATTGATCCTTACGATCGTGGTTGACCATATAGCTCATATCAGTTTGTGAGGGATAAAATTCAAAAAACACCATAATCTTCACGATATTATTTCATTTTTAATGACCTTAATTTCTTAAAAAAAATTCAAATCCCTATTTTCATGTAATACTGTTTTTGTTTTGTTTTGGTTAATCAATAGATCTAAAGAGTTTGATGCCAAAAATACTCTGGATCATTCACATTTTCGAAGTATGGAATTTCATAAGCATAAATTAGATTTATCAGATTTACAAGCTTTCAAACGTCAAAAATGGAATACACTTCGAAAGAAAAAATCCGGACATGTGGTCAGTTTCATTATATTTTTTTTTCTTTTGATATTTACATTTGAATAATTGTTTTTAATGAATATAGAATTATGAAACGATGATGGACAATTTTTGTACAGCGTTAACTATTCTTAATTTTTTTATTCTTAGGTTTCTTCTTTTCGATCATAGGTGTCTCCAAAGCATTGCTCGTATATGGTGGGACACCCGAGTGAGCAGCGCTGTTATTAGGAATCGGGTGCTAGGTAAGAATGGCAGATCAATAGATTGAGTAGTATTGAAACTTCGTCGGTTGATGTGGGTGGGACATGTATTACGTATGCCTAACCACCAACTGCCCGTTTAGCTATGTTTTGCCATGCAGGAATAGTTGGAAAGAAAACTGGGGGCGGCCAAACCAAAACATGGCACAAATCCATGAAGTCACTAACAAGTGGACTGAGTCATGTCGGTAGGTGTTGACTACCTGGTTGGAGCCCGCAAGACGAAAGTAGTGAATCGTTATAGACCCTGAATGACATGGCTCAAAACCGTCTGCAATGGCGCAGGTGCATTCATTGTGTTCTCTCAAATCCTCATCACCTTTATTTTCCTTTTTAAGTTTATTTCACCAGCTTATACTTCTTGAATAATATCTTCTTATCTTAACCTCTCCGACTACTGCTAATACCTTTACTACCCCTACTACTATTGGATTTGAATTGACAATTGCATTTGTGCTAATGTGGTATGGCAACATGAAGTGATATACGTACGTACGAAGTTCTACGCTGCTATTGACTGATTGAATTTTCTTATTCATATTCTTCGTTCGATCAATTTGACAAAGTAGGTTAGTGTTAGATTTAGTGTACACATTCTATTGGGTAATTTTAGTTTGTTAATGTGGCCTTTTTTTTGTTAAAAAATTTCAAATGAAAGTATATGCAATTCAACAAATGTTTCCCATGCTTTATGATCTGTTGAATAATTCGTCTACACAATAGGAGTATATTAAATTAGTCAATGTGTATTGTCTTTTTTTTAATGAATTAGTAGTTTAAACACATTTGATCATTAATTTCTCTACACTACACCCGAAGTTCAGGGTCAATCACGCAATCGACATGGTTTATAGCTAGCTAATATATGAATGTGAACTTGTAGTGCCTCCACATTTATTTGCATCCGCTTACATTTAATTTGCTTAAGCCCTTTCGATTAATTTATTTAACCAAGCCATTCACGCAGCAACAACTTATATGTACCATTGGCTTTTATCATTGTGTGGTTTGTATGAGCTGGTATGACTGAGCATTGCGTAACGCCTACGCGCGTATGCATCCTATTCGCTTTAATATTAATCACTTAAATATCACGATGGCTCAGACATTTTCCTTTGTTTATATACGGACATTTTAATCTCATTAATTCATTCGCCAATTCGCATATTCGCTCGCTAGTGTGCCTGTCCGGTCTGCTTGTGGTCTGTTATCCAATACTTCGAATTCATCTTCTGATTTATATTAACCGTCGGACGCCATTTAGTAACGATTGTCTGAACGAGCTAATTACGAAGTTTAAGAACACCTCGAAATCGGCACACCTGACAAACTTATGGAAATTTAGTACAATTTTTTCTTATCTCGTTTTTTAAAACTTATTAAGATATGATTGTTTGTTTTGATTTTAACTGATAAATTTTTCTAGTTATAATTAGTGGGAGAGAAAATTAAAAAGAATGTTTCATATTTTTCATATAATTCGACGTTAAGAAAGCTAAATATATTGAATTTACATGATGGATATTGGTGAAGTTGTAAATCAACATTTTGAAATTTAGGTTACTTGTTATTTTATCCATTAATTGTACTCTATTGGATTTCAACTCAATGATCTAGAGGTTAAACGGTCACATGCGAAAATGAAGTTCCTGGTAGAGTGGGATTGTGATTGAGCACTCTCAAGGAGTCTCATAACTGAAACAAAACGTTTATCTAGTGCTTTCAGGTTTTCAATAGTTGTATAACTAAAAACAATGAACAAACATCATGTTTTTTTATCTGTTTATTAGTTTCTTGGCAGTGCAATACACAACTGATTTCTCCTCATAATTGCTTTTTACGAACATTCATTTTACTTGCTCATATAATCATATATATATATAATAATTGTAACGAACAGTTCTTTGTCCATTTTAGACTAGAGGTTTAGCATTACGTGCACATAATTCACTACACACTGATCACTATACTACAAATGAATTCAATTTTCCTAATGTACAACCTCTTGGTTCTCAATCTATACCGACTGATAGAAAACCAGCTAAAACATGTTTACGTCCATCTTTTTCGGTCACAGAAGATTTCGTTCCAAATCGAACTCAAGGCGATGATCATACAAAAGCCATTCAACAATCTAGTAATGTACAACTTCGAAAATTCAGTAATACACCACTGTCTGGTATTTCTTCAAAACAAATCACTAAAATGGATTCAGTTTATTTTGATGCAGATGATACTAGTCCTAATGCGGTTTTCTTTTCAAAACATATTTCAACCACTAACAACATCATGACAAACAGTATCAATACAAAGTCGGATATTAATGATCTACAATATAATAGCCGAATTTTTGATGAATACAGTGGTATGTAACGTTTATGTTATTTTCAGATTTTTTTTTAATTAATCGATGTCTGTCAAAAAGAAAGACTGTAACAGTCTTGTTTGTGATATCCTATAAGTTGAACACATCAATAAGTTAGAATCACAACCTGTTTGCTCATCACTCACTATCTATATGAATTACTAATGAAATGTAATGGAATTTCAGTAGTGTTATTGATCATAAGTGAACGAAATTATATTTACACTTCTTTTTTGTGTATGTTAACCGTTATGAATGTCTTCTTATACTCTAGGATAATTGCTTTCAACATCAGGTTCATCAACTTACGAATCACAAGTATTTGTTACTTATATCTTTATACGTTGTTAGTATTTATTGGTGTTCATTTATTTTACTTGTATGAGAATAAGCAGACTCATTTTATTCTAGTTTTTGTTGTTACACTCAAAACTGTTTATATAGTTAGGATATACTGTCGTCGAATTTGTGTATAATTAGATTTCCACTTTACATTGTTTGAGCTTATTTCTTTGTTAAAAGAGATCACTTAAATGTACTGTGATATTTCTCAAATATTAATTTATTCTCTGGAAGTCGATATTCTTTAATGATTAAAGTTGTACGTTAGGAAATTATTCCGCCTCTGTGTGATAGAAATGAAGTGACATGTATGTGAAGTGTCCATCTTGAAGATGATTAACTAGAACTTTTCATCGATATTTTAATTAACTTCATTTATATTTACTTAACATGTTCATACAGCTTAGTTCATCACTATAGTTGTGTAGACATTCCAAGTATTTTGTAAAATATCGGTGTTTTTTTAAATGTCATTGAATTCCATGTTCCTCGAAGTATTAATTTTTTTTGCTAGTGGTTTGTTAGGTTTCGAGTATTTCATCAAGTAATAAGAATGTGTATAATGATAACTTATTGTAAGATGCACACAAATTTCTACTTGTCCCTTAGATATTACAATATTTTGTTATAAAAAGAAAACATTAATTATTCACTGATCTGTGGAAAAGCTGATGAAATTTTTTAATTCCTAAAATTCATTATCCTGCAAGGATGAATCCCTCTGTCAAAATATAATACTGAAAAAATTTAGACATTTTTCAATATTCCCTTTAAAAAGATACGTTTTGACAGTCAGAATAATGACGAATATTCATTCCAACAGTCACTGTAAGTCTAGGATTTTGTGCTGAGATTTCATCCATACTTCAGTTGCATAATAGCCTATGATATTACTTGGCTGGTAGATGGAGTGGAATTTGAATTTATGACCTATCAATTGAAACTACAGTGCTTTAATCACTAACTGAACTATTTACTGTCCTAGTAATCAAATAAAGTTTGCACATAAATATGAACATGACTATTTTCATGTGTTCTTGATCTTTGCATACTTTTCGTCACTTGTGTGATAGTACGTTTAAAATACTAATATTTTTTTTTATCTTTAAAGATGATTGGTGTGATCCATATGGTGGTAGTTTGGATGTTGATGATGACTTGTATCATGATGCTGACGAATTGAATACTGTTGAAAGTGACAATACAGATTCATCATATACAATACAAACAATGCAAACATGTGTAACTAATTTAGATCATATCAAATCGTCTACTATTAGGCCACCAACGCCTCCACCACGTCAAATACATATTGTTCACGATGAACCTCATGTTGAATTTCATCCTTCTACTACGGAACAGGTTGTAGATAATAAGACAACTAAATCTCCGAATACACAACAAGTAACAGAAGAAACAGAAGAAGAAGAAGAACCAAAGCTTCAATTTGAATTAGATTTACAAATTCATGTTGATTCTGGTTGTTGTGTTCTGCATCCACGTCTTCCTTCAAAATTCCTGTCTGATGATAATAGAGGTAAACATGTACCGACTTCAGTTTTTCAAACAGGAATAGGAATAAATCCATTCAATATTTCAAATACTATGAAAGTTCAATCTCCTGAAGTTCGTAGTCAAACTCCTGGTGCATTTTCACCAACTCATAATGAATCTGGTTATAGATTATCGTATAGTGATTTACTTCCTGGATATTTAGAACGTTATCGACATCAATTATTACAAGATTTTCAAATAGTTCCTAATGATATTAGTATATTTTATTTACCTGCTGTAGATGTTAATGTAAGTTTTAATGAATTATCAATTGTTATTTGATCATTTATTCATTTACAACTTTGTATTCTTTGAGCTTTTTTTTTAATAGCAATTTAATGTATGTAAAATTTCTGCGCATTAATTATTTTGCTGTATTGTTCATTTAAAGTATATAGTATACACTACTAATAAGTCTCAATAGAATAAAGCGCTCGTTTTAACAGTAATTTTTTCTGAATCCATTTTTTTTTCCATGGTAAATGTAATGAAACCATACATTCGAACAACAACGATTGAAAAATTCATCAACAACAATCAACAAATCACTTTCATTTTGAACTGTTTATTGATAAACGCAGAAATGATAGTGAGAAGACTGAGGCAGGCGAGGAATATTGTATTATGCAAATTTACACTCTGAGTCAGTTAAAAACGAAAACATTACATTGAATACTCTATTTGCACACCATCTTTCAGTCGTGACTTCCAACACTCCATCCTTCTTCCATTCTTGTTGTTGCTTCCTTTCCTTCCTGTTGGTACTCCATTTGCTTTCCGTTTTCTTCTGACCGTGAGACTTCTTCTTTCACGTCCCTTCTTATACTACTTATATCGTTCGTATAAGTAGCACACACCACAATAGTACTTTCAAAAAGAGTTGATATTTACACATCTCTATCACTCATCCACATTAGACAAATAGGCGTTTAAATTATGTCTATTCAATTAATTGTATGTCGTACATATATACACATCAACAACTTACACACACATAAAAATTGGTTCATGCACCTTATCTCAGTATTATTTATGTCGTCTTTTTCATTGATATCTACAATGTTTACTTTAATCCCAATCGTATAATTGAAACCCTAATATTCAAATTAGAAAATATTCACTTTAGATTTCCAATTTTCCGCACTTAATTTCAATCATCAATTTTTCCCATCACAATTAGACCGATTTTGATCGACTATAAATTTTTGACTAACTCTTATCAGTTTACGTCGGAAAGACAAACAAATACACAATTGTATTGATAAGTACTTGATGCCACGCGGTTTATTTGCATAATAAAAGAAAATTAACAAAAAGCAATGAAGGTGATGTTCTCAACAACATAAAAAATATAATTAAAAATTGAGTAATAAAAAATTTAACGTAATTTCGGATTTTCGAAAAACGAAAAACAAATATTATAATGGTTTCAGATGCCCAAATACAACTGATTTTGAAATATTTATTTTAACCATATCATGCTATCCAATCTAAAAGCATTCATTGTTCTAAATAGCGTTCACAGTTAAAGTTCCAAACATCATCAAATTAGTACAATTATATATTACTCATTAGTAACTAGCTTCAAGCGGAAATTTCTAGAGCTTTGGTGGAAAGCTTTAATCGATTGAGTTCAACTGTATCAGTTATGAAAGAAAGGTATTCACCAAAAATAATTGTAAACTGTCATGAGATATGGTATGCTGATTGAAGTCAGACTATTGGATCCCGGCTCAGCGATTTTAAGGTGAAGTGTTCACGTGCGACACCAAAGGTCTTGGGTTCGATCCTCCGTAATGAAGTAGTCTATGTGCACTGTAGATGAGATTCATACTAAAACAAAACAGGTGTCTGATGCTTCTTGATTTTCTGTAGCTGTCGAACTTTGATCAGTTTGTGATTTAAATATAATAATCTGCATGATGAATTGATACTAACTGGGAGACGAATAAAAATCAACTATTACTTAATAGTTGTTTTACCTCCGTTTGGAACTCACAATTGGTAGCCGTCTACTACCCCATTTATATGATTACATTCATGTCTGATAACATGAATAAACTGCCACTACATTAGAACTCAACATTTACAATCCATTTTGGAAGACAGCAATTTGTGCATTTGTCTAACCAGATTAGGAAAGTACGAGTGTGCACCAATTTCGGAAATATGACGATATTCACCAAGAATAGGTCAGTCAGTCAGTCAGTCAGTTACAACGACGAATAACTCAAAAATGTTTTGGTTTTATATATGGTTTTGCGTTATACTGTTTTAATAATAACATTTTATACTTTGTAACTGTACTGTAATATCAGGCTTACATGTTTCATCTTTTTTTGTGTGTGTGTAAAATTTAGCTTCATTACAATTCTATGACTGAATTAGAATTTTTACCTGGCAGTAGTACTTATAATGTTCCAGTTATACCTAGTGAACCTCCTGTTAATACAAGAACATTATCTCCAAATGCTATCTCATCGAAATCAACTAGTCAGTCTAGAGCTGGACAAACTACTGCGAATAAAGATGACTCTATTCCTCGTAGTATAAGAAAACAAGCTGATTTGTATATTTCGTGCTTTTTACAAAAATTACCAAATGTAAGTTTTTTTTTTAGAAAGCTAGGGCTTTCAAATTTCTACAGTTTTTGTTACCTGTATAATTTCAAGTTACTGTGATAATCATAAGTATTTGTATGATTTGTATACAAGCTAGTCTATGCCCAGAAATGTCCAGTTTGTACTCTAGTATTCACGTATGAATCAGTACTAAATTCAAAAAGAACTACATGTGGACAAACGAGGGTACTGTATCTCGAATCCAAATCAGAGGCGGAATAATGTACATTGGGATCACTGTTGTATACAACCACCACAGTTACGTTGTGTATTACAATTGTTAGTTCCAATTTCCTTACATTTAAACAACTGTTGTTTTAAGTATATATTTATAATTCTATTGCCATTTTCATGCATAAATTGTTTGCAAAATGAAACAATTCGATTTTTTTTCCAGTTGACTTTTACTTATATTCTGTGTTTGTTTATTATTTTTTTTCACGATATACTCAAAATTAAAATGACCTAATAATAATTAGGGCAATTATTCTTCATTTACATTTCAAAAATCAATCGAAATACTCTAACTATGAAAATGGAAAAGTGACCTGAAAAAGTGTATAGTAGCTTTATCCTATCGTTTTTGCCATTTTTTCCCGTTTTCTTATTTTGTATTCAACAATGCTCGTGTCATCTGTAAGTGGTTGTATTTGCTGCTGATTGTTCCCAGTTGACGTACCACTGATCGTTGTTTTATATCATTAGTTGATTGGAATTGGAGTCCTACCATCGGACACGGACCAAGTAGTTCTAATATTTAACAATCTTTCACAAAACTTGAAGGTTTGCCCCCTGGAAAATAACCTGTGTGTGAATTGCAGATGAGTTCTATACTAAAATGAAACTGCTAGGCAGTGCTTTCTGGTTTCTAAGATCAATCTAAATAAAATCAGTCTGTAACACATGCAAGTTACTTACTGAACCAATATTCACATAATTCCTTCAACTTACATAATTATGTCCATTAAACAGCTATAGATTAGTGAATAAAATGCTTTTAGAACTTTTCCAACTAAAATTAAAAATAAACGAACAGTCCATTTTTTCCTCTTTAATGTGTTGGTTTTCCTTTTAATTTTCAATAGGAATTAATTGTTCAACCGGCATTACTTGATTTTCTTGAACAAGCTATTGAAAATTTACCGCTTACTTCTGACTGGAATTCAGAAGTTGGTATGTTCATCCTACGGTTTTTTTATCTCACATAATCGAAGTTATATTCTTTGAGTTGTTTTCTTAAAGCATTCTTTGATTGGTATATTCCAGAATTTCAATCAATCATAAATGTTATGCTCGTCCATTGATATGCTTGAAACTATTACGAGTTAACCCTAGTCGGTAATGAGAGCGAAGACAAATGATCCAGTGACACGATAGGCTACTCTAATTCGAACGTCTCAACGCCCATCTTAGTAGAGGAAGAAGTCTTGATATGGCGTAGAAAGTGTATTCTACAAGCACCCAGAGAATATGAGCTTCAAAAGCACACAAATGGGGTTTATTTATACATGATAGAAACGTCCTTGGGAGAGCCACAAGAATAGCATACTAAAACAGTACACAAACCAATAACAGTCAAGGATTTTCCGAGTGGGAAATGTAATCTCAATGTCAATTGATCGGCCCATGTGCTAAAGCATAAAATCCAAATTTAGGTCCCTTGTCAAGTGAGTTCCGGGGATCGAACGTCCCCAACAATAAAACACGGTGTAATATGTATTAAACCTTGGCGTAATCGACGAAAACCATTAATTATACAGTTTGTCGAGAATATATAAGGATACATGCAAAAATCTTTCTAATCAAATCTATTCTATTCATATAATCCTACATCATAATGTTCTTAACTCTTATCTTAAATCTTATAGATTCTTTACTTTTTTCTATTTGAAATTTATCGAATTAATTTGTTTTTTCTGCAGATTCTGTTTCATCGGATTCGGGTAATGAAATACTGTTTGAAAAATTCCCAGTACATGCTATTGTTCATTTTCATGTTCAACCATTTACAATACGGTATGAGTTTGTTTTGTTTTTGTTAATTTAAAAATGGAGTAGAGAGGAAAAAATTTTTTTTCTTTTTCTTAAATAACTCAATGAAAGTTTTCAAATTTTGCCAAGAAGATTTTACTACTTGTCAGTTTATGTTTTAGATTGTGAAAGAGAGTTTCTAACTTGATAGTGGTAGAGATAGTAGAGTGGTAAAGGAGAAGATACGGGTTCGAAGATATTATTCAAGAAAGGTAGAGGTGATGACGAATTCAGAAGATTAGAATTTCATAGAACACAAAGAGTAAATGCACCTGCGCCATTGCAAACGCTTTTAAGCCATGTCACTCAAGGTCTCTAACTATCAGTTACAATCATCTCGCAGACCCCAACCAGGTAACCTACATTTACCAACATGACTCTGTCCACTTGTCAGTGATTTCATGGATTTCTGCCATGTTTTTGGTCTGGCCACCCCTAGATTTCTTCCAACCTATTCCTATATCGCAAAACATGGCTCGCCGAGGCAGTCGGTGGTTAGCCATACGTAACACATGTCCCAACGCCTCAACTGATCTATTGATTTAGCATCCCTACCTAGTACTCGTTTCCTAACTATAGCAATGCTTACTCGGTTGTCCCATGATATGCAAGCAATGCTTCAGAGACATCCATGGTCGAATACCAGTAACTTACAAATATCTTCTACTCTGACTAACCATGTTTCGCATCCATATGGTAGAAGGGAGCGAACTACTGCGCAGTAGACTCGACCATTGGTTAGCAAACGGATATCTCGCCTACGCCATAAGTAAGGCGAGTCGGCAAAAGCCAATCGAGCCTTCTGTATCCCTGCTGAGATTTCTTCAGTCACCATGTGATGGCATTTCATGAGAAAAATTATTGTTAAATCTCTTTGCCAATCAAAGATTCTATTAGTATTGTTTGTGTATTCACTCTGATACGGTGAACATTATTTGATTAGAGAAAATTATTTTTATCAGTTACATACCTTGTTGTGAGTGATATCGCTATAATATCTACTAATCATTGGTGATAATGTGGATTGTTTACTTGAACTTGTTTTCTTTGACAAGTTTGCCTGAAACTCTTGATGGAGCACGAATAAGTAATATGCACTATAGTGTAATTTTTCTTTATTTCAGCTAACTAACTTACTATATTCTATCACAATTTCTAGCATATTTATCCATTCACATATAAGATGTATGCATTTCTTTTTTTCCTCCCTCTCACACAAATTGTAGATTTCTATGTTTGCCAACTTCTCGAATGCAATGTTTAATGGTTTTACCATTTTTGGATGCTGTTTTCTCAACTAAACGTGATGATCCGGACACTGTTATGCATAGAACTGAATATAGTGTATCACGTAAATTATGCGATCTTAGTAAGTTTTGCTTATTATCTTCATTTTGTTTTGTTTTGTTCAATGCAAACTAAGACAAAGAACGACTGGGATTGCATTGGAAAGTGACGAAACACTTTTGCTAAGATCCAAACTAATCGTAAATCTTGGAATCATTCATATTGTGCTTATTTTGCTACACTGATTGAATTTTGATATGCTCGAAATTGTTACTAGTTCACCTTACTCAGTAAGCGGAACGAAGAGCAGTGATTTGGTGACACGATATGCTATTCTAATCTGTTAGTCGCCGGCCCGGCTTACTAGATCAAGAATTCTTAATAAGTCGTAGAGAGTATATTCTACAAGCACTCAGAAGATACGAGGCTGCTAAGCACACAAATCAAGCTTGTTTATACAATGATAGCGACTTTCTTGGAAGAGCCACAAAATAGAGTACTAAAATAATCCATCAACCAATGACAGTCAAGGATTTTAAGAGTGGGAAATGTAAGCTGAAGGTCAATAAGGCAAGTTATGCGCAAAAATAAAAATTCAAAATTAGAACTTTATTCCAAGTGAGTTCTGGGGATCTGACGTTCCCAACAAATTATCAATAAGTCGATGGATTAGCAAAGGTCCTACACCTCTGACATTATTAAACTCTATCACTGACCGTTCATAACTACTTTCAAAAATGATCAAACAAATTGCTCCTGTTACGAAATTAGTTATTGATAATTTGAAGAACAAATTATACGGATAAACTTACTGGCGTGGTGAATAAGCTTTTTCTTAGAGTTCAATTTAAAGAATTAATCACCATATTTTATTGTTTGAAACTGCTTTTTATTTATTCATTATGTAGACATGGTGATTGTTGTTTTTTATTCGAAATCATGAATCGACTAATATTAGACTACCACTAGAAACCTGCAACGACTGTACGGCCGTTTCGTCCTAGTACAGGACGGCGGTCGTGGGCCTAATTCCCGCTAATGATGAGGGTCATGGATACGCACTGCTGATGAGTCTCATGCTGGGACGAAACGGCCGTACAGTGCTTACAGGTTTCTATCGTTAGTCTAATAACGATCAATTCATTATTTCAAATGACAGATCCAAGGGTTTTAAACAATTTTTTACTTGGCTCAATTTATGTTTTGTCATCATCTTTCAGTCGGAAATTATTTGACTGCTATCTTAAACACTATTCTATATGACTTACTTACTTACCCCTGTTACCCCCAATGGATCATAGGCCGCCCACCAGTTTTCTCCAAACAACTACGTCCTGGGCTTCCCTTTCTAGTTCTGTCCGATTTTTGTTCATTCTTCTCATGTCTTTCTCTATTTCTCGGCGTAATGTGTTCCTTGGCCTTCCTCTTTTCCTTTGACCTTGAGGGTTCCATGTGAAGGCTTATCTTGTGACGCATTTAGGTGCTTTTCGTAGTGTGTGTCCTATGCACTTCCACTGCTTCTTCCTGATTTCCTCCTCCTCTAGAATCTGGTTTGTAATATACTACGCCTATATTGTATATATTCATTTTCTATTTTCCTTTTTTTATAGATTCACTTCAATCTGATAATCAATCAGATAATCCAAATGCAACATTGAAACAGAAACCAATAGTTGGTGATGTAGTTTCCGCTGGTGGACTTTCTATTACTGCCATATTAAAAGGTGCATTAATTAATTTTGTAACCAAAGTTTTTTCCATAGTCTAATGTACGCCTCAAATTTAACTTTGAAAATATATATACTCACTTATGAATATTTGGGACGGTGTTAATTTTCTCCTTTTTTGATATTAAAGAAATAGATTTATAATGTGTTTTAATAATTCATAAATCAATAACCAGTTCATGTATATATATATATATATATATATATATATATATATATATATATATATAATAGCTAATAATGGTATTATCTGGTGTTTCAAGCCGAAATAGGTAGAGTGTTGTTGAACGTGGTTGAACGTCGAATGTCGGAACCGATGAACAACCATTAAATTTGAATAATTTAGCATTATTGTGAAAAAAAATTTTTATTTTCGTGAACTATTCACATATCATCCTCACCAATATCAAAATTTGTCAGTCAATAATGTTAGACAAACATGTATGAAAAGAATTATCATCTTTTAGTCCGATTACATATTGTATTCAATAAATAAATGATCATTATAGTTGTTCGCTCCGTCTTACTTTATGGCTGTGAAACATGGCCAGTGAGAGTAGAAGATATTTGTAGGTTACTGGTTTTCGATCATAGGTGTCTCTGAAGCACTGCTCGAGTATCGTGGGACAGCCGAGTAAGCAATGCTATAGTGAGGAAACGGGTGCTAGTTAAGAATGGCAGATCAAAAGATGTAGTAATGAAACTTCGTCAGTTGACGTGGGTGGGACATGTATTACGTATGCCTAACCACCAACTGCCCGTTGAGCTATGTTTTGCCATGCAGGAATAGTGGGGAAGAAAGCTAGGGGCGACCAAACTAAAACACAGCACAAATCCATGAAGTCATTGACGAGTGGACTTAGCCATGTCGGTAATTGTCGACTACCTGGTTGGGGTCCACGAGATGATAATAATCGATGATTAGAGACCTTGAATGACATGGCTCAAAATCCTTCGCAATGGCGCCGGTGTATTTATTCTTTGTGTTCTCTCAAAAATCCTAATCTTCTGGATTCTTCAACCCCTCTAGTTTTGACAACAATATGGTTCTATGCTCAATAGCGATCATATCTAATGATTGATCTTTGAATTGTAACATTATATAAAATTAATAGGGAAATTTTTAAACATTTAAAATCAAAATAAAATGTTTTTTTTTTCATATTGATTGTTAATCCTTGTTAATTGTTTCTTTTCATTAATCTTATCAATTTGTAGAATTTCGTATATCAATATTTCATCCGTATAGTGAATCAACTTCTATTAGATCAGGCACTAGTTCATGGGGTAATGCTAGACCATGTGATTCATTGACAATATTTGTCAAAGAAATACAATGTCATCTTTCACGTACAGTCAAATCAAAAGTTGTACAAATTAATCCTAATGCAACAACATCATCATTATCATCATCATCAAATGTAAATGAATCGAATCCAACCAATGTTGTGTCATCATTATTGGAATCGAATAAAATTCCTTCCAATTCATCAATTCATCATGTTGGCGAAACAATGATCTCTACACAATCGGTGGATAATTATGGATTACATCGAAATTTATGCATTTCAGGTAATGGGCATTTTTGTTTGCTTTATTGATTTAATTATATACATATTATTAGGGGGTGTAAGAAAGATTTGATTTTGATCAATTCGGTCTCGTGTGTTGTTACGGGTATGAGGGCGGTTGTCATTGCCCGGCTGCCCACACCGAGGAAGGTTGTTTCTTGAGGAACCTGAAAGAGAGGGTAAATTTATGTTGGTCTTAGAGACCTGGGTGCATGACCGCAGAGCCCAAGGGACAACTGATCGAGGCCGGTCACGCACGGCCTTTTTTGAAAGGTTTTTTTTAGTATTAGCTCCGTTCTTAAAGGCCCTCAGTGGGCACCCTTACCACCGGAGACGGAAATCCGTGAGGTAGGGTGAGGTGTGACTTTGTTAGGGTCGACCTTTTCTAACCCTTCCTTCCTTGTGAGAAGGCAGATTCGCTGCAGATGCTGGTTATCCGAGGGAAGCACCTTACTGCTGTTACACCCCACTGCAGTCAGCAGTACGACTTCGCCCTCAGACTTTGAGTAGCTGTTTTTAGTCTCATCATTCTCCAATCGACCTGCCTGGCATGGTAGAACCTTGAGGAACATATGTTTCAGCCAATAAAACTCGGTTGGGTCATGACGATAGGCAAGCCCGACCACCACGTCAAGGTAGCAGCTACGGTCGGGAATTATATATATATATATAGTGATATAAATTTGTAGCTCAGCTGGTTGATTGTGATGGAGTTCGATTCTCTGAAATGGATGTTTTGGTTCTGAAACTTTCATTGGTCTTCTGAACAACATTATGAGCAGAAACTTCATAATATGTGTATACTTCTCTCTCAATCACGATCACAACGATTTCATTTGAAAAATTATTTGTTCTCTTGATCATCTCAATAAGAGCATGAACTCTGGATTGTACTTTACATATCAATTTATTACCATTGCTTACCTTATTTCTTGTCAACTTTCATCTCAACTACGAATCAGGGTAGAATGAATCTTCCACATGGTTATGGCTAATGATAGTCTATTCAATTTAGTAAAATAATAAATGCCATATTAATTTAATTAATTAATTTAATAATTACAGAGAAAAAAAGTTATTCAAAATGATAAGCCATAAACTAAATCTTTTTGTTTGCATTATTATGGGATTATAGATTTGTGTTAAGCTCATATTTTAAGGTTTTATGGAACCATGCAAATAATGTTATTGCTGTTACTTACTCCCTTCCCTACGTCTGCTACCCCTAATGGAGTGACCATAGGTCGCCGACTAGCGAATTATTTTTTCTGGTTACCTTTTCTTAGCGAGTTAGTTTTCTACGATATGGGGTTGTCTCTAACCCCCCATACCCGATCCTCCTCCTTTGTACGGGCGTAGGACCGGCAGTGACCCTAGAAGGTCTCTAGGTGGCGTTTTTAATTCTGTATAGAAATATTCTCGAAAATTACTCAAGTGATTCATCCTTTCACTTATTGAAATAAATTATTGGATTACAGGGTTGTGAAGATTGTTAATTTACACATTTGGAATCATGAATCGATGATTCTTAGACCACCATTTGAAACGTGGAAGCACTAGACGGCCGTATGAGGTTGTGCAACTCCGTGGATTGATCGAAGTTAGACAATAACACCGTTAGATACCGGTTCAGCGGTCCAGAGGTTTGGCGTTCGCGCGCAAGACCGAAGGCCCTGGGTTCGAATCCTGCGAGGTGCAGGAGTCGTGGGTGCGCACTGCTGATGAGTCCCATACTAGGACGAAACGGCCGTCCAATGCTTCCAGGTTTCTAATGGTGGTCTAGCTTTGATCGATTCATGATTTCGAAAATAAATTACTAACATTTAATTAAATGTAATTTGATTATCTAACAGTATTATAATATGAATGCTCGTCTAATTTCTTATGAATCATATGTTGTTGGTGACGGTCGTTTATTCTTTGTTCTTGCGTGAAAAAATCATTAGCGTAAATTGAATTGCATTGTTAATAATTTATGTATATTATACTTGGTTTTTTTTTGTTTGCTTTTAGGTATATTTGATATTGGTGTAGCTGAATTCACTTGTGATACTCGTCGAACATTAGAAATTTTAGATATTTATAATTCATGGTATCGTAGTAGTTTGGCTCGTCGTTTATTTTTAGGCAATGATGAATTGACTGAAACAGGTGAGAAGTGATGAATTTTGTTAGCTGACTTGATAAATTACAACACTTATTCTCTTTAAGTTGTATTCTCCGATTTGAAAGTTAAAATATATTGTAATTTCGTTAGTTTCTATGCCTTGTTTTTATCTCACCTTTTTTTGATTTACTCAATTTCATAATCAATGCTTTTTAGGTCAGTCAGCTAACACGTAGAACTTCGTACGTTCGTGTTGCCAAACCACATGAGCACGAAGACCAAACTGTCAATTCAAATCCCATAGTAGTAGAGGTAGTAGAAGTATAAACGATAATGGAAAAGAATAGGGTTTGAAGAAATTATTCAGAAAGTATAATCCGGCAAAACACACTTAAGAAAGGATAATAAAAGGTTATGAGGTCATGAAAGAAGACAAACAGTGGATGCATCTGCCCCATCGCAAACGATTTTGAGCCATGTCATTCAAAGTGTTTAAACTGAAAAGAGAGATCTTCGACTTTGAAATTCTAATCCTTTATTATGACAACAATCAATGTGGTTTAAATTTCATTCATGATCTTTTCATATAAGTATGAAACTTGTATTAATTATGAACATTCATATACATGACAAATTGTTTTTTCGTTTCAGTTAATATTACAACCCAGTCTTATGATCAAGATGAAATGATGGATGACACAAAGAAACCACAAGAACAAGAACAACAACAACAAGAACCTTATCAGAATTTAGAAACAAAACAAGAAAGTTTGAAACAACCTTTACACAGTGAATCATTGAATCTTAATCCAGGTTTGTTTTTTTTATAACAAGATAACACAAATTCTTCATGAATAAATATCATAGCTGTAATTGTATGTACAATCTTTTGGAATATTATTTATGTGTACTTCTGTCAGCAGTCTAACTAGATACGTGAACATTCTAATTTAATTGTCTGCGGAAATAAAGAATCGTGTATTTGACTTTGGATTACTCTATTTAAATCAGTATTAATAATGCTAACTGGTTGCCGAAACCGAAACTTGACATTCCACAGTTTAGAATTTGTAAGTAGAAGAAGATCAAGGATGAATTGTTACTTATGTATGTCCGACCGCCGACTGCCTCCACGAGCAATGCTTTTGTGGTATAGGGACAATAGTAACTGATGTCTAAAGACTTTGAATGACATGGCTCGAAATCGTTTGCAATGGCGCATATGCATCCATTCTTTGTCTTCTATCGAATTCTAATCTTCTGAATTCCTCGTGACCTTTTCTTACTTCTTTTGAAATTTATTTCCCTCGATTGTACTTCTTCAATAATTTCTTCGAACCTTAATCTTCTCCATTACCGTTGATACTCCAATTAATCCTAACACTATGGGATTTGAATTCACACTTCGATCTCTGTGTTAATATAGTATGGCAACATGTACGAAGTTCTACGTTGTAGCTGACTGACTAACTGACCTAAGACAATATTACAATTTATTACATTAAATGAATGATATCATGTTGTTACATTAATAGACTATATTAAAGATTCCCTTTGTGAAAATTAGAACAACACTTATAAGCGAACAATATTGTTTTCGATTAGATCGTCATCAGGCTTTACTCTAATATACACCCCTATCTCTTCCGTGGCCGGATATGACGTAACTAACGATTGACATTATATTTTTTATTTTATTTTTATTTTTACACATTTACTTATTACGTAATGTTTTTGATGTTTTTTGATGATTATTTGAATTCTATTCATCCACCTTTGACCTACTTTAGTTATCATATTTTATAAATTTTCCTACTTCTATCGGTTCACCTATCTTCCTACTATCCACTTGTACTTTTGCCTTTTTCATTTCATTGTGATTATCACTCAAATTGCCTTGATTGGTTTAACATTTTCATACATAAATATTCATGTATATTAGAGTAATCGAAAACAATATTGTTCGCTTATGTGTGTTGTTCTAATAGACAATAACTTTACTGAGTTAATACATAATGTGTTTTTTTCCATATCTGTTAACAAGACATTAAGAATTTTTTTCACCATCATTTACCATTTCATTCTTTGTATCCATTAGAGAATATAATGTTAACCCATGTTGGCGCTTAGTAATATATGTAGTTAAAAAATACATCGTCTGTAAAAAACACTAATTATGTTGTCTACACTGATTAAATGGTCTTGAACCGTTTACTTGGTCATACTAGTGTTTAACTATTACGGAATAATATTTATTATTATTATTATTATTATTATTGGGGACGTTAGATCCCCAGAACTTGCTTGATAAATGCCTTATTTTGGATTTGACGTTTGCGAGCATGGGCTGATCAGTTGATCCTGATAGTTCATTTCCCACCAGGAAAATCATTGGCTGTGATTGGTTGGTGTGTATTTTAGTGACTGTCCCGAGGAAGTTTCTATGATGTATAAATAAACGAGATTTGTGTGTTTGATTGTATTCTGCTTGCTGGGTGTTTGTAGAATATACTTTCTACGCTATATCAAGACTCCTCTTTAGCCATTTCGAGTCAGCGGATCAAGGTAGCCTACCTGGACGCTGGTTCATTGTCTCGTTCTCGTTTATCGACTGAGGTGAACCCGTAATAGCTTCAAGCGTACCTAGTGACGAACCTAACCCTTGTTTTCATGTCATGTTATTGTGTGTTTTTTTTCATATAAGTTATTCGATAGAATTATGAGAGGTTAATTTATTTTCTACAATTTAAAGTTTAATACTTTAAAATAAAAGCTATTTCCACTTTGTTTTTTCGGTTATCTATTTCAAATTGTTTTGTTGTATTCTTTTAATTGTTCTATGCCTTACAGAAACCCAACAATCATTAGATAAGAGCCAAAAGCATTCAACAGCCAAAACAACTTTTTTGAATGAAGTTCTTAGTCATAAACAGTCAAATGTAACACGTGCTACAACAATCGGTCCATGTAAATCGACAAATGATAAAACTGATCAAGAACCTAAAACGCTTACAATCAGCACTTCACCAGATCCAACATCAAAATTAACTACACTTGTTGGTGAACGTGGAGCTAGTGGCAGTCGTAATACTAGTTTACGAGTAGCATCCTGGGATGCGCTAACTATTTTCTGTGTACATTTAAAGAAATTTGATTTAAATTTATACATGGGTAGTGCTATGGGTTTAACACGGTATGTTTTTTTCATGTTTTCGATAAATTTCCTTCCCTAATTAGAGTACATGTTACTTTTGACAATCAGTAATTTTTAATATCCAGAGGTTTGTGGAGATTGCAAAATCTTTAAAATTATTAATTGATCCTAACTAGACTGTTATTTCAAACTATTAAAACACAGCTTTTACGTCCTAATATGAAACTGCACAGCAGTACATATTCCCGGATATCTAACATGGGACTTTCGGTCTCGCGCGTAAATGTTTAACCTTTACAATACTGAGCCAGCACCTATGAGTGTAAGAGTTCAACTTCAGTATATTCATAGTACTGCATGACCACTTCTATTTGTCCGTGGTTGCAATGGTGGATATGGTTTAACTCCACTAGTCAATACGTTTGGTTCATACAAGTAAATGCTGACATTAATGTATTCACTATTTTGGTAAAGACGAATATATTGCGCATAGATATATCAGAACAACTTGCTGTGAAATTCTTCATGTTTATATTTCAGAATGTAACAATACACTTCTCAGTCGATTCAGTTTTATGTGATACACACTGTTCATAAGCAATAAAACTGATGAGCAGCACCAGTGTTTGAAGTTTTTATATATTATGTTACTTGAATTGTATCTGATTACCATTGTATATTTGTTTAGTTTTTCAAGTTATGCGATGCCATTATTCTACTTATAAACTAAAACGTCTTAATAATATATATAACATCTTCAAGGCATTGTGCTGTGTAATTCACTGATTCTTGACAATCTGGGTTCGATTGGATATACTTTACACTGTAATCATTTCTGCTTGTGTTAATCGTTCCTATATCTAGACAACTATTTTAGTGTCTAACTATCCATTTCTGTTCTTTCAGACTTATTGTCGATCAGTCATTTTGTGAAGGTCATATCTCTGTGAACTCATCTGGTCGTAAAAATACCTTATTAACTGCTGGCTTAGCCAATAGTCAATTTATCAGTGAAGGGGGTGGAGTTGGTGGTGAATTTGGCCTAGTTGATTTGGTGACTCAGCGTAAGTTTTATTTGTTACACTGCTTTACATTACATTAAAATATCAGGTTTACATTACCTTCGAATTTTGTCTAAGTAAGCAGTTTGGAAGTTGATTAATTAAAGCCCTTACTTACGCATAAGCCACCGATCAACATTCTCCAGCCTACTCTGTCCTGGGCATTCCTTTCCAGTTCTCCCCAATTTTCGTTTATTCTTCTTATGTTTGTTTCCATTTCTCGGCGTAATGTTTTTTGGTCTTCTTCATCTCCTTTGACCTTGAAGGTTCCGAGTGAGGGACTGTCCTCTGACGCAGCTGGGTACTTTCCGCAATGTGTATCCTATCAACTCCCAGCGCTTTTGGAATGTAGTTTTTTGTCTCCCACAGTGGGTTGTTGTTGATGTGCTCTAGCCAGCAGATCCGAAGTATTTTGCTCAGACAACTGGCAATAAACACTTGTATCTGGTGGATGATGGCTTTGGTAGTTCTCGATATTTCAATCCCATGCAGTAGAAGTGTCTGACATTTGTGTTGAGAATTGTGTCTTTGGTGTTGTTTGGTAGTTGTTTTGAGTTCCAGATGTTGTTCAATTTTAGAAATGCTGCTTTTGCTTTGCCGATCCGCGCCTTCACATGTGCTTGAGATCCACCTTGCTGGTGAATGATGCTGTCCAGAAATGTAAAAGTTTTTACATTTTCAATAGCTTCTCCCTCATGTGTGATTTGGTTGATGCATGTTATGTTGCGTCATAGGACTTTGTTTTATCCCTTCTGTACATTGGGACTGACTGCTGCTGTAGCTACCGCTACACTGAGCTTCTTCATCTGCATTTGTTGTTGTTTGTAGGATATATAAGCTAGGTCATCTACAAAGACCATGTTTTCCAGCATCTGAGCTATCCATTGTAATCTGTGATTCTACTGAGCTGTCGTGGTTTTCATAGTCTATCTAACCACTAAAAGGAAGTGAAAGTGTGAGAGTAAGCAAATTTGCCTGACACCGATCTTCATTTGTTATTAGTCTTTGAGTTGCCTTCCATGCTCAGTTTTGCAGTTTAGTCCATCTTAAGAATTTTACTAACTATGGTCTAGCACTGGTAGTGAAATGACGTAATTTCGTAATTATATGCATTGTCTTTTGTTCATATCTTATGTAATAGTAATTTGTAGGTTACAATAACATAACGATCAAGTTTGATTGGTGAACAGTATTTCAAGTTAATTCCTATGTATTTCTAATATTTCTATTTAATTATCAAAAGTAGACTTATTTAAAATTTATTTGGCATTAATTTTCACTGAAATTCAGATACATTCTGTCATGTTTTCTGAGGCGCATTGACTGCATATACTTGCAGCTCAATTAATTCCGGTTTTCACACTGAGACTCGAACTAAACATATGTTCGTTCAAACACTACACCATTATCAGCCTGGTGATGGGGTAGTAATAATCCTATCCTTTTCAATCAGTATCAATACAATTCTTGAAACTCGTAATTTATCATCGTTCTATATTATTATATTTAATATCTTTTAACACCTAATCTCGTGGTATGAATGTCTTGATATTACTAACAGTGTTTATCTTCGTGTATTTGTTAGGAACCTTAGTCCCTCCGATTACTGCTGATACTTCTGCTACCTCTACTATTATGGGATTTGAATTGACAATTGCATCTCTGTGCTAATGTGGTATGGTAATTTGAACTGATGTACCTACGTACGAAGTTCTACGGTGCTGTTGATTGATTGATTGGAGTCATGGCAACTATTATTAAATAATTTTAGTGAAACTCGAGTCTGCACGATCGAGAGGGCAATGGCCGAAGGCGGTCGTCACAGATATACAGGAAGGTACCGACGGCTTAGTTCGGAAGGTAACGTTAAGAACAGCTAACGGGACAGTGAGAAGAGATGTACGGCAGTTATGCAAGTTAGAAGGTGAAGTTGAAGAATCACAGAACCCTGAACAATTAGAAACATCCCAGGATTCTTCAACCTCAGGGGGCAGTGTTGGATTTAGTTGTAATGGTTGTACTACTCATGAGTAGTTGGGTGTTTACTACATAATTTGTAACTTGCATTTTATTGGTTAGTATGATCGAACAATCTAGAAGTTGTTTTCTATTGGTCGAAACATTGACTGTTTGGTCAGCCATTTTGTTTGGCATTCTATTCGCTTGGTGTGTGAGACACGGATCGTTGTGATAATTTGTTGTTGTTGTTGTTGTTGTTGTTGCTTAATCACCTTGAATGTAAGTAACTAGTAAATTAATAATTGTTTGTTGCAGAACCACATACGATATTTATTTAACTGTTCCAAATAAATATTCCGAATACTCAAAGAGCTTTTAATTCATTGACTTCGGGTGCGTTATTCTGGTGAATCTAACGTTATGCAACGTGAATCCTACAATGACATCAAGATTATAATAATCGCCATCATGATTCCTTTCTGTCAGACAAGTCATGTTGTATCTGGTAACACTAGCAACAGTAGGGTAAGACACTTCCATGAAATAAAAGTATTAGTATCAGGATTCGAAACCGGTAAACTCACTTGTTGTTCTTTATGTCCCATTTCAGAAACAGAAGCCATCTGCGTGTCAGTAGTATCTTTACCATACAAGAGAGGAGACTGACGGTCACCAACAGACACTACCTTTTCTTCATCACCAAGCTGACTGTCAATCGGATAAGAAACAGTTACAGTTGCACAAACTTGTGCATCTTCAATCAACTTTACATTTTCGACAGGGTTCGAAGACGACAAAACGCTAGGAGGTTCATTCGATGAAGCCTATTGACTAGTTAATATAGATGGATTTCTCGTTTTAGGAGAGGGTTTGTGACGACATCGAGGCTAAAAATTTATACACTGTACTATTTAGAGTTCTTCCTCTGAGTCACGCCAGTTTACAGGCTAGATCAAATTGTCACAAATGCTTTCACAATTACTGTAAAAGTTATAGCAGTTAAATTAAGTATAAGAGTCATTTTCTGATAGCATATTTGCACCATGTCACTGACAGAAACAGTGTTATACAGCCTCATTTTCAATAGTAGAGTACAAATAAGGAAGGGAGATGCACAATAGGTTCTTTTGGCGATTTGCCGAGATCAATAGTGAATTTGTTGGGAAAGGTCAGTTGGGACGCGCTTGATACGAGCTGTGATCCAGACAGTCATGTACATAGGGTGCATGTGCCCTAGAGTCGCCAAGGATTTCCCACCGTGAATGGTGTTCTGAAAAAGGAGAAGAGAGAGAGAAAAAGGCAGCAGTGTGGCAAGTGTATATATATAACCAAAGCACTACTTAACCTGTCATGTTGAAGTAGTCAATACAGTAGTAAGTCAAGATAACATTCATACTGACCACTTAAATTAAAGTAAATTACGGGGATATAAGAATATAACACACAGATAAAGGAGTACAGCAAAAAGAAGGGAGAGTTGTGCAGTGTCAGATGGATAGAAGAGAAGTCGAAGTAAGAAGCTGGATTTATGTACGTTGAAATCGAAAGAGTAGAGTTTGTAAAAAGAAAACATTGAAGATTAAAAGTTTTCACTGTCTAACTGTTTTATTATTATTATTATTGAATGCCAACCTCTAAGTGCCTGAGTAAGAATATTGAGGGTGTCTCGACAGAATAGCGACCTTAGCATAGTTTTGGAAACATGAACCACAGAAGTAGCAAGCGTATAAGAGCAACCTCAGTGTTACTGATTAGTTGTCTCATCAATTTAAAGAGCCGAAAGCAAACAAAATGTTCTGCCCCACAAACATGGGTGGTTTGAATTCGTCGCCCACACCATCAATGTTTGCTGGTCAGTAACTCCACTGTCCCTCCTCTTGTGTTGTTAGGCTCATGTTCAATGTTTAAAAGAAACTATTGAGTTCTACTTGGTGCTCTATGTCTCACATCCTGTTGAGAAACACTATTTCAGCAAGTTCCTTTCACAAACTTGTCTGGCTGTTACAACTTATGAACTATTGGTTAGGCATCAACGCTATACAGTTAACAGTTATGGAGGAATAGTAAGGATTTTCAAACAAGATATAAGCATTTAGAATGTAGTGTGGGAGAAGTACTTAACTAGCTAAGCAGGAGATATAAAGAGTATCGTGGTTAAAAGCGGAGCAATAGATATCACTAAGGGGCCAAGGTAAGTCAATAGCGTGTAAGTGAGATCAGTATAATTGATAATAGGCAATGTGAAACTCACACAGTTGTAAGTGTTGATAAGGTTGCGCCCAGGAGAGTAGAGTGCATTCTAATCAACCAGTTAACAGTTGAACAATGTCGATCGACCCAGTGAATAGAGTAACCTGTCTATTTCAAATAAAAACTAAAGAGATTTATATTCAACTTGAAAAATTAGTGCTAGTTGGGAGTGTAAAAATAACTAAATAAGACGCAGAACTAAGTTCATTGTGTTTAAAGTGTATGCAGAGCTATTAATATGGAAGCAGGGTGCGAGTGAGTTCACGAGTGCAGAAGAGTCAGTGCAACTGAGAGCATCATTAAGAATTTGAACAAACTCATGTAACCCACTTGCCATGCGTATTTTTGAGGGAAGCCTATTCCATATAAGTGCAAACTTAGAGAGGAAGAAGTTTTCTCGAGTTTTAGATCTATACTTCTCAAGTTTGACCGTAGATACTTTATCTCGAAGGTTATGTGTACCTGGGCCATGGATAAGGACTAAACTGCAGGAGGAATATGTGAGCTTGTGCAGGAGTTTAAAGTAAAGGATCAGATTGGACTTAAGCCTTCTTTTGCATAATGGATCGAGCCCGAGTTCAATACATCGGGTTGGATAGTCAATGAGTGAGCTATGATTTAGGACTTTCCGAGTAAAGTTACTTTGTATTCCTTCAAGTTTCAACATATCAGACATGCGTGCGTTAGAAAATAAGAAAGAGCAGTATTCAGCAATATTTCTTACTCATGTTTTGTAGAGAATTGTTCTGGATTCTCTATCTAGGTAGTTACGAACGACGAAACCCAGCATTCCTATCATTCGGGAAACTTTATTGGAGATATGTTCGGAGAAGTTAAGGCTGTGCGAATAAAGCACTCCAAGAGCAGTTACGTCTGTTTTGACATATATCCAGATTTTCCCCATTTGGTTTCCTCTCCCTTAATGAATTAAAGTCAACTTGATAATTACTTACATATAACGGAGCATGTATCATTATGATGAATGTAAATATTATAAAAATTCTCGTGTATTATAGCATTTCTGAAGAAACTCGAAGTTGTTTCTTTACAAGACTTGTGCGTAAGTAGGCTATTTGTGAATGATAATAAGGTTAGACTCTTGTAAGTGGGACGTTGGAATTGTAAACTTCTGAATGATGACAAATTCGCTTTGGGTGCAGGCCGACCTCACTTATACGGTCTTCAAATCTATCACACAAATGCCCGGAGCTTAATGAACAAGCGATCAGAGCTAGGTGTGCAGACTGACACTAGTGGGCTGGATGTAATTGCTATCACAGAAAGCTGACTGACCCAGCCTGTATACAATAAAGAACTCAATTTCGAAAGCTTCACAACACTTATAGCCAACAGAACAAAGAAGCGTACTGAAGGAGAAGCCCTATTCATTGGAAGTACTATCCCCTTTAGCTTCAACACAAACATATTTCATGAAATTGGGACGTGAAAACCAGTTAGTTACCGCTTGTTACATGTACCCAAGTACAACATATGAAAGGTGCAGCTAGTTGCCATGCGGACTCTTCAGTAGATCTCATATTAACCCATTATGTCGATGACGTCCGGAACCTCAATTATGTGTTTCTTCTAGGGAACGGTGTCTATGCAGTTCCAGTCTTTGATTTCTGTGTAGTTATGAACAATGATGTGTCAGCTGAAAAAAGAACAAACGTTCGGTGAGCGAATACAAAGATTTATACACTCAGCTTGCTCTTTATTTTGAACAATAGGACCATAATCCGCAGTTAGGAGGGATTCGTAAACTTTAACCTAGATGTTATCACACGACACATTCGTTGAGGAACATATAAGGCAACTCTAGCCTAAATTTAGTCTTATGTGATATGCCTGAACTAAACCAGTTGCAAGATCCTGTGTCGATGGTTCTGAAACCTTCAAATGCAGTTTCTTTACTGTTTGTTTGTGTTTGCCGCCAGGCTTAAGCACCAACAGAGGATCTAGCGATCTCGTCAGAAGTATTCATATTTGCTTCATCCCTACTATTTTCAGCCAAGGTTATATATATTGGATTTAATTTTCCCCAGTAACGTCATTCCTAACACTGTATGTATTGGAGAAGAATTCCCAGGTATAGATCGTAATATCATCATATGAAGTTGTCTCTTGTAACATGTTTGTTATTTGAGAATAAATTATTATTATTATTGTTATAAGTGTTGATATAAAAGCCATAGTAATAAAACATACGTAAGCGTTACATGAAGCAACAAAGTATGAAAGATGGCAGCAACGTGTACAAGAACTTTGCGCGCGAGTAGGTGTTTTTAGTACAGTTAAAGAAAACGAGTACCATAGTAAGTGTTTATTTTTTATCAATCGCACTTTCTTCGTAGAAGTGTTCCACTACAAATGCAAGTGAGTTGTTGGATAAAGTCTAGCAGGCTTCCAGAACCACAAAGCTGTTGGATGATGGGAGTTCTTCTAAATTGAAACTACTCCTTTCGTTATATAGAAGGACAAGAGGCGGCATGACCATAGTTCTCAAGTCTTTAGAGTACATGCCCTCGTTTGCTTTGTTTCCGAAAGCAAAATTCCAAGAGCAGAAAATTTGTGTAAATACTTAAATGTTCACAACCTAAAAGAAACTACTATTCAGCTGACTTTCACTTTGCTAACCTGATTCGTGAACTATTTAAACTGTTTAGTTTCGCTATTATGCTCCTGCTTGTGATATCTTACCTTATCGCATCTTTTAATTGTATGCATAGTTTCCTCTGGAAATATTTCCATATTAGTATTCTGAGCTTACAGGGCAAACCTTTGCACTCCCGAAAGCTCAGAATTTACGACCTACGTTGTACAGAAGGATTAGGAGAAGGAAGACTCGAATTTCTCGTGTCGGTTTCAATCATCTTCGACTTAACAGAACACCAATGTAAACACTAAAATAGATAACCATTTTGGTAGAACGGCTAACGAGGTGGCAAGAAAATAAGGAGATTTGGTCATGAAAACAGTCGTCATACCATAGAAACTCTTGATGGCAGCAACATTAGGCGAATCTGTGACAGAGTTTTCCAAAAACATGCTAGAAAATTTAGCTGTTTCTTTGGTTCTAGTGTTAATTACTCTGTGTCACTTCATGGTAACTTACATGAATAATAAGAATCGTGAACCTAAATTTAAACACTACTCTACCATTATTTTCATGTAGATCCGAAGGCACAAGTAGTCCACTAATTTTGGTGAGCTAATTTGTGGTTTGAAGTTAAGGCGTGAATTTGAATGGGTGTCTGTGCAGTTCGGTGTTATGCAGTTTTTCGATACAGTCTGTGATAGGATCGCTTTTCTGCATTCAAATATATATCAAACCTCCTATAATTTGATAAAAAAGTTCACTTCGTTCCACTCTAGAGTCCTTATAAGTATAAGGGAAGGTATTTTGGCTGAAATATTCCCGAGTCTTCTTCTGTCGTATGTAAGTAAATGGGATTTCTCGAGATTTACAGAATGCTACGGTCCTACTTATACTTACGCTGTTTTTGTTGGGTCTTTTAACATTATTACTACTACGGCACATAAAGTCTCATGGTATTTAAATGTTTTTAAAGTAATCATTTTATTGATATAGTACCTTTGCGAGTTCAAATTACTAAAGTCCCTAGAGGATTCCGCCGAAGAGATAAGATCAGATATCATGCAATCAAGTTTGGGCGCAAATTTAGTGAAATAACGGAGGAGCTAAAGAAGGTGCAGACAAAGGAAGAGCGTAGAACAACTATCATAAATTTTGCGAAAAAGTGATTTGATTGTCTTTAATCTTCAGCTTTCAGGATATTCAAGTTGCACGATAATGAAAAGTCGCCAACGTTGGCCTATGATCGACTGCCTGAGTCGTTTTTCGAACCAGACGAAGAGGATGTCTCTTCACTGCCAGAAGATCTCCGCTTAATGATAAGTTCAATAAGGGTTTTTGGCCATCTAAAAAAATCATATTTTATCGGGTTTTGCAAATTCATTGAAACAGTTGAGTTAAATATTGGCGAGTATCTTTTTCGCATCGGAGATGAAGATAAATATGTATATGTTATTCGTAGTGGTAGGATTCAAATCACTGTCACAGAACCGGTAAGTTTTCAATCTCATTATAGTGGATGGTACGTTATTATCTTCGAACAAGTGTTCATTTCGATTGCTTACAACCATAAACGCAAACCAAGCGCACACTATTTCTCATCAGTTCGATAAATGCCGGTCACTTGTGTCGAATACCGAGCGGACTTTTAGTTATACATTCCAATAAAGATATGAAGCTACCATTGAATTTCTGGTTTTGATTAGGTTGTATAACGTCTACTAATAAGCTATAAAGTTGGTACCATGCATATTAAGGACTGGCAGTTTTCTTTTTAGCATTTCTATTGGTATAGTTCGGTCTTAGTTAGTTACTGGCGAGTTTTTATGCAAACTCTTTGGACTTCTATAAGTTGTAAACATGATGCTAGCTTATCTTTTATCAACTTCCCTATTCAGATATGAATCAAAAATTACAGAGAATGATACCATATACAGACCTGTTTGGCTTGTTTCAATCACGGGTACTCACTCGTCCTTTACGTTACTATGTTTCACGCATAACATCATGCCAATTTTTATTCCTTTCTGTCATTTGTCTCTTTTTACCTGTTTCTTCTTTTTGCTTCGTGTCGGTGTTATTACTTTCAGTCCTTATTTTTGTTGATTTTTTCTGTAAAGTTTGGCAACCTGAACAGGAACACATTTATGTGTATATCAAACTTATTCATGTCCATATAGAAAATTTACCTAATCGATCAGCTTTACAATTCGTTTTAAATAACGTCTTTCTGTTAACAATTATTTGGCTTCCTGAGTTGGTCATCTGAGCTCTGTTTTGCTTACTAAATATTTTCTTTTTTGTTTGTGTGTATAGGATGGATCCAAGTTCATCATAGCTGAAGTTGGGAAAGGTGGGAGTGTTGATAGTTTACTATCTGTTCTAAGCATACTTACTGGTTATCCTTCAACCTTTAAGTTCATGGAAGCGGTTGCTTTGGAGCCCACTACTGTATTGTGCTTACCGGCTCAGTCATTTTTAGAAATATGCAAACCACAAACTCCTGCTCTTTTTCGTATTATTCAGATGATTGCAGTTAGACTTCAACGCTTGAGTTTTAACGCGCTACACACTTATCTTGGCTTAAGTTCGGAACTAATAAATAAAGTAAGTATTATGATTTGCTTATCATTTAAAAAAAATAATTGATCACATAAATATGTGAACTATTTCTTACCTAACTGATTTGATTAATTAAATTCCACTCTGTCATTTTTTTGCGCTCAACAAATAAATTAATAATTTAGTCATTCGTTTTAAGGAACTACGTATGTCATAACTACTCGAGGCACTTTCTTGATGCTTTTGGGATTAGTGTTCATCCCCCTGACTTGCTTTCAATCGTCGGAAGAAGAGTTATTTTTTTTAAACAGGGATGTGTTGTGTCAACAGTATTGTGTATAATAGTTTTAGTACTATCTATGCAGGGGAAGTCTCCACATATTTTTTTTCATTTTTTCGTTTTTTTTGTAGGTAAAAACGTGATATATTGTTAACCAGTCTTTTCAAGGCAATCAGAAACATTACTTTTCTTTCCGCTTTGGTGTCTAAAACATCATCATTTGTCTTCTTAATAGTAAATAAATTAGCAAAATTTCCCGATTAGCAAATACAAGGTCATAAGCTCATGGACAGCTTTTAAAACTACGACCGGAAGGAATCCTGTAAATACTGAACATAAGTTACTACAAATGTATGGATGTGCGTGTAGTTACGTGTGATCCATTTATCTGTTAAATTAAAGAATTGCTTAGTGTCCCTAAGTTTTATTTCACATACACACATTTACTGTTTTTCTTACAGCGTCATTGACTTAACTCTGTATAAATTGATAATCACTGGTTACTTTCCATCCTTTGAAAATCAGTAGGATCCTAAATAAACTATTTAACGGTTTATATATACGTACATACTCTTAGTTCACCATTATTGAAGGTTCATAAGTTAGTTACACATGTATCTTGTATAGATTATACTTGTGTAGCGTAACTTACGTCTAGGAAAAATTCATGTTTTGTATAAAAGACATTGTTTATCTTTTTGATCATGATCCAGAAGTGTTACTAATAGTTTAAGGTGTCCTGTAGGAAAATAAGTGCAGTATCGAAACTATAATTTCAATGAAGTTAGTGATCAGCACATAACGGTTTGCTTACTGTACTTTCCTGAACTAATCAAAAAATGAAGCAAGTACTAATCATTTAAAGCAAATATAACCATAGGATAAAAAATATAAAGTAATAACCTTACAAATTACAGTACAATAAAAAAATGAAATTCCATTTCTGTAGTTGGTTTAGAGATAGACCATCCATTTCGTGGATCTTAACTGCAATATGTGTATTCCCTTACTCTGCTTAACGAAAGTACTAATTTAATGTAGTATGACTCAATAACTAACTATAGGTGTATTTTTCTGGCTTCGAGCCGCAATTTATCTATCAGTCAGTCAGCTACAACGTAGAATTCCGTAAGTACGTGCATCAATTCAAGTTTTCATACCATATTAACACAGATGCAATTGTCAAATCCCGTAGTGATAGAGGTAGTAGAAGAATAATCAGTAATTGGAAAGATTAGGGTTCAAAGATATTATTCAAGGAGCATATACCAGTGAAATAAATTTGCGAAGAGAAAGATGAAGGCCAGATTACAAATTGAGCGAGCACAAAGAATGGATACACCTACACCATAGCAAACGATTTTGAACCATGTTATTCAAAGTCTCTAAATATCGGTCTGCACGTACCAACATGGCTCAGTCCGGTTATCATTGACTTAATGCATTTGTGCCATGTTTTGGTCTGGTCGCGTCTAGTTCTCCTCCAGCCTATTCCTACATCGCAAAACGTCGCTTGTCGAGGGAGTCAGTGGTTGGGCATTCGTAACACATATCCCACCCATCTCAACTGATCAATTGATCAAGAACTGATCAAGAGTCGCCAGTTCAGGTTTTGTTTCTACAGTGGGATCCCGCTCGTTAGAAGTTAAAATCTTGTGACAACTATAAAGAAACAAATATCATGCTGCTGATTATAATTTATTCATATATTAGCGGCTTCTGCTAGGGCTAATGTTTAACTAAAAGCAGTGTATCGATGAATAGAACTATGCAAAATACCGTTGCTAAAACTTGATAAGATAGTAGTAACATTCAACCATAATCTCTGTAAGCGCAAGCAATTCCTTCGTTAACCGTTTTATTGTTTTTTTTCTGTGTGTTACTTTGAATCGATGTACTTACACAAATAAAGTGAAATCAAATCTCAGCCTCCAAAATGAATAATTCATTTATGAGGTGTGAGTTTTGATTACATGGAAGCCACTTTTCTTTTTGATGGACAGCATCGTGCTCATTGTGGTTACTATTAGCAATAGATTTTTCATTTCTATACATATCGATTTTAATTCATTAGTAATGAATACTTGCAGTGGGATATGGATGTTATTTGGTAGTGGTTACTCTGTTACTTGAATATTATTTTTTAAGAAAATACTGTGATCGACGTTATTTGATAACATGTTATCTGTTCATTCAAATTCATTGCCTATATAGGAATTTTCTCCTATTTCTGGTTCATCTGAATCTCACGAATTTTTATGCAAGGTTTTTGAAAAGCGGCCATCAGTGAAAGACTTTAACAAATTTGGTCATATTAGTTTAAAGTATTCAGGTAAGATTTTATTTACATTTATTACTGTACTTGTCATCATTTTGGTCAAAGTGTTGATATTGTATACCATTTGGTACTAAATCTTTTTGTAGGTCATGGAAACATAATCCAGAGGTGGTGGAGAAAATTTATGGCTCACGTGGATGATTATGATAAACTTTTGTTTTCTGAGCTGGATGTTTTGGTTGTGGAACTTTCATTGTTCTTCTGAACAACATAAACAGCACATACTTTAGGGCTTCTACCTGAAGTTGGTGCTGATGTTTGTTGTCTACTGTTGCCTATCGCCTCTGCCATTTCCATCGCTCTTGCTTTCGCAAACCGACACTGTTCGCGATCATTGCGTAGGCTTTTTATCAACCTGTGCTTGAGCTGACTTCGCTCTTCATCATGTCCAGAGCCAGATGGTATGAGTTTTCGGGCGTCTATCAGTTCGGTGGATGCTACTGAGATCAACGGCTTCTGCCTAGCCTTACGGTCTGCCTTACTAGAAGATATCGCTGCTGTTTCCACAGCTTTTTCGACATCGTTTTAAGCTACTTCTGGATGGGAATTACCTATATGGTCGCCTAACTGTCCTTCTAGTTGCTCCTGAAATATATTTTTAGCTATGTTATAATTCAGTAGAACTCTAAGAGGTTTCCTTACGGTTTCTTTCCTACGTCCGTTAAGTCACAAACAAATACGTGCTCACACAAGCGCATGATCTGAATCTAAACATGTGCCCTAGAACGAGCGACAGTCCTCTATTGAACCCCTCCATCGGTGGTTGATAGCGATATGATCTAGTTATATAAGTGATCGCATTCATCATTTTTCTTACTTATTTAAATAAAGAAGATTCGTATCATAATTTTGCTTCTCATATGATTAGAGTTTAGGATTTATCCTGATGGTTCGGTTAAGTGTGTTCTTGATCGTTATACCAAAGCAAATTAGTAGTATTATTTTAAAGCATGATTTAGTTACAGAATTCCGCCCAAAACGATTTACTCACTTTGTTATTAGTTCTCTCTCTCTCTTGATTTCAAAGAAAATTCAGCAAAAAATGTCGAAAGTACATAGACATAAGGCGATATAAATCGAAGTTATTCACACTAACTCGAACTTCTCTATAGATAGCACTATTTTTATTGCTTTATTGTTTTATTATGATCAATTGTGTTAAGATAAAAAATAAATTTTAAAACATTCGTTATCAGTAATTTTTTAGAAGTCGTGTAATGATGCTATAGAAGTAGATATCTGAACATTATTAATGTAAATGGTGATACTAATTGCGAGACGACAATCTATTAGGAAAGAAGTGTAGACCTCATCATGAAACACTAGTTTGGAAAGCAAGCGTATTCTCAGCTGTCTCTTTTCACATGTCTCCTATTCTTCAAGAAATTCTGGTCGCGCCATGCATTGGGATACAACATTCTTCGCTTCGTCCGTAACTTCAGGGTGACACCCAACTGAATACTACTTATAAGCCTCATTTAAGTAGTGCACACCAGAATGCTGTAGATTGGCTTAAGTGTTGGCAACTGAAATGTGATATTGTGAATGCCTTTTTGTAGATAACTGCATGCGTCTTGATTTTTCTAGCATTTTTAAAAATTTTCTTGTGTTATGTGAAAGAGAACACATTTCATTACATCCTCCCCATAATTGTAAAATATTCTAACAGCTGAATGTCAATCAGTTCTGTATATTTTCTCTAACTGAACATCTCACCAGTCATCATAAATTGAAAATCTTCAGTGAAAGGGTTTTTTAAATCGGTTATCATCTTGTAAATTTTTTTCAGACAACTTTCATTCTCAGGGGTTTATCAATACGTTTCAACTGTTAGCTTACTTTAAAATTGTAATTTTTTCAAGTTACATTGTTAAATGTTTTTTCTGCTTTTTTTTTCAGATTTAGATCTTGCATGTTCAAAAGTAAAATTTGCCACGTTAAATACCATAAATGACCAAAAGTTTGGAAATGCAGAATCAGGATTAGAACAGGTTTTCACTTATCATGATTTGAATGTGAATTCCATGTCACAATCTGGTGCACTTGAATTAGGTGAAAGTCCTATATTCTACAGTCAGAAAAAGACATCACCTATCATATGTTCACCTTCACAACCACCTAGCCCAAATTGTGAACGTCACAGCACTAATTTACGTCGAGCACACTCTCTTGCAGATGCATCTTGTAAACCTAAATTTAACTATGATGATGTAAATACTGTGAAGAAAGACAATGATAATGAAGCTAACAAACAAGAATCTGATGATTTTACTGAAGATGTTAATTTTACCAAAACTGAATTAGAAGAAATGATAAGATTTGCTGAAAAAGATTTGGCTAATTTATTAAATTTAACCGATACATCTATCCTACATGGACATGTTTCACTTATCACTGTTTCAACTAATTTTATACTTTCAAGAGAATGTGAAATGCAATTGGAAATGTATTACGTAATATTCGGAGAGTTGAAAGCTTTTCAATCAACTACTGATGGATCTAATGTAATTATTGTTTTTGAAATAATTTTTTTTAAAATTGATAATGATCTCATCATTCATATCTCTTTTCTCATGTTGTTGTCGAATTTCATTTTCCACTCACAATCCCATACCTTATTAGTTTTTTTTAGTCTATCCTTCCTTATTGGTTATATGAATAGGTTATTTATATTTCAATGAAATCATGGTTTATTGATCACGTTATTATAGGTCTGAATCTTATTCCAGATATTTCGCTTTGGGCAACTGAATGATTATTATTACTCCTCAAACATAATGTTCTTACTAGTAGCCGAGTATATGTATATACCTATACCTGGTTTACTCTCTGTTCGCTTTCGTTTTAGCCACTATACTATATCTAAATTTCATCAGTTTTTAATTTTCTGTTTAGTTCTGATTCTATTTAATGTTGATAAGTTGTTGGTCAAACTCTGTATGATGATGAGTCATTATTGACCTGAAGGTTTATTATTTCATTGGGATTTGTAAAATTGTTTTCTATTCATCAAATACTCACTAGATTAGAAATCTTCAACAGTTAGTTTACCAACATAGTTAACTTGATGTTTTTGCATGTGATTGGTTAGCCACGAGAATTTCTACCTTTTCCAACTTACGGAAGCTAAATAAACAATCACAAGTACTTTTATGATTCAAATTCATATTTCACGTGTCTATACAACAGTCATATCGAATGTTGTACTCAACCACAACGTTTTGTATAAGTCACTTATTGTTAATTGCTTATCTTTTGTTTTAGTCAGCAAATATTACAACAATCATTAATAAATCAACAGACCTCTTACAATTAAGATAATATAAAAATGTCTTAGCATAACTTTACTTAATACTCACTAAAATTAAACAAACTGATTGTGAACATAGAATATAACTAATGATGTTTCATATTCACCTTTTCACAATCTTACAATTGGTCATTCATTGAGTAGTGATGTGTTATGGTTCTTTGGTCCTTTTAATGCTCATCGAATTTTGTAGATCAAGTTTCAAGGCGGTTTGGGTTTTATACCGATTGCCTTAAGCCACTTAAAATTCTCAACATGACGTACGTGATATCAAGTTTACTAGATTGGTGGCTACATTACAGTTTCGTTGATAGAATGTAATTAATACTAAAGTGATCGCACTAATAACTATTTTGTAATCAGTCAATGGTAAGTACATGTCAGTCTTACAGGAAATCATTCGCGGCCTCAATATCTCAGCAGTAATGTTTCAGATTACATCAATTCTCTAAGATTAATGGTACACTTAGGTAACGAGTTTCAAATAGTATGAGACCATATGTCAGGTTTTCCTGTTAGCTGCCTCAAATCGTCTAACATTTTCACACTACTTTCAAATAAAACATACTTAGTAGATGCTGTTTTATCAAAAGTTACCTGTATGAATATAAATGTAATGTCATATATTTATCCATCTAACTGATATCAACAAATGCGAATTCATAAATGATTTATAAAACTGTCGAAATATATCAAGTTCGAAACAAGTATATTTTTCAAAGTATGGTGGCAAAATATGATTTTGATTTTTCTTATGCATATTTGTTTAGTCAAATGATTTCTGTGCTAGAAATGCAAGCGTATTATACTACAGTGGAGTTTTGTTCTTTGAGGTAGTTGGTTTGATCGTGGGGCTTTCACTGTTCTGAAAAACTTCATTAGAACAAAATTCAAGTGGAAGTGAAATATTCGAATTTCTCCACCTGCAACTAGTGGTTTGACCTATCGACATCGAACTTGGTTTGTTACTGTTGACCTTTAACCTGCTTCCATGTTTTGACTGTATCTTTTTTTGATCTGATTCTTGATCCAGTATTTATCCATGACTTCGAATTGGTTGATAAATTGAATCAGTTTCAATGTGTTTGTTGGTTGCTGATTGGCCTGAGCTCCAGGATTCTAAAAATTGTCTTGTGTTCATTATATTTCTTCTATCCAGGATTTCAGCGTTTTCCCAGTCAAATTTATTTTAAAAGTTATATAGATGTTTTCCAAATCTAAGATAGCGAAGCGGCGAATCGAAACTACGATACTTTGAATGATAAGATAGAGCTTCAGCCACTAACCCTCCCTTCTTTTACGTGAAGTGTAACTTTAAAACCGTTGGTTATTCCATCGAATTGCCGATAATTTGTATCTGCTATACTAAAGATAACCATGTACACATTTTCCTGAAGTTTGTGAATAGTCTGTGATTCAACTGAGTTAGCGTTTGACCTGCAAGTATACTGAATAAAGGCTAAATTTGTTTTATGTGTTTATGTTAGTGACACTGGTCACTTTCTTTGGCAATCACGCAAAATCCAATTATCAAGGTTTAGTAATTAACCTTGTGTTTATAACCGGTGACTAAATTGTTGATAAGTTCTCATCATATGTAAACCTTACATGTACATTTCTAAATAAGAAAAACTTTAATTTTTGTCCTTATGCTTGACTTTTGAAGCTCCACTGTTCCATTGGTTATTATGATTTCGTTAATCTCGCCCACTTTTACCCATCATTTTGTGGATAGATCATACACCATTGAACTTGTTGTCGCTGCTCGAAGGTGGTTATCTTTGTGCTCCTTATGAATTGATTCGTATAAATGTGTGAATATGAAAGCCGTCCCGGTTAATTCCTAAAAAAGGGAAAGTACTTTTTATTATTTTGATCTCCAAGTATACAGTTTCGGATTAATTACATCTGAATGCTTGACATCGTAGTTCAGACTTAACTTTTGTTTTGTTAGCCGATTAATATTACATTAGCCATCAAGCAAACAGCATAGCTAGGCCCGAATCGATAAAAGCATATGCTTGAATAAGTAATGTGAGATGTGTTTTCAACTTGACAGATTCGTGACTTTGAGTATTAATAAAGTGAGGTGGTCAGTTATTGTTCATTTTAGGAAATGCTAATAATAGCAATGAAAGATTTGATCAACGTACGTGTAGTTTCTAATGTCTTACTTAAACGTGTTCATTTTCCAAATATCGAGTTTTTTCAGGGCTTGAGGATTTCATAGCAATACAATCATATGTTTTGAGAGCAGATTAGGTAAAAACCACTGAAGTGCTATACAACTAGTGGTTTCATCAATATCAATAACTATCAACTTAAGTATGTTTCCATTCATCCTTCTATTTTGCATTCAGAACACACAAACAATCTAAATAGCTAAACTTATTTTTGACAGCTACCATCAAAATTTGATGTGCTTTATTTTTTCGGATGGGTGGGTGTTTGGGGTAGTCTTGTGGATCATCGATTAAGAATGCTAATTTTTGAGACAGAAATCGAAGTTTTCATTTAATAGTGTTAGGCATCTTTGTTATATCTTTCGTTCTTCTCCAAAAAATATATTCATTTAACTTGTATTAATTGGCCATATCATTTTTTCACTGTAAGTCGTCAATCTTCACATGTAAAGTAACTAATTAAATTATTGGCTGCATTATTTACTCTCAGGTTGTTACAATGTTTAAATGTGGACCGGGAAAGGTAGTTGGACTTTTGGGATTGATAACCGGTGAGCCAAATATTTATGGCATACAAGCTACTACCAAAACGATTATAGCTGTTTTATCCCGCGAGAGGTTTTACTCTATAGTTCGACAATATCCTAAGGCTTTGTTCAGCGTCACCCACATTATTTCTTCTCATTTATCACCGTTATTCCATCAACTTGATTTTGCTATGGAATGGTTATCTATCAAATCAGGAAAGGCTTTATATAAGTAAGTGATATTCAAACATTTTACAATTAGAATGTTTTTTTTGTTTAATCTTTTTATATGTCTTTGTTTTTTTTGCTATATACAATTGATTGTATGTTTGGTAGTAAAAGTCTACAGTTTTCACACCGCTGTCATAAATTGATTTACTACTTTTGGGTTTAAATCGCTATACATATCTAAAGCTCTTATTTTATCATGTAAATGCATCCGAATCGTTACATAATTTATTTTATTGAGTTTTTTTTGCATGACTCTTTTATCATTTGATCAAGTGCAAATATTTTATATTTTAAGAGAATATAAAAATTCATGTAATATGTATGTGTTTATATTGTTATCGATCAAATAAATTGGTGTTTAAGTTCTAAGAAATCATTCTACCTTTATGCAGATTTTCTTGAGGTGGCTTTGCATTTATAACGAAGCTAAGTAGATGCACTTATATCTCAAACAGTTCAGTGTTTCTCTAGGTTCTACTCCCTCTGTGTAATGGTATTTGGTGAGCTATAAAACCTAAAGCACTCATTTTAATGTCCTATCTTCGGTTGCATTGATACGTTATGAGGCGTTATGGTGTTTTGCCACGGTTATCTGATGCTTTAGTGGCATAACTTTCACATATTTAATTAGAGAGTTTATAGACAAACGATCTTACAAAATAATTCCAAAGGTTTTTAATAATGGATCGAAAGCAGAGGTTTTTTGGCTTTCAGGGTAATGCATCGGCCATCACACATCATAGATAAGCCTGAACTATTATACTTTTCGAGTGGTCGAAATAAATTTAGTTAGCTTTCATTTAATCTGTTTGTGTAATAATTGTAGAGTCACGATGGTCGCGAGGTTGAACTATTCATATCCGATTAGCTAGTCAAGAATGTAATAGGGATAATTCAGATTGTATGAATTCATGACAAGACTAGGGTATAAGGCTGTTTAAAGTTCTTAAAATTTTATTATTATTATTATTTATATTTATTTCACATACCTGCCTGTCAAAGTTTGTTAGGATTACAATCAGCTGGTAGCATAATATATTTCATGTAACCTGATCTTTTGATGAAATTAATTGAAGTGAGAAGAAAAGCAATATTTGCATAATAATATGAATTCCTCATATTTTGGCGTTTCTCATCAACTGCAAACGATCTAAATTAACATTAGTAATCTTAAAACATGCTTTATTATGTATCATAATTCGGTTTAGTTCGAACCAATATATATGGTAAAAGTGGTCTGTTCATTAGATATCTTTAGGAAGGAGTTGTAGTTTACTAACAAATTACTGACCAAAATCAACTACGCTAGTGGGTTTTGACAGAAGTACTTGTATACAGTGAAAAATATGTCGGAGATTTTGACCATTCGAAAGAAATGTCCAGTCCTAAAGCTACAAATCAACGGCGATGTGGCTAGCTATGTCCTGCTAGATAGATTAGCATTGGCAATTAATAGTACATTATACGCAGTCAACCTTACGTTAACATTCGCTAGTCGATCAGTTATGTCTACTCAATTGAAAGATAAATTCCCTTAATTGTCCTCCTCAATGTGCATTTATAAACTCAGCTGCTCCTGTGGATGTAGTTATATTGAACGTACTACGGGACAACTGAACCAACGAATAAGTGAACATCTCCCAGCATGATTTGAAAAGGGTCAGAAAAGAATAGTACGCAGCTCTATCTTGGCAAGCCTGATCGAGAGTGCTCATAATATAGATAAAACCAAATCATTTCGAATGATCTATCGTATACCCCAATCATTTCGCAACAAAGTTCAATCCCGTCTCATACATACAACAGATGCCATAGAAATTCGAACATTTAACTCCAATTTGTGTTCAGAAGAAATCCATGACACCCTTGTCCCTTACTTGTCCGTGTGTAACTTAATAAACGATTTTATTTATTATTAGCATTATCGTGTCTTTTTCCGCTGCTTTCTGTTTACGTTTTTCATCATCTAGTATACCCATCTTAAGGCGGCTTGGAATGATATCCATAAAGCCGTGAAGACAGCAATGATATCTATCAACAAAGAAAACCACGAGGTTAGGGAGAAGCTATGGAATTCAGTAACATCTACTGAACTTTTAGACGCTCAAAAACCTATCCCATTTAGCTCTGGACATGATGAGGAGTGTAGTAAACTTAAGCACAAGCTGATAAAAAGCCTACGCAATGATCACGAACAGCGGAAGCGAGAGAGATGGAAAAGGCAGCGGCGATAGGTAACAGTAGACAACTATTCAAACTTATCAACGAAACCGGAATTAGGACTCCGATTGTTAGTGAAACTATCTTGGAAAATGACGGAACTAATATTCATTCTCAATCCAGAAGATTGGATCGATGAGCAGAAGGCTTTAGGGATCAGTTAAACTGGCCTTAGGCCACACTTCAGTTACCCACTATGACCCGTTAACCTAAATGGCTTTATGAAGGTGAAAAGGCTGTAGGAAATCGGAAGCGATGGAGAGAAACAGGCTCTGATAGATTGACCCATTAAAATTTTTAAGGATAGTTGCCAATTTTCAGCTGACATTTGCGTCTATGTGCTGACGTGGTATGGCCACCTGAACTGGTGTACTTATGTACGAAGTTCTGCGTTGTACCTGTCTGTCTGTTAGGAGTGAGACTGAACTCTTAGGTAGAATCCGAAAACTGGACGTAATTTCATCTGAATGGTCTCAGTCACTGATTGTGAGAATCTATACGAAAGGACAAAAGTCTTCTTGTGACAATCACAGGGTAATCACTTTGACTAATATAGTGTCTAAAATATTAGCTACAGTAATACTTCGACGCCTAACTAGGGCTCATGATGAGCAGAATCGAGAAAATCAGGTTTGGTTAAGAACTGGACGTGTATGCATAGACCATACATCTACTTCCCGTCAGGTTCTGGAACATGACACACATTTCGGTGTTCTACTTCAGTTATCTTTCTTGACCATAAGGCAGCATTTGACTCTGTGGATCGTGGCGTACTTTGACAGTGTCTGTCGTTGAAAGATGTACCAAAGAAGTACGTTAGCCTTGTGCGAGCTATCTACCCGAACACAACTGGTCGAGTTAGATCTTCTGGCGAACTGTCATCGGAATTGGCAACTTCAAGTGGTGTCCGGCAGGGATGTCCACATTCCCCATTCTTGTTTAGTTTTGCCATAGACATGCTCCCAGATATAACCTTATCCTCGTCTGAATTTTCAGGAGTGGACCTTCTACCTGGAGACACGCTTGCTGACTTAGAGTGTGCTGATGACATAGTTCTACTTGGTGAAGACGCTGACAAAACGCAGAGTCTTCTGACCACCCTAAGCAACGATGCAAGCATGTCCGGGATGCGGTTCCCCCCCTCGAAACGGAAAATGTTGCTTGAAGATTGGGTTGCAGCGGCACCTGAACAAGTGATTGGGGGTAAAGTGGTTGGTGTTAACCGCTTCAGTTATGTTGGGAGTCTGATTAGTGCTGATGGTCTGGTGACTGACGAAATCTCAGCACGGATACAGAAGGCTCGATTGGCTTTTTCCAACCTTCATCACTTATGGCGTAGACGAGATAACCATTTTCTAACCAAAGGTCGAGTGTACTGCATAGTAGTTCGCTCCGTCCTACTATATTGATGCGAGACATGGCCAGTGAGACTAGAAGATATTCGTAGGTTGGTGGTTTTCGATTATAGATGTTTTCGATGCATTGCTCGTATATGCTGGGACAACCGACTAAGCAAAGTAGTTGTTAGGAAAAGGGTATTGGGTGAGGATGGCAGGTCAATAGATTAAGTATGGAAACGTCATTGGTTGATGTAGGTAGGGACATTTGTTGCGTATGCCTAACCACCGACTGCCTCGACTAACAATGTTTTGCGGCGTAGGAATAGGTTGGAAGAAAGTTAGGGGCTGCCAAACCAAAACATGGCACAAATCCATGAAGTCACTGACAAGTGAACTGAGTCATGTTGACAGATGTAGACTACCTTGTTGGGGTCTGCGAGACGAAAGTAACCAATGGTAAAAGATCTTAAACGACACTGCTCAAAATCGTTTGCAATGGCGCAGATGTATCTGTTCCTTGTGCTCAAATGTTTATCTTCTGAATTCCTCTTGACCGTTTATTTCTCTCAATTTTTTTTAAAAATTGATTCCTTTGGGATATGCTTCTCGAATGATATCATCGATCGCTAACCTTTGTAACTACTGCTGATACTTTCGTCACTACCTCTTCTACTGTGGGATTTGAATCAATAATTCGTTCTCTGTGTGCTAATGTGGTTTGGCAACTTGAACTGATGTTGTACGTATGAAGTTTTACATTGTAGCTGACCGATGGACTTCACCATCTAGTTATTTACGCACTTCTTATTACGTAATTCTATTAGTGCTTTGTGTTCTTTACTTATGTCTATTTATGCAAGTTTGACCTACTTCCTCTACTCTTGAACTATCGAAAAAACTTTTGTTATTCTGTTTTGTTTTTCTTACTACAAACACTGCACCTGATTTCCTACAATCCACTTGTACTTTTACCTGCTCTCTGTGGTTACGTAATCTATTTCACCGTGAGTATTGTCTCGTAAATGGCTTTGATCGGTTAAACGTGTCCGTATAAATATTTCTGCCTCTGCAAAACGCGGGTAAAAGTGGCTTACGTTGCCTGTAAATTATATTGAATGCTTTTGAGTCATCCTCATTGTATCTACTAATTTTTTAAACTTTCTAGTCATCGCACTTGTAAAAACGGTACTTCCTTTCAGACAAAAACTATGGGGAATATGTTCCGAAAAACTTACAGATACTCTTCCTTAGGTTCTTCCTATATACTTGCTTCCACAACTACATTTAAATCCGTTATATTTATAGGTAACCTCGTAAGGATATCCGAAGAAATTTATGATCAAATACGAAAAAATCGATTGCGGAAAGTCCCAAACATAAAGCTGTTAACAGAAAACCTGTCTTCATCCGACTGGCATCCAAAGGTGTGATCTCAGACAGGATCATTAAACGGATTGAAGTGTCTTTAAGGATAAACTTCCTTGCAAACCAATTATTTTCTGTGTATAACACTAGATGTTCCTTAAATCCATCAAAAATGGACCAGTGCGCAATTCGCAATAATAGTACAGTAGTGTACAAAAAACGCATGGGAATCCAGCCTAATTCGAACCATATCTCTTATACCTCTTGACTCAAGCCCCAACAACTAAAACGAGAAAAGAAAACAGATATTTTGTTACCACTTATGCCGAAAATAATTTGGCCTTGAGAATCAGCCATTGGTGGTGCGAGTTTATTAGTGCTGAATTCATCTGACCGTATATGGTTTGCAAATTATAAGCAGATATTTAAAAAGTCCTTTCTTTAAAAGTCATGGAAGTCGAATTCTCGAGGAATAGTTTGTTTCTCAACATATTCATCTTTCTAATTGTTGGTGGCTATTATTGTTATTTTTTTTTCTTAGGAAAGGAGATGTCGCAAATCATGTGTATGTTGTTTTAAGCGGTCGATTAAGACAAGTCGATAATATGCCAGATGGAGGTCATCGTATAGTCTGTGAATTGGGACGTGGTGATCTTGTTGGTTTTCTTGAAGTTATTAGTCAACAAACGCGAATAACTACAGTTATGGCGATCAGGTATAAAGATTATTTTAATTTTTTGATTTAAAGTAACAAACTTAATGTATTTTCTTTTTAGTAATAAGTAACTACCTATCCTTGATTAATTAAAACATTTGTAATGACTATAATTCCGTGTCAGTGTTTGGCTTTATTTTCTGTTTCTTGTTAAAGTAAACAGTTACGAATGTCATTCAATTATTTATACAATACAAATCACATTCTTATTAAATTGTATTAAGAAACTAATACTCTGTTCTAGTATTCGAAGGATATTTTTTGCATTTTAATGATTCCTTTGAAACATATCCCGTACACCGTTGCAACGTTAGAATTATGTTTTCTGGTTAGCGTTTTTTCAGTGTTTTAGTTTTTTATGGGATAGGGTCACCAACTCCATGCCCAACCCTCCTCCTTTATCCGAGCTTAGGTTCGGCAGTAGCCCCACAGGGACTCCAGGCGGATTTACTCTCAAGCAGTCTAAAGAAAACTACGGTTTACCAGAGTCTTCGCTGAAAACATTGTTTAATTGATTTCTACTCTAAACCATATTCGTAGGTGTATACCTCCTGATTTAAAGCCCTTACAATAACCGTAACTTATATTTAAGTGTTAAATAAAATAGTTTGCAATCGGTAGCATTATTTCAATTCGTTAGTTGCACTCATTCAGTTTCTTTCTTTGCTTCTTCTAATCTTGATTTCAAAACTATTCCATTTGTTAATCTTGCCTCTTTTTTTTGTTTGTTTCTTTCAACTTTATATCTCATGTTTCAATTTCTATTTTGTGTCAAGTATTATTTCTTGTTCTATTATACTTTTTATTTTATTGATGATTTCTTCTAATTGTTGTAAGTTCTTTCTTTCATTGGTTATTATTATTGATTAGTCAATTAAAGATTGTCGTGGAATTTCTTTGTTAATTTTAATAATTGTTTCCTTTTTTTTCCTTTAAATGATCATTATTCATTAGTTAACATTGTGGATAAATAAAAACGTAATTATTTCCTTTTATAAATCATATATATTAGCGATTAAAAAAAAATATAAGTGTATAAAATTTACAAGCATATATATATAACCCAACACATATTTTCAAATGATTTCATAACAAAAATGATACACGTGTTTTAATCAAATGATATAGATTCGATTAAGTTTTTAATTTTTTTAAATTTTGTTATCATGACTGATTTTGTAAATATTGATGCATAAAATCAATGTACTTTATTATTGGAAGAATAATTTGAATTTTGGTACACATGAATTGTTGTACAATTTTAATAATAAACAAACACGTAGGATGAATGAGTCAATGAATGAATAAAATTAAGAAAAAAAGGAAGTATATTTTCCTGATCTCAATTTCACTTTAACATATTTACATATCTTGTCAAATTTTTCAGATAGTGAAGCTTTTTTAGTTGCTGATAATGTTGTTCAGAAGAGCAATGAAAGCCTCACGAATAAACTATCCAGCTTAGAGTATGACCGTAGCTGCTACTTTGACTTGGTGGTCAGGCTTACCTATTGTGATGACCCAACCGAGCTATATTGGCTGGAACATATGTTCCTATAGGTTCTACCATGCCAGGGAGGTCGGTTGGAAAACGATGAGACTAGAAGCAGGTCTGAGGGCGAAGTCGTACTGCTGACTGCCGAGGGGTGTGACAGCAGTAAGGTGTTTCCCTCGGACAACCAGCATCTGCAGCAATGCTGCCTTCTCACAAGGAAGGAAGAGTTAGAAAAGGTCAATCCTAAAATTGTCACACCTCCTCTACCTCACGGATTTCCGTCTTCGGCGGTAATGGTGCACGGTAAGGGCATTCAAGAGCGGAGCTAATACTCAAAAAACCTTTCATGAAAAGGCCGTGCGTGACCGGCCTCAAGCAGTTGTCCGTTGGACTCTGCGGTCACGCTCTCAGCTCTCTAAGACCAACACTAATCTACTTTTCTTTTCAGGTCCCTCAAGAAACATCCTTCCACGGTGTGGGCAGCCGGGAGGTGATAACCTCCCTCTTACCCGTAACAGCACGCGAGACCAAAGTAGTCACAATCAAATCCTTCCTACACCCACACATACCTCTATTCTCTCCACAAATAACTCTTCTCACATTCCCTTATCTCACTGCACCGCTAATGCAAACGATGCGAGTTCACGAAACGTCATTCCTGGTCTCTTGAAACCCCCTTCTAAACTACATATTGGAGCTTTTAATGTACGGACATTGTGTCAAATAGGGCAACAGGCTTCCTTAGCTGGGACTTTGGAATCTAACACCATAAATGTATATTGAGTCTCCAAAAAACACGCATGCAGGATACGAGTAAAGTGATTAAATTGACTTCACTTTGTGAAAATAAAGAAGCGACTCGATTTACCCTTCGTGTACTTGGTAGCCCTGCTGCTGCTTCCCGCAGTCTCGCTGGCGTAGGCATAGCATTGAGTCGTAGGGCAGAACTAGCTCTCCTAAACTGGATCCCAGTAGATAGTCGCTTGTGCTCTGTCCGACTGAACGGGAAAGTAAGGACTCGGAAGGATAGGGACACTCCGTCGCCTCTTCGTTGTCTCCGCCTACGCTCCCACTGCCTGCCGTTCAGACGAGGAGAAAGATGAGTTTTACAGAAAGCTTTCGGACCTCCTCCAAAAAAATTGGCAATCTGATATAGTATTAATGGCTATTGACTTCGATGCTCAAATAGGTAGATTATGTGGAAAGGAAAGACACCTAGGTGGATGTTATGGTGTCGCGGCTAATAGGACAGATAATGGTGACCGTCTATTGCAAATGTGCTTAGATAACCGCTTATTACTAGCAAACACTAACTTTAGGTATAAAGAATAACATCTCTTTACCTGGAGACCGCCACAGTCGTCACAGCGCTGGACACAACTAGACCACATTGTCATCAGCCACCGACGGAGGGGTTCAATAGAGGACTGTCGCTCGTTCTGGGGCACATGTTTAGATTCAGATCATGCCATAGTGCGAGCTCGTATTTGTTTGAGGCTTGCTGGACGTAGGAAAGACACCGTAAGAAAGCCTCATAGGGTTTTACCTAATGATAATAAGGCGAAGAATATATTTCAGGAACAACTAGAAGGACAGTTAGGCGACCATTTAAGCGATTCCCATCCGGAGGCAGGTTGGAATGATATGAAAAAGGCTGTGGAAACAGCAGTGATGTCTGCTGGCAAGGTTAACCATAAGGCTGTAATGAAGCCGTGGATCTTAGTAGCATCCACCGAACTGATAGACGCCCGGAAACTCATACCACCTGGTTCTGAACATGATGAAGAGCGAAGTCAGCTCAAGCACAGGTTGATAAAAAGCCTACGCAACGATCGCGAACAGTGGTGGGTGGCGAAAGCAAGAACGATGGAAAAGGCAGAGGCGATAGGCAACAGTAGACGACTTTTCCGCCTTAGAAAAGAAACTGGTATTAGGAATCCTACTGTGAGACTATCTCGGAAAAGGGTGGGTCTGTTATTCATTCCCAGTCCAGGAGTTGGGATCGATGGGCAGAACACTTTAGGGATCAGTTCAACTGGTCTTAAGCCACACTTCGGTTGCCAGCGGCCTTCAGTCATCCTGAATGGTAAATCGATCTAAGTCCTATTAGTCTTTATGAAATTGAGGAAGCTATGGGAAATCTGAAGCGAGGTGAAGTAGCAGGCCCTGATATGATTACCCCTGAGATTTTCAAGGATGGTGGTCCAGTATTAATAGTTAGACTGACCGAGATCTTAGGTAGAATCTGGGAACTGGACGTAATCCCATCTGACTGGTCTCAATCCCCGATTGTCCCAATTTATATGAAAGGGCAAAAGTCCTGTTGTGAGAGAATCAGTCTAACTAATATAGTATCTACTATTTTAGCCTCATTAATACTCGGACGTCTAACCAGAGTTCATGAAGAGCAGACTAGAGAAAACCAGGCTGGTTTTCGACCTGGGCGTGGATGTATTATAGACCAGATATTCACACTACGTCAGGTCCTAGAACAGCGACACACGTTCAGACGTCCCACAACAGAAGTATTTCTCGACCTTAAGGCGGTATTCGACTCTGTCGATCGTGAGGCTCTGTGGCCGTGTCTTTCAGTCAAGGGTGTACCAAAGAAGTACATTAAACTTATACGGGTTCTCTACTCGAACACAACTGGTCGACTCAGAGCCTACGGTGAACTGTCATCGGAATCGGTAACTTGAAGTGGTGTCCGTCAGGGATGTCCACTCCCTCCATTCTTGTTTACTTTTGTCGTAGGTATGCTTTCAGAGTTAACTTTATCTTTGTCTTATTTTTCAGGAGTGGGACTTGTACCAGAAAACACGCTTGCTGACTTAGAGTGTGCTGATGACACAGTTCTATTCGGTGAAGACGCTGACAAAATGCAGTCTTCTGACTACCCTAAGCAACAATGCAAGCCTGTTTCGGTTTCTGTTCTCCCTTGCGAAGTGCAAAATGTTGCTTGAAGAGTGGGTTGCATTAGCACCTGAACAAATGATAGGGGGTAAAGTGGTTGGTGTTAACCGCTTCACTTATCTTGGGAGTCTGGTCAGTGCTGATGTACTGGTGACTGACGAAATCTCAGCAGATACAGAAGGCTTGATTGACGTTTTCCAACCTTCGTCACTTATGGTGTAAGCGAGATATCTGTTTGCTGACTAAAGTACGAGTGTACTGCATAGTAGTTCGCTCTGTTCTACTATATGGATGCGAGACATGGCCAGTGAGGGTAGAAGATATTCGTAGGTTGGTGGTTTTCGATTATAGATGTCTTCGATGCATTGCTCGTGTATCGTGGGACCACCGAGTAAGCAATGCTGCCATTACGAAACGAGTACTAGGCAGGGATGGCAGATCAATACATGAAGTATTGAAAGGTTGGGACATGTGTTACGAATGCCCAAGCACCGACTGCCTCGGCGAGTGATGTTTTGTGGTTTAGGAGTAGGTTGGAAGAAAGTTAGGGGCGGCTAAACTAAATTAAGGAACAAATCCATGAAGTTACTGACTAGTGAACTGAGTCATGTCGGTAGATGTAGACTACCTGGTTGGTGTTCGCGAGATGATGGTAATCGATGGTTGGAGATCCTGAATGACATGGCTCAAAACCGTTTGCAATGGCGCAAGTGCATTCATTCTTTCTGTCATCTCAAATTATAATCGTATACTTTTTATTTCCTCATCACTTTGTCTTTTTAAATTTATTTCATTAAATTCTACTTCTTAAATAATATCGTAGAACCCTAATCTCTCCGATTCCTGCTAATACCATTACTACCTCTACTACTATATGTTATGAATTGATAATTACATCTCTGTGCTAATTTGGTATGGCAACCTAAACTGATGTACGTATGTACGAAGTTCTACATTGCTATTGATTGATTGATGACATATAATCAAAGCCACCAAGTTTTTTTTAATAGTTTATACATTATTGAATATCAGATAGAGTGAGTGGTAAAAAGAAATTTGAAGAACAGAAAAATCTTTGTTTTATTGATGCATTTCTGAATTAGTTTGTTTTTATTTTTATTTTTTTTTCAAATATTCTAAATCAGAGATTCAGAACTGGCTCAAATTCCTTCACATTTACTTCATTATTTGAAAAATAAAGTACCACAAGTATTAACTCGTATTATTCAATTATTATCCGATAAATTATTGGGTAATTTAACTACTAGTTCTAATATGACTAGTCAATTGGGTATGCCAATTCTTCACATAACTAGTACAAATGCATTACTCACTAGTGGATTAGGTTATACAACTGATGGAAGTTCTAAATTAGATGTTTTATGTAGTCCATTAAATAATGGTGTTATGACTAATCTACGTACAATCGCTGTATTACCTGCTACAAATGATATTAATGCTGAAGCATTCACTTTGGAATTACAACATTCAATGAGTTCAATGGGATCATCTGTTCGTCTTACTTCAGGTAATTCAATGATTTTTTTTTCTCTCCTAATCTACATTTCTTTTATTGTATGGTTTTTTTACTTATATCTATTGGTTTATTTTCATCGTTCATAAATTATATATTCTGTGAAATTTTGTGTTATCATTATTTGAAATCATCAATCAATCATTGTTAGACCACCATTAGAAACCTGGAAGCACTGGACGGCCGTTTCGTCCTGGTATGGGACTCATCAGTTGCAGTGCGCATCCACGACTCCGTCCAGTGCTTCCAGGTTTCTAATGGTGGTCTAACAATGATTGATTGATTGATTGATTGATGATTTCAAATGTGTAAAAACACTAACCTCCAAAACTCTGCCTGAAAATTATCATTTAGTTTTAGTAAATTTCTTTCCTGCTTTATACCACCATTGTCTTAATCGTCGTTATTCATTTTTATGGACACAGAAATGATAAATAAAACGCTGGTCGACTGATCCTATTCTATGACACAATGTGACTAAATCATCAACACAAGCATGAGTCTTTTGACTTTTTGTATTCTTCTACAATATTCAACTCTTTATAACAATGAGAAAAAAAATTTACCTTAGATTATTGTTATATTTTCTATTGTCTTGTACACTTTTTATTATAAAAATTTTTTATGATAGACATAATTCGCAGTTAGTGAATGTGTGATCAGTTAACGTGAAGTGATATACAAAAGTTTTTGATGAATAGAATGTATTTAGAAATTAGATTTCTGTCCTTTTTATTGATAGAAATGGGTATTACGTAGTTATTTCGTTCGGATTTTTTTATATCCCTAAAGGTATACAACTATTACTGTGCTATGAATTGAACTCACTTTGTAATGAAAAAGTAAATTCAAATTAAGTAATATTGATATACCTCTTACATTATTGCCGTTCGATTGTTAATTAGCGACTAGCTTTAAGAATTATCGAATTACTAATCAGTAAGCTGTAGAGTTCACCTATGTCGAGATTGAGATAGACAACACTGACTACGTTCAATGATGCTAACATTACACTTCAAGCTGATTTAACATTAGTTTACAAGTGAATAGTTTAAAGACTTTGTGCTCTTATCAAAAGTTGTATTCCTTGAATTCTTTCTGTGGAATCTCAAGTGAAGACACAAGAAATAATCATGTGCTCTATGATTTGGTAACTTATTTCGGTTTATTATAAAGGATCAAGTCAAATTTATCTGTCCTCACAGATTCACTCCATTCTTTGAAAACTCAGAAACTCAGTACATTGTGACGTATGTTATCTTTTTTTAGCTTTCAGTTTACGTATGATACATAACTATGTAGCTATAAGTAAAATACATCTATCGTAACATTTTGGATTAATTTTGTACTAGTTGCAACAACACATATCTCGATTCACTTGCATGTAATGAGTTAATTGCAATTTTTTTCATATCCATTCTTCATGCTACGAACTACGTATTTAGGTACTGATTAACTTGAACATTGAATTTGACATTCCTTTCGAAAATTTCGAAAGTTATCATTTAACAGTATTTGTTAATATTTAATATGCCATCATCAATATCCATCATCTTTCATGTATATGATGGTATGATTTTTTATATTGCGCATGCTATATGGTATATATATATATATATATATATATATATATATATATATATATATATATATATAGTGCAATAATATAAAATGTTTAGATTAATTTAAAATTTTTCAACACAACTTTGTGCACAATTTAACACTTTCTCGTGAGTTAATAAATATATCACACTTCATCATTATTCATGTGGATGCTCTGTCTGTCTGTCTCTCTCTCTCTCTACCAAAATATTTGTACCACTTCATCTTACATGAGTATTGTTTTTGTCATTTTTCAAATTGGTGATGTGTAGAATAAAAGATTTCAGTTTTTTCGAGGGTCATCATGTCGTGTGAATAAATATTCACCTTGGTTGTTTTCGTCAGTTTAGACAAAATTGAAAGTGAAAATATTGAAATGAAAACAATACTTTTAGGTTATTATACATGATGTATACAAAAAGAGTTTTCCTCTTAATCGATTGTGACAAAGTTTATGGTAGGTAATATGATATGTGATTATCAGTCAGGAACACATTCCACTAATTATAGAGTCCATTTATATATATATATATATATATATATATATATATATATATATATATATATATATATATATAAATGGACGGAACTTGTACAGAAATAGCACTTAGCAGTTAAAACATTCAATCAATGAATTTCACGCTCAAACCTCGTTTGTTGATAATAAATTATTGTTACTGTAATAGTAAAGTGTGATATAGTAACTTCGAATGCATTCTATAGTTCTTAAAGGGCACGGGGTGGTGGTAATTCACTTAATCTGGAGTCATGTTTCATAAAATTTATTTGTCCTTAGAGAATTTTATAATTTGATGCAGAAGAATTAAATATTTCCTCTGTGCTCTTTGGATGGTTGTTTTTCTATTTGTTGCTTGTATGTATTTTTCTTAGGTAATTTAAATCAAATGCTTATGTTATCTTGTTTGTTATTCATTGACAATCACTTCTTAATGGATTGCTTGATGTTCTGTTGATTACTATGAGATGATGGAAACAATCTGTAGCTCAAGCGGATGATTGCGGTAGAGTTTTGTTCTCTGAGCTGGTTTTGGTTATGGGGCTTTCATTGTTCTTCTGAACAACATTATTAGCACAAACTTCAGATAGACGTGATGTATTCGAATTACTCCACGTTTTTGTCCATAGTTGTCTGTATGCATTGAATTGATGTAAGGTAAGAAGTGTCGTGGCGTTTGGCTGCTGATTGATGTTCACGTAACTGAAGCTGAAGAGGACGTCCACTTAGTCCTATGTAGTGTTTTTCACAATCCGAGCAATTTATTTGGTAGATGATATTTAGTTTTTCTTCCTTTATCATTTTATCCTTTGGTGATTCTGTTTGTGCTACCCGTATTCCAAATGGTCTCAGTAGTCGCGCTGTAAGTTCCGATATGTATTTTATGTACGATAGAATGATCCGTTTATTTATTCCTACACTTGATTTGGCTTCTGTTGATGATTTCGGTTGATGTTTTTTGATGAAGTTGCGTAGATAACCGTTCTTTTTGAAGATAGTCATCAGATGCTTTTCGTCGTTTTCAACGCTTCAAGTGTGCTGCAATGTGTCTTCGCTCTCTTGAACAACGTTTGTACGCAGTTGATTTTGTGAGTTCTTGGGTTATTGTTGCTATAGTTGATAATTAGGTCTGTGTGGGTTGGCTTCTGAAATACTTGGGTCTCCAGTTTTCATGTGACAGTTCTGGTGATTAGTACATCCGGGAATGACAGATTGTTGTTTGATTCCTTTTCCATTGTGAATTTCATGCCATCAAAGACGTTGTTGATCTTTTTAATAATGCCAAATGTGTTGTCGGCATAACGAACCTACATTTTTGGCTTGGAAGAGTTCCTTTAGCTAAGCTAGACTTTATTGAGGTTAATAAGGCTGTCACTTCGAAGGATATCATCATTTGATCATTTTCGATTTAAATTCCTTTGATTTTATTCAAGAATTGTGTGGGAAACTTAATGAAATCTTTGGATGATGTTTCACTATCCTTGAGATTTCTCTTGATGAGTTGTACATCGATTACTATATTACTCTATCGTACACCGATTTTTCATCAAAGCTTATAACGGATAACGTAAGATGAATTTATCCATACTTTGCGGTTCTGATTGCATTTCGTTCTCTCTCTCTCTCTCTCTCTCTCTCTGTCTCTCACACACAATTGTTATGAATAAGCTGTAAAATATTTAGTGACCACTCTTAATTACGTTAACTTCATCGATTAATTTTGCCTGATAATTACGTTTGTGTGCATTTGTTTGTTTAGCTTTTCAGTTCTTAGTTCAAACATCATAACCATAGTAAACTAGAATGAAACAGTTTAAAATTGTTTATTACTCTGACTGTAGTCATTATTATGAGTATGTTTGTTCATAACATCTTAATCGATACTAGACAGTTGTAAGCACTCAACATACATCAAAATACTTAGATTTCGTGCTAATCAGCGTTCATAGGCTTAGGATATCTAAAATATTAAGAGGATTGTTATTTTTCACCAGGTTTGAATCTGTCTTATCGAACGTTAAATTAAAAGAAGAAACTATTAAGCCCATTTCGTTTCCACTTCTACTACGAATACTGTAATAAACGAAGACTTTTAAGAAAGACAGCTTACTGGCGACATGTATAAACCTTATCTTCAGGCTTATATTTGCTAAAAAAAATCAAATTATTGACTGTCTTTTAAGCTTCAAAACACTGGTTGCACCATACGTCGGGATCCAATACCTTTCGTCAGTAGTAAATTCTGGATGACACTCTGCTGCATATTACTTATGAGCCGTGTTGCTAGTAGCCTATTACTCACTGCTACTATTACTATGGTAGTGTTACGCTCGTCTCTAGGTATGCTTAAACTATTACTTCACCTTAGTCGAATAACGAGAACAAAACAATGAATCAGGGTCCAGGTAGGCTACTGTGATCTCTTGACCAAAAGGTATCAGCAAGAAGTCTTGATATAGTGTAGAAATTGTATTCTACAAAAACCCAGCCATGAAACAATGAATCCAAGCACTCAAGTTGCGTTTATTTATACTCTATAGAGACGTCCTTGGGAGAGTCACAAAAATAGCACACTAAAATGACACGGTGACCAATCACAGCCAAGGCTTTTCCTGGAGGGAAATGTGATTTCAAGGTTAACTGATCGGTCCATGAAATAAATCCGAAATAAAGATATTTATCGAGCGAGTTCTGGGGATCTAACATCCCCAACAGGTCACTAATTAGTTTCCTAGTAGTGGTCAGTCATATCCCTTGAAGAACATCAGTTTGTTTAGGATTACAGATACTTCTTACTGGCAAATTCCAATTAACCTGAAACTAAGGTTTGTCGCTTTATGCTGATTTCTTCCAACTGTCTAGCGCTAAATAAAGGCTAACTTAGTGTAAGATATATTGACACGTTTTCATATTCCGACTCGATCGATAGCTACGCTATAAAGTGATCAGAGGGGATAATTTCTTATTGGTCGCTATTTAGTAATTACTTAATATATAATCCTTTTTCATAATATCCTTTTATGACCTAATCACCCAAAAACGAGTGTTATATTGCCTAATTTTACCAATAACTTTTTTGAAATCAATATTTAATTTTTATTGTTTCATTCATAGATATCGTGCTGAAACGTTTAGGTTCATGTGCATTCGATAGTGTTAGCCAGTATAGACTTAGTACTTGGTTAAGTCATCAAGAAGACTCACACCGTATTGTTTTCTTCGTTTGTGACTGTCAACGAGTTTCAGTGTGGAATCGTATATGCATTCGTCAAGCTGATTGTATATTGGTTTTAGCTTTGCATTCGTCTGATCCAGCGCGTCCTTCACCGATAGAAATGGCATTAAAAAATGATCCAACAAAGGTAAGCCATATTTTTACGTAGTGTAACATTGGTCAGTTTAAATATTTCACATCATTAATAAACGTATTATTTGTTTTTCCATTGCACAGGTTGCCAAAGTGCTCGTTCTTATGTATCCTTTGGACACCGATTATCCAGAATCCGGTAAAACTGCAGTATGGTTAAATGCTCGACCATGGATTAGTCAACATTATCATATACGCTGTGAACCTCGTGTATTTATACCTCGTTCAAAGTTAAATCTTATAAGTTTTTACACTAAAGTATTTGCTCGTGAAAAACCTAATCCATTGTCTGATTTCTCTCGTCTTGCTCGTTACTTAGTCGGTGAAGCTGTTGGTCTTGTTTTAGGCGGTGGAGGAGCAAGAGGTTGTTCACATGTTGGACTAATACGTGCTTTTCAAGTAAGCTTTTACTTTTTTTGAACTGCTGATATTTATAATACATTCATCATAGCTATAAGTCTTATTGATGACAGGTACATGAGTAGTTTTCAGAAGCCCCGCTGATTGATGAATGACACTTTAAATATACTGGTTATAAAAATAGTTAGGAAAAACACATTTTCTCATAGACAACAACGGGAGTTTCATAACTAATTTTCATAAATTTACTTTCATAGACCTTCTAAGTCCTCATTTCTAGATTACAACTCATGGGAATTTCAATTTAAACATAAATCTCGATTTACTTTGTCTATGTGATTTTTTTTATCTATAGTTGTTTTATAAAATCACTTAAATGTAAATTGTTTTAGGTTCTAATACTAAGAAAATGTTGATGTCCCACTTATTCAATAAATGAGTTCAGTAGTGAATTTATTGTATGTCATATATGCATGCTTTACATTACAGTATCATTTTAAATACTAGTAAGCTGGAATTGTAAAATCTAGGAACTGCTGTGTTTATACTGAAATTACTTTTTAAGAAATAGTACTCGAAATTCCTACTAACAACTGCCAATATAATATTTCAGTATATAAGCATAGAAATGAATTAACTGGTTAGTAAAAATAATTTCCAAGTTTTCACTTAATTTAAGCTTTATCAAAAGTACCTGTGGAATTGTGTTACTTTTCATCATAACTGTGCATTTGTATTTCACAGAGTGAACAATAGTTTCATATGTGCATTTATGTTATACGTTAACGATATTCCATTTCTGTATGTATGTATTGAAAATCAGAGCAATAAAGTTTTTTTAAAAAAAAGGTACAAGCTTAGATTTCATTGAGCAACTAATGTTATATTTTAAAAGTTTATGATCTGCAAGTAGCTATCTATCAATTTTATCTTGTTACAAACCGATTGAATAACGTAACTAACAATAATACTTAAATGGTAATATATTGATACATTTATGATTTAGTAGGTGATTAAGTTGAATTTATTCTTTCTATTTGCATTAAATTTACATCGTTTAATTCAATGATATTAATATAATGGCCTGTCGTGGATAACCCCGTTAATCGTCTGGAGTACAATTTGATCAGTATTTTTAAAGAATGTTTTATGCTCATGACAGATGAATTAGATATTATGTAGTTGACCAGTAAGAATAGAGTATATTCGTTAACTAATATTATTCGATCATATATGTGTCTCCAAGACACTGCTCATATATATCCTAGAATCATCAATTAATCAATACTGTGTTTAGGAAAATGGTACTAGGTGTGGATGTCAGATCGACTGATGAAGTAGCGTATGTTCATCAGTTGAGGTGGTTGCGGCATGTATTATTTATATCCAATCACCAGCTACCTCAATAATCGATGTTATATGGTGTAGTAATAAACTAGAAAAAAGTCAAAATACAAGGTTTAAATCCATGAAGTCATTGACTTATTGGACTGAACCATATTGACACATATGTTGACAACCTGATTGCAGTCCTTGTAATTATCTCAACCAGTGGTTAAATACTTTGAATGACATGGCTTAAAATCATTTGCAATGGCGTAGGTGTATCCAATTTTTGTCTACTCTTAAATTCTAGTCTGAATTTCTCATAACCTTTTTTTTCGCTTTTTAAAATTTGTTTCATTGGCTTATACTTCTGGAATCATATCTTCGACCCCTAGTGTAGTGTGGGATTTGAACCCGAAATTCCATCTCTCTGTGCTAATGTGGTATGGGGACTTGGATTGATTTACCATACATACGAAGTTCAATGTTGAATTTGACTGACTGACTGGCTTGTGTCTTTTTATAGTCTATCGTTGCATATATGATCATAATGGGTAAAGTTGGTGATTTTAAAGTTTGTTTCCATTATGTCAGCAGCCTGAAGTTATTGAAAGCTCAGAAATATTAGTTAGCTATGCCACCTTAGTTTGAAACTGTTCAACACACGGGATTTAATCATTCAAGGTTTCATTTCAAAAGTGGTAGTTATGGCAGTGGTTTGAAACCCATTGGTTTCTTTTAAAAAAAAACCGTATTCTTTGTCTAATAATCTTGTGTTCCCTACCTCCGATATGGATTTTATAAATGTGTCTAATTTATGACCTTTGTAATCAACTTATTCATCAGTGAAACAATTACTCATTAATGATAATGATTGTAAACCTATTACATGTCACGATGCTGAAAATATTTGACCGTTAAATATAGCCTGATTTATTTAATGATATCACGTTCTCATTAAAGCCTTAATAACTCAGATTCGATCTTGTATGTACATTACTTAGGTGTGTTTGAACATCTCCCAATTTCAGTCAATGTCACGTTATGATAAAAATAACTGTCAACTTTCATAAAATCCCTAAACAGATTTATATATATATATATATATATATATATATATATATATAATTGAATATTTACTAGGTAATGAAGTATTTTAAGATGGTCATATTTCTATTATCAAATATATATTCTTTATGTACATTGTTCTAAAATATAATTGTATTTATATTATCATCAGATCAGATCTATTGACTTGAATAAATCGTACGATTAATCTCACTTTCAACATTTCACAACTCATCTGTCACACAATATCTATCTATCTATATATATATATATATATATATATATATATATATATATATATATATATATATATATAGGTCGCTTTTTAAACGTGTTGAAGATTTCCAATGGTTCTATATTTATGAATGACGATGCAAATAATATATATATATATATATATATATATATATACATATCTTCTATATTGTGTAAAGAGAAAATTTATCAGTATCATTATTGTAAGAAAAATAACATTAATTGACTTAGATTGACTGTAAATAAATTTGAGATATTATCGACGTGACTGATTCTGTATAGTTAATGTATATTATTTAGCTTTAATGATATGGGGGTTTTGTTGAAGAGTGAAGAAATATTGTAGTAAATTATCCAAATGTTTTATTGTTTTGAATGTTTGAATTTCTTGTTTATTTTATTTATGTTGATAAAAATAATTTATTTTCAGAAGGATGTTGCATTAGTTGTTCCCGTTTTATGGTTTGTGTAATACATAAAGAGTTATGGTTATTTTTTAATTTTATTTAATTTGCTAATTTAATGATTGATGATTGTACAGTGAATTTTTAAATGTTAAAATTTCAATAGCTCAAATGACATTTTGATCAAATTGAAATTGTGAAGTATAAAAAAGAAGCATTTTCCAGTAATATAAGTTAATTACAGTTCCGTGTTTGTACTGAGTAAATTTTGCTTAAAAATTGATCAGCATTTGACTATAAAAAATCGTATACTAAAATTGTAGAATTTTTTTTATCATATAAACTCGTATTAATATGGCTTTGACTGATTGTCAAACAATTTGAAAGCGTACAAGTGTTAGTTTTTCATTATTATTTTTATTATTATATTTGTTTTAATTTTGCTTTAATGAAACAACAGGAAGCTGGTATTCCAATTGATTTAATTGGTGGTACAAGTATTGGCGCTTTTATGGGTGCTTTATGGGCTGATGAAACTCGTGTTGCACAGTTTACTCAAAGAGCCAGAGATTTCACTAATTGTTTCAATTCTATATGGAAAAAAATTAAAGATTTCACTTATCCTGCTGTGTCAATATTTTCTGGTAAGAATTTGAACGAATCATGACAATAACAATAATAATATTAATGTCTATAAACATATATATTTGCATTACGGGGTTGTGAAGATTGTTAAGTTTCACATTTTTGAAACCATGAACCGATCAATGTTAGACCACTATTAGAAACCTGGAAGCACTGGACGGCCGTTTCGTCCTGGTATGGGACTCATCAGCAGTGCGCATCCACGACTCCTGCACCCCACAGGATTCGAACCCAGGAGCTTCAGTATTGTGCGCGAACGCCCTAACCGTTAGACCACTGAGCCGGTATCTAACGGTGTTAATGTGTAACTTGATCAAATTCACGGAGTTGCGCAACCTCATACACAGTCTTCGATAGACACTGCCTACACCCGGACAGTTTGAACTTCACTGGTCACGTCTTCCCACTAGAACTCCTCACGAAGCTAGTCACTAGTGAGCACAGGTGATTTGCATTACGGGGTTGTGAGGAGTCCCATACCAGGACGAAACGGCCGTCCGGTGCCTCCAGGTTTCTAATAGTGGTCTAACATGGATCGATTCATGGTTTCAAAAATGTGTGACATATATATTTATATATTAAAAATAACTATACAGCTCACTTCAGTTTACTGCTATAATCAGGTTAATATAATTAGGAAGTAACAACATTATTTTAGATGGTGTGATTCATAAATTAATCAGTCGAATATTAGTCACAGAGTTGTGATTGTTATGAATCATATAGTCTAAACAAAATACATAATCATTTTATGATAAAACATTATTGATGAAATGCACTTTGTTCTAGTCATCAACCGTGCAGTTTATGGAGAATGTGAGTACGCTAGTAGGGTAGCATACCTACATTGTGTGTTTTTTCAAAATACATAAATGTCAATTTTCTGCTATAGAAGGTACATTGGCTAATTTATTATTTGCTAGACGTTTCACGTATGTTCACTGTTAAACGGTGGTCATTGCTACCATAACTAGCACATGTTACTCAGTTATGTAATTGACTTTTTGATTCTCTCTAGTTATAATAATAAGTAGGGATTAAGATCCAGTATCTTCTTGTTAGAGTGACTCAAAAAATCAATCTTATGGAGAGGTTAAATAAATAGTTTAATATTAGGACAAATTTAATCCAGTTACTTGGCAACATTCTGCACTGTGTCACAGTAATATATTATAATACGTATACTAATATATTAATACGTTAATATGTATGTGGATACATGAAAATTATTTGGCCAATCAAGTCATTCTATGAGATTATTAGATTTTCATTGTACGCGTCACAGTCTGGCATTAATTAAATTGTTATTGAAAACAAAAAGTACTAAAGATCTGTTTCATTCCTGTATGAAACTCTTTAGTAGTGCACATTTATAACCACAGGAGAGATTCGATCTAGGGCATTCAGTTGCATTCTTTCCAATGCTTTCTGCTTTTCAATAATATCGTGACTAAAATCACTCTGTTTTATAAGCACATAATTCTTAAAGGGAAGATACGATCTAAGTGAAGGAAACTATGTAAACAGTTGGTATGAAATTCGGAAAAATTGTTGAATAAATCTTATCTAACTAAAGACGAAGCAGGAGTGTTACAAATTTTTTCGAATAAAGAGCCTAGGATGCTCAGCTCCAATTCTTTTGGCTTTTGCTATATTTAGCAGGTGATTACGAGTTCCATCATGAAAACTTAGACGTAAACAACAAATTTTCATGGTGACTACTCTTCTAGACCAAGTTAAATAGAATGGACTCATCGTGTATTGATTTTGTCTGACCCTTTCCAAACCACATTGAAAGGTTGTCTGGTTTTACATCAAATGTAGTGTTTTGCCATTTGAGCAACTGAGTTCATACATACATACATACATACTTATGTGACAAAATCGGATAACTTTAGCTGTGAAATCGTCATAGTCCAACCAAAGTATAATAAACTGATAAGTAACTGCATCAAAAACTGTTTTTACTACTCTAGCTGGCTTATTGTATAGTACATGTTTAGCTGCGTCATTGTAAAAGTTAAGCTCCTTATCAGCAAAATGAGAGACAATTAACATACTCTTGTGTCTGTAATTTCATATCATTTCATTTCTTTTACGTCATGCTATTTGCTTGCCTAAATGAATTTTCGATATTGGTGGTACACTTGTACTATTTCATACGATGCTTAGTATACACACACGCACACACACTAATGAAATACAAGTTTCTGCATTTTTTTTGCATTTCTCCTTAGTCATTTGTACAGAATTAGTAAAAATGGGTTACATTGATGATATAAAACATTTTAATCTCACCATATCCGTTACCTAATTCTTTTTGATTAGATGTAATTTTGATTTTATCTAGCAAAGGGTCTAATATGCTGTTGTCAATGAATTCATTCTTATCTTGTTGGTTGTTAAATGCAGAAATACATCATCATTTTTTGACCATTGGATCTTTTTTCGAAGAATATAACGTTTAAATCAATACTTATCTTAAGTATTAAACTATGAATACAATGTTATCTAGAATTATAGGATTGATGTCGAATAAATGTATACGCTAAATGTTTCGATATCTATTCTACTTAAAATAGAATAAGAAAAACTTAATGACAATCATTATTACTAAATAGTACTTCAATTTTAAATTCATGTTACTTTATTTCGTTTATTCAATGAATTAGTTTGGATTGGAAATCAATAAACAAATTAGATTGTATAAAATGCGGAAGAAATAGAAAGAGAATTAAATGAATGCCATGTTTTCTGCAAATAGTGTTGTTTGTGTTTTGTTTATTGTTTATTGTTTAAATTTGTGAAAGGAACTAGTTGTTTGAGTTTTGACATGTGTTTCACATGTTCAGCTACTGCTCTACCTTAATTACGTACTCATAGACTGGGATATGAGTGACTGTTAATTTTTATGGCGTAGGCCGGATATCTGTTTGCTGACTAAAGAACGAGTGTACTGCGCAGTAGTTCGCTCCGTCCTACTATATGGATGCGAAACATGGTCAATTAGAGTAGAAGATATTCGTAGGTTATTAGTATTCGATTATAAATGTCTTCGAATCATTGCACGTATATTCTGGGACAACCGAGTAAGTGATGTTGTAGTTAGGAAACTTGTACAAGTTAAGGATCGCAGATCAATAGATGAAGTGGTGAAACTTCATCAGTTGAGGTGGTTGGGACATGTGGTATAAGAGTCTGTTGGAAGAAAGCTAGGGGCGGCCGAATCAAAACATGGTACAAATCCACAAAGTCACTGACAAGTGAACTGAGTCATGTTGGTAGGTGTCGAATACGTGGTTAGGGTGCTCGAGAAGCAAGCTACCGATGGTCAGAGACCTTGAACGACATGGCTCGAAATCGTTTGCAATGTCTCAGGTGCATCCGCTTTTTGTGTTCTCTCAAATCCTAATCTTCTGGATTCGTCAACACCTTTACCTTTGTCTTTCTAAAGTTATCTCACTGAACTATACTTCTTGAATAATATCTTCGATCCCTAATCTTCTCCATTACCAGTAATACTTCTACTACCTCTAATACTATGGGATTTGAATTAACAATTGAGTCTCTTTGCTAATGTGGTATGGCAACTTGAGCTTATGTACTCATGTACGAAATTCTATGTTGTAACTGACTGACTGACTGATGTATCCAGTGGCCCGTATTATCATATGATCAAGACATTATTTGTTTAGCCCAGCCGCTGAGGACATTTTAATTAGAATCTATACTGCTATCGTACTGTACAGGTTAAGTTAGATTTTTAGATAGTATGGTTGAAAAAAAATCAATTCTATCCACATGATTATACTTTTTATTTATCTTGGTTAAATTTTGAGTTTATTGTCGTTCCATAATTTTCGCTTTTCAACCTTTTTTTGTCAATTATGACCTATGTTGTTTATGTGTTTGCTTATAATTCACTGTGATCAATTTCATTGTTTCCGCTCGTTTCCACCTAATCTTGAAAATATTCTGCATGTGTATATATATATGTGTGTGTACTGACTGCATCAGCATACTTGTTTTTCTAAACTTAGCTTTTTATTATTTTTGAAAAGTTTTTCCAACTGATGTGAGATTAGTAAATCTGTCATGCGTGTACTTTTTGTTTCTATTTTCACTTAATTAGTGCATACTAACTGCTGTAGTCTTAATAAGAAAAAAAACTGCAGATCTTGTTTTTTTGGTATTCAATATTATCGTTTGTGACATTTTGTGAACTGTTTACATATTTTGTGTAGTAGTAGTAGTAGTAGTAGTGTGGTGCGAACTACTTATAAGCAGTATATAACGTGAGTGTCAACGTAAAGTCTGGTAGCATAATATGGGGGGAAGATCAAGAAAGGAAGAGTTAGAAAACAATGGAATTTGTATGAAACGCATGAATAGTGACAATGGATTGATGTTTGGCAACAGGAACAGTCCAGTTCCATAGGATGAACTGATGTTTTGCAAATGAACGATTTACGATATGGTTTTCCAATTTTACTGAGTAACTCTGTAATTTTCGTTCAATACAATTCGGTTGCCCCACCTGTGTTCTCATTCACTACAGTAGTAGTAGAAATGTAACAAATGAATTTTTCTGGTTATTTAATCTTTTAAGTAATAAAAATTTTCGTCCATTGTATTCAGTTGATGATTGTTTTTTTTTCTTTTTTGTATTGATTAAAATGAATAATTACTAATCACTAAATTAATGACAAAAAATTCATTGTTTCCTAGCTTTATCAATCGGTATCAGTGTATATTTTCTAGATTGCTTCGAATCTTTCTACACTCTCCGCTGTATTTATTAAATAGTTTGAAGCTGGAAATCTATAAATCATGGGATTTCATCTTAGCGGACTATAGAAGTATAATAACATTCTCTGTAGGCGAACCAAATTTATTGTGTATTTACTAGTTAAAAAGAATTTTTAAATCAAGATTACAAAGACGAATGTGTATACGCCTAATTATATATTTAATGGATTAAACACCTGTTAATTCGACAAATCAAATGATCTTTTAGCTTTAGAAATAGTTTAAACAGATTACCGTTTATTGTTATTTTTCATTTTAGGTAAAGAATTGAATCGTCAACTTCAATCTATATTTTATGATCGTCAAATTGAAGATTTTTGGCTTCCTTTCTTTTGTGTAACCACAGATATAACAAACTGTAAAATGCGTATTCATACACAAGGTAAAATTCATTGATTCTATCATATTGATTTGCTTTGGTTATATTCACTAGTTATGAAATAATGGTTAGAAGTGATTGTGATGTAGCAGTTTTCTTACTGATTACTACTTATTGATTACAATTGGAAAACATTTGCATAGGTTTTCTTATTGTCTGATGCTTACTCATCAGCTGAGCACCTATGAAGTTCCAGTCAGTCAATCAGTCAGTTAGTTACATCGTAGAACATCGTATGTACGTACATCAGTTCAGGTTGCCATGCTGGATTAGAACAGAGACGCAACTGTCAGTTCGAACTCCATAGTGATAGAGATAGTCGAAATATTAGCTGTAATGGAGAAGGTCAGGGTTTGAAGATATTATTCGACATGTGTAATTCAGTTAGACGTTCCAAGCATATTAATGATTATTTTATCTAGTAAGCTTATTATGCAACTTCTCTGTTAATCGGATCATATATATAAAGTGGTGTCATTCTTTTGTAAATAACTTGATATGATTATGATCATCAAATGGTGTCAGACATATCTTGTTTGGTCAAAACCATTTTATTTCCACCAAATGTTTAATGCATGAAATAACATCATATTAAATGTAAATTTAATTCAATATAAATCTATCTAATTGTTGTAAATGAAATTATCTAGTTTTTGTATGATGCTTTTGTTAGTGGGACATAGATTAGATTAAAGCATGATTTGCGTTGCTGCACACTAATTGGCTAATTCTCATCTAATCAGCGCTAGTCGATACTTGGAGAACATTCTAGAAGCTTCTCATGTAAAAACTCTAAAGATACTAACGTTGTTCCTATTCTGTTTCGGCTTCTTGCTTACACTTGCTATTTAGAATATAATCTCTTCCCTGTTCAACCATGTTCTGTTTTGGGGACATGTTGAGTGAATTGGTGTCCATGAATACTAAGCATTTGAAATAGTTGGGTTCTACTAAGAGAGAATTATAACAGCTTTACAAAGTTATTATCTTAAGTAATCATATTGGATAACCTAAACGTGATTGTTATTGTTTGATTTCTACCTATCGTCGAATAAGCTACTCATTTTAGAATGTCATTCTTAAAATGCCCGTATCAAATAGATACGTGAAGCCTATTGAAATTTGATTAATGAGGTTATACCAATAACTCTCTTTGTTAGTTAACATTAGTAGATATTTTCGTTAATTGTTTCGGATATTTTCCTCTGTAGTAGTTGCTTTCAAGACTATATTTCCTATTCTATTTTATTTCGTGTCTTTTCCCATGTGACTTGACTAGTTCACCTTTGATGAACTATATTGACCCCGTAGTTTATTTCTATTAGTAGTAGAATAGTAATAATAATAATAATCATAATCAATTTTCCATATCCTATTCTCATAATGACACAATTTAGGGTCGGTTTGGCGTTACATTCGTGGTGCTATTACATATCCACCATTGGATCCACCTATTTGTGATCCATATGATGGTGCCTTATTGGCTGACGGTAGTTTCTTGAACAGTGTCCCAGGTAGGGGTGTATGTACCATCAAAATTACAAATTATTTGTCATAACATCCGAATCATCTATCTCATTGATATATGGTGGTGATTTACAAGAGCAATATTATAATGCTTAACTTAAAAAAATAAAAAGGAAATTTCTTCAATAACCATAGATAGAGCATGTCATAAAATATAATCTGCTTATACTCGCATGTGCCTATAATAATAAAATTATAGATGTCTAATAATATAATTGAATCTGCTTCCTAATCATGCTGTAAGTGTAATATTGCTTTTTAACAGTAAATAATCTATGTGTAGTAATAGTAGTGCTTAAAATGTAAATAGCTTTTTTCGTTTTCTTTTTTTTTTTGCAATTCTCTTCAATGAAAAAAAAAACATTTGCTGTATTTTGAATCATTTTCATGCCTTATTTTCACATTCTTAATTAATCATTCAAATTTATTTATATCGCTTGTAAATGATGTCACTGTCTGCCTACATCTAATTCTCGTGCATATATAAACGTTAATAAAACGTGTACACACATGTAAACTATATGTAGGATCATCATGGAGATATATCCGTGCAAGTATGTCATTATCTGGTTATTTACCACCATTATGTGATCCATACGATGGAAGTTTATTATTGGATGGTGGGTATACTAATAATCTACCAGGTCAGTTATTTTTTTCATACAATTTTCAGGTAATATATTTATATATATACGTACATACGTATATATTCAGTTTTAGTTGTGTTTTGTAAGTGTTCCAACTGAAAGAAATTTCACTTTTAACAATATTCATGATTTGAATGGAATTTAACAATTAAATGTGTGAAATCAGTTAATAATAATAATAATAATAATAATAATAATAATAATAATAATAACAATTATCTATCCAATTTATGCTTAGATAATTATTATTCTTATGTGATATATGTGAAACTGTCAGAAATCAATAATAGGGTAGGGTACTTGAGATATTTTCTTGAGTTAAATTGACAGCTCACGCTTTGTGCTTATTTCTTATGTGAGACTATTTTGAATCTAACATTTTACTCATTTAGTTTTAATTATTAGTAAAAACATTATTTTTAGTAAAATGGATACATTTTGTTGGGGACGTTAGATCCCAAGAACTCAATTTATACAGGTCCTAATTTTGGATATTATGCTTTCGTGCATGGGCTGATCAATTGACCTTGAGATTACATTTCCCAATAGGAAAATCCATGGCTGTGATTGGCTGCTGTGTATTTTAGTGTGCTATTTTCGTAACTGTCCCAAGGACGTTTCTATGATGTATAAATAAACGAGAGTTGTGTGCTTGATTGTATTGTGATTGCTGGGTGATTGTAGAATATACTTTCTACACTTACAAAGCCTTCTGTTACAGCTTGGTTTTCAAGGTAACCTATCTGGACGCTGGTAATTGTCTCGTTCACGTTTGTCGACTAGGGTGAACTCGTAATAGCTTCAAGCGTACCTAGTGACGAGCGTAACACGGATACATCTTGTTGGGGGCGTTAGATTCCCAGGACTCAATTGATAAAGGTCCTAATTTTGGATATTATGCTTTCGTGCATGGGCTGATCAGTTGACCTTGAGATTACATTTTTCACCCGGGAAACCCTTAGCTGTTATTGGTTGATGTATTATTTTAGTACGCTTTTTTTCTGGCTCTCCTAAGGACGTTTCTATCATGTATAAATAAGCTCAATTTATGTGCTGGTTAATCACATATTTTCTGGGTTCTTGTAGAATAAACTTTCTACGCCTTATCAAGACTTCTTTCTCTACTTAGTGGGGCCTTGTGACGCTTGGATTAGAGTAGCCTATCGTGTCACTGGATCATTTTTCTTCGCTCCCGTTTCCCGACTAAGGTGAACTCGTAATAGTTTCGAGAATATCAGTCGACGAATGTAACATATTTTCATCATTATACAGAAAAATTGACTCAATTAGACTGAATCATCAATGATTTGCCTTTAAGACAAATCACAAATACATCGATAGTATCGATCAACTTGTTCAAATATTATTCTCTTGTTAATAAATTTGTTTGAAAATGAGTAGAACTGTTAAGCTTATTATTCTACAAAAACATTCTTTTTGTTGTATGATGATCATAATGAATGGTTTTATGTAGCGTAAATTTGTAATGACTGGTTACTTTCATTCAATTTATTACATTTTCGTCATGAATTACGATTAATGATATTGGATTGCCACTATGCTAACAGACCGAAAAAAAATAAACAACATTCAAGAAATATATATATGATAATTCTTTTCTGTTTTTTAGTCAGTATTATTCTACTTTCAAATTATTATGATTGATTTAGTGTAGCGATATGTTCACTACTACTCATTCATTAGTTTGCTGTCTATTTTTGTCTATTTTGTTTTCTAGTACAATGCTAGAATTGTTCTGTTCATATTTGCTTTTTATCACTGTTTGTGAATAAGAAAAGCTAACAGATAAGGGGCTATTTAGTTGATATTACAAAGGTGGTTGGTGTATTTAATTGATGAGTGATATTTACTAAAATATAAATGAATTGTCAATTAATCTGTTTGATTTGAACGTGTTTAGTTTTATGCTTAGACTAGGCAATGATCAAATTATTCCATGAATAAGATTTTTGTTTGTTTAAAAGTTATAGTTGTGTTAAATTAAAATTCACGAAAGGCAGTTTTGTTTTCATCTAATGAAAATGTGGGCCTTAATATCATCCAAGATCAATTATATAATTGTTATCAGTCAGTTAGGTTTATATTTCAAAACAGAAGTGAATTTAAGATTTCATTTCCTTGGTATCTTATTGAAAAAAAGAGTCGGATGGTTCGTCTATATCCTGAAAATCAACTTGGATGCAATTGTCACTTCAAACCCTATAGTTGTAGAGATAGTAGAAGTATTACTAGTAATCGCAGAGATTAAAGTTCGAGGATATTATTCAAGAAGTATAATCTAGTGAAAGAAACTTGAAAAGAAAAAGATAAAGGTGATGAGGAACTCCGAAGGTTAAGATTTGAGAGATCGCAAAGAGTGGATGCACCTGCGCCATTGCAGACGGTTTTTAGCCATGTCATTCAGGGTCTTTAACCATCGATTACTATCATCTCGCGGACACCAACCAGGTAGTTGACTCCTACCAACGTGACTCAGTCCACTTGTCAGTGACTTCATAGATTTGTGACATGTTTTTATTTGGCCGCCCCAAGCTTTCTTCCAACCTATTCCTACATCGCAAAACCTTGCTCGACGAGGAAGTCGGTGGTTAGGCATGTGCAGCACATGTCCCAACCACCTCAAATGATAAAGTTTCACTATTTCTATCGATCTGTCATTCCTACCTAGAACCCGTTTCCTAACGACAACATCGCTTACTCCGTTGTAACAGGATACACAAGCAATGCTTCGGAGATACTTACGATAGAAAACCAGCAACTTACGAATATCTTCTAATCTGACTGATCATGTTTCGCAGCCATATAGTAGGACAGAACGAACTACTGCACAGTACACTCGTCCTTTAGTCAGCAAACGGATATCTCGCTTACGCCATAAGTGACGCGAGTTGGAAGAAGCCATTCGCGCCTTCTGTATCCGTGCTGCGATTTCGCCAGTCACCAGGTCATCATCACTGGTGATACTACCAAAATAATTGAAGCTCGACTACTCCACTCCATATGGTTTGAATTAATTTTTCTCGTTAGCGTCTTTTTAGAGAGTTGGTATTTGGCGGGACGTGGTCACCAACCCCAATCCCAACCCTCCTCCTTTATTCGGGTTCGGGACCGGCAGTAATTTGGTACGATCTACAGGCGGAGTTATAGTGACAGATTACTCCAACTTTGATATGCACTTATTGGAAAATAACTTGTCATCCAGATTAATTGATAGACACATAAAACTTTTAAGGCTTGACAAGAAAATATTCAGTAACACAATGCGTCTTGTTATATTTGTCAAACGTTTGAACAATCATTAGTGTTCACATTCAACAAACCAGCGTTAAAAGTCTTATGTGTTGTAAGTTTTAATTGTATTTCACATGGTTAGCAGTATGTCTAGAACAAAATTGATTTGCAGAAGTAAGTCGTTGCTGATAAATTTTAACACTTTCAAATCAGATGCAATTACTTCAACCAATTTGATGATTCTGTTCAATCATTAAATAAACCAGTAAATGTTTGAATAAATAATATATTGTTTCACATTTACTTTCTCACGTCATTATCATCCAACAGTTTTATTTTTTTTTTTGCTTTATTATTGCTTTGCTAAATTTATTTGGCATTCTTCATATTTTCATATTTTTCTTTTATCGTACCATTTAATTTCACTGTCGTCAACATTATCTTGTTCGTTAATTTGCTAGAATATGAATCAATATTTGATTTGTTTGTCATAATAATAGAATAGACTACAATACAAAACATTTTATTGCATTTATCATTAACATGAAATGTTTATTATTTATATGGTGATATATGATGATTTAAAGAATTGTTTCTAGAAATTATTATTGTGTATATTAGTGTATTACTGTAGTGAAGGAGAACGCATGTGGGGCAACCGAATTGTATTTAGCGAAATTACAGTTACTCAGTGAAATTGGAAAACCATATCGTAAATCGTTAATTTGCAAAACATCGAACTGGACTGTTGCTGTTGCAAAACATCAATCCAATGTCACTGTTCATGCGTTTCATACAAATTCCATTGTTTTCTAACTCTTCCTTTCTTGATCTTCCCCCATATTATGCTGCCAGACATTACGTTGACACTCACATCATATACTACTTATAAGTAGCTCACGCCATATTACGACTTGAAATTCTCATTTATTGTGATCATCTTGGATTAAGAACAATTTGGCGATTAGAAATACCTTCGATATACACATACAAATCATGTGCGCACTACTGACGTAATTTGCTCTCTATCACGCCTTATATTGCTGGATAGACGATTCTACTATGTTGAAGATGTATATTACACAAATTGTTCACATCCCATATGTACGGTAATATTATTCTTGGTATGTGTGCAACAAATTCAAGTTGATCACTGAATTTTGTTTTAAAAACAAATTTCATATTTATTGCTTATTTCATATAGTTAGCATGTTTGTGAATTAATTTTTTTTTCTATTCAGCTGATGTGATGGTGTGTTTCGGTGCGAAAACAATCTTTGCTAGTGATGTTGGTTCTGCTGTAGAAACAGAGCTTACAAATTATGGTGATCATCTATCGGGTTGGTATTTATTGTATAATCGATATTTCAGATTTGGCAGTTCTGTACTTCGTGTAAGTACCTCATTTTTGTTTTTTACTGAAAAAAGTTATTTCGTTCGGAAGATATTTTGTTAAAATTTGTATTCAGTAGTAGAGTAGATCAGCAGAAGAGAAAATCACAATTTACATTCATAAAAATTATTTATCGTTATAAACTTATATGTCTTCGATATTACATATCCACGTAATTAGTTAGCATTAGGTTGCCAATTTGTTGGAGAGCTCTGAAATACCCCTTGGAAAAGTCTCTAGAGGCCTAGAAACTCCGAAAGATGATTTATTCAATCAGCATTGAATAGGAGCTTCGCGGAAACTTCTGAAAAATACATAATCATGTGTCACAATTCTGCTTGGATATTTAGTCATACCACTCCCATTTTTAGTACTTTTTTCGAACGTTTCAGAAGCTCAAGGTCATGACTAACTCTATAAATACCCTTGTTTTGCTATCAATAAACTACCTTTTGAATAAAGCGTTCATCTCGTACTTCGTGCTTTTTCTATTGTGTACAAGTTGCAGTGTAGATTTAGAAATAGATATGAATGTAGATCTTACTTTTTTACATAGCAGACTTATCACAGTTTTACAGTGAACTGTGAGTCTTTAAACAGATTTTTAATACTGATAGTATTGTGACAGTTGCTTGCAGAGGCTAGACGTAGCTTGAACTCTAGAAAACTCTAGAAAAATGCATTAATGTTGTTGCAAGTCCTAATCTAATCCACTTATTTCTCTTGACTCATGAGACGCGATTCGGATTTATTTGTATAATTATGTAATTCAAAGTAAAATTTAGTAAAACGTAATGATTTCGTTTGCCTTATTCAATATTTCAGTTTGTCATTTATATGCGCAGCCATAATGGTAATAATTTAAATTCCGTTTCGTGCTTGATGATATTTGAAGTCATTGAATCCGACTATATCTCACATCCCACTAACATAGAGATGTTGGATGAATAGATTGTAATCAAACTTAATTACATTTCATTTAACTATGAACTATGTCATACAATGATCCATGTAGAAGTCTCAGAGTTCAACTATGTTGGTCACAAGATTATACATCACTAATGAGAATGAATAATGTCTTCATACTGTCAAAAATTAATTGAAGATGAAAATTACAAACCATTAGATGCCAACATGTTGGTTTGAAAGTTAATGGCTACCCTCTACACAAAGCTTGAAGTTCTTGGGATCGATCTCTTTTGTCGACCGTAAATGCACAATGCTTTCAAATTAGAGTGGAATGACAACCATTTGTATTCAACGGTTGTTTAGTTGTGAATTGGTCCATCATCTAAACTATGAGTTTCGTTATATTTATTAGAACTATGTTTTGTAGACTAATTATCTAGTTGTAGGCTGTTTCAAATACTAATGTATTTGCACTTTAGTTTTTTTGTATCGTTATTCAAAAATGTCATTTATCATGATCATATCTGCACAATGCATTTTGAAGATTTTTTCTTTTCAGTTGTATATGCCTGGCATACCCCATATTTCATGTTCTTTTACCTTTAGATTTTGAACCCTTACCTGATCGCGTGTATATGTATATATATGCCATGTTAGCAGGTGTAGACAACATGGTTGGGTTCTGCGTAACAGTCGTAACCAGTGGTTAAAGACTTTGAATGACATGACTTGAAATCGTTAGTAATGGCTCAGATGCATCCGTTCTTTATTTTCTCTCAAATTCTAATCTTCTGATTTCTTCATGAACCTTTTTTCTCTTAAAATTTGTTTCACTGGTTTATACTTCTAGAATCATATCCTCTATCGCTTAAACTGTTACCTCTGCCAGTATGGGATTTGAACTGACAATTTCGTCTGTCTGTGTTAATGTGGTATGGTAACTTGCACTGATGTACGTACGTACGTACGAAGTTCTACGTTGTTGTTGACTGATATACATGGAACTTCAGTCAGTCAAATTTGTCTTACTTTAACAAACTAGGACTCAATAACTGTCTGTATCTCCTTTTACAGAGACTTCCTAATTATTTGAAGTCGAGGTTACAAAAATTCAGATTTAATAAATTGGAATATACTGATCTATTTTTATTCGGAGAGGATTATTCAGATGTTTGTACAGCAACAAATACATTGCACAAAGGCTTTCTAGTTACCGAATTCGACTCGCAAATAATAAATTGTTAATTCTCATTATCTTCGTCTGAATTTTCAGGAGTAGACCTTCTACTGGGAGGCTCGCTTATCGACTTAGAATATGCCGATGACATAGTTCTATTGGGTGAAGACGCTGACAAAATGCAGAGTCTTTTAACTACCCTAAGCAACAATACAAGCATGTTCGGGATGCGGTTTTTCCCTTCGAAATGCAAAATGCTGCTTCAAGATTGGGTTTCATCGGTACCTGAACTAGTGATAGGGAGTGAAGCAGTCAAACATGTTGATCGCTTCACTTAATTCGTTAGTCTCATCAGCGCCGATGGACTGATGATTGACGAAATCTCAGCATAGATATAGAAAGCTCGACTGGCTTTTGCCAACGTGCGTCGCTTGTGGCGAAGGCAGTAGTTTGCTCTATCCTACTTTATGTCTATGAAACATGGTCAGTTAGAGTAGAAAATATTCATAGGTTACTGGTTTTCGACCATAGGTATCTCCAAAGCATTGCTTGAGTATCGTGTGACAGCCGATTAAGCAAAGTAGTTGTTAGGAAACCGGTCCTAGGTAGGGATGACAGGTCAATAGATGAAGTAATGAAACTTAATCAGTTTAGGTGGTTGGGAAATGTGTTACGTATGCCTAACCACCGACTGCCTCGTCGAACCATGTTTTGAGATATAGGAATAAGTTGGACGAAAGCTAAGGTTGGCCAAGCCAAAACATGGCAGAAATCCATGCAGTCACTGACAAGTTGACTGATTCATGTTGTTAGGAGTCAACTACCTGGTTGCGGTCCTCGAGATGATAATAATCTATGGTTTGATACTGTAGGATTTAATTTGTCCCACAGATGTACTTCCAGAACTCTAAACGCAATATGGGTGAGCACAGAGTCAATGGGAAAGCTATAGTCAGAACAAGACCAATTTTGCTTTAAACTTGATCTGTTTCTAAACGTAAAAACAATTAGATCAGTACAATAATTAAGGAAATTACAGTTATCAAGTAAAAGGAGCAAACGTACCGACCAATATAGCGTGTCATGCATCAAGTTATGAGTCACATCATTATAACAAGATAATAATGTCCTTCAGTTAGTAGGTCATTTACAACAAAGAAAGATTACACACACGTCAGATCAGATTACGTGTTGGGCGCTTAAACCACAATTTGATTGGTTAGTTATGACATAACTACACTTAGTTATGGAAATAACTAACAGAGACCGTGAGTGACATGGCGTAGGTGCATTTACGCTTTGTGTTCTATGAAATTCTAATCTTCAGAATTCCTCATCACCTCTATCTTTTTCTTTCTAAATTTACCTCACTGAATTATACTTCTTGAATAACATCTTCGAACCCTAATCTCTCCGATTACTTCTAATACTTTTACTACCTCTACTACTATGGGATTTGAATTGACAATTATATCTGTATGCTAATGTGGTATGGCAATATGAACTGCTGTACTTACGTGCAAAGTTCTACGTTGCTGTTGATGATGATGATGATCGTGAGGGCGTTAATTCTAGTCCCCTACTTTATCCGCTATTTAGCTTTCAGATAATATTATTATCTTCTTGCACAAATCCTTCAAGTCAAAGCTGAGTTACTTAATCAAAAGGATTTACTAGATAAATCAGTAACATACTTGTACCACTATCATTCCTTTTTCTTGCGTTTAATTAATTCTCTGTAGTTGTAAATTCCTTTTGGATTCTAGTTAGTATCAATCATAATGAATGTAAAGTTTAGCACCAGATTGATGTCATTTCACGTTGCTATTATAATAAGTCACTATGACGCTATGATAATCGTAATATGAATAGCAGAAGAAATCACTAATAATTAAAAACTAAACTAAACTAGAAATGACTGAACGGGCAGGTATTTCTGATTAAGAAAAAAAAATACTAGCTAGCGAGCGATAAAGTGTAAATAAGTATATCTATGTGACTGTGAATGATTCTATGCAATCTAATTGTACATCTACAACTACAGGTCAAAATGATCATATAACTTATACTGGCATAGAATTCATTGAAGATGAATAATTCTCTTAGCATTCAACTCCATTCATACTATTTGTTTTTGATTAAATTCAATTGTTCATCGATTTTGGTGTACTATATACTCTCGCATATAAAATATTCAAAATTAATGCATTAAAGATATGTTTCATTTCTTTTTGTTAACAAGTGTCAATTGATTGAATTCGATGTTTTTGTCAATACATTGAATAAAAAAAAATGCAGAAATGCATCATGCATGTTAAACATACTGTTTTTTTCTTTTAAAATGATTAAATTCTGCTTCCTTTTGTGTTTGTATTTGTCACGTTGATATTCATCATCTCTTTAGTTACATTTGAGTCCGAATAATAAACTGACATCATTTTCATTTCTATTTAATGAAATCTAATTCATTGTACTATTGTTGTTATTGTTGTTGTGATTTTCAGATTCCAAGTCTAACAGAAATTCAAGCTCGTCTAGCTTATATTTCATGTGTACGACAATTGGAATACATTAAAGCCAGTGGTATATGTTTATATCTTCGACCACCGATTGATAAATATTTAACGCTTCAATTCTCTGCATTTGATGAAATAGCTGTGAGTTGTTTGCTTTTATGTCTGCATTATCACCGTTATTATTCTAAATATTATAATTGGTTAGTATTTATTAGTGCGAATTTTGCATACAAGCACTTAAGTATCATATATATACGGAAACAAAATCAATGTAAGAAATGGATTTCGTAAACTGTAAGTAAACAATTCATAGCTTTGATGAATATCTCGTAGCACCTCACATCTATGCGTTTACTTACACATATGACATTAAGTAAATGTTGAAATTGCAACTTGTTTTTTGCTTAGAGTTGGTCAGAAGATCAGCGAATATTTGGATGGAGGGATTATTGTGTAAAATTAGTATATCTACTACTCGAACGCTTTGTACTAACTTCCTATCTGGTTTCTAGACTTTGCAAATACTGTCAGACTCGATCCGTGTATAGTAGAGGAAAGGAAAAACAAAAGCAATTTGTATAGTAGATGACCATGACCTGAAAATTAGTATTTATCCAATCGAATCATGACACGATCCTCAGTTATTCCTGATGTTCCTAGGAAGTTTCTATTCGATGCTTATTAGGCAAGATGTTTTCATCCATATTTCCGGTATCTGGAGACTCCTAGAAAAAATACATTTTATGTTTCCTCTATTGGTTTTTTATTCATAACAAAGTGAGCAGAAATATGGGTTTTATATTGTGTTCAATTGAATTTATGAGAATATTTTAGATTAGTTCAGTTTGTGAACAGGAGTAGAATACCAAATCCCGTTAATCATTTTCTAATCATATAGGGTTTTAGTTTATATAAATACTTGTCACTAATATTTGTACATCGTTATGTAATTTGATAATCGATCTGATTATGTAACTGCTTGGAAATTCATTGTATAGAATAAATACATTCTAACAGAAATATTATTATTCATAGTTGTTTTGAGTTTCAGATGTTGTAGAAATGCTGCCCTTGACTTAACAATCCGTAACTTTATAACTGAACAACTATTCATGCAAGACTTAATATAGTTTTAAAGGTGTCATCCAATAAACTAATCAATTAAATGTCAAACCTAACTGTAATTGTTATACAAAGAGTAATATTCCATTCCGATTTTCACATATAAGTGCACTGAAATATACTTGTTTTTTCCAATCGATATTTCTAGTCAAAAACCATTCAGGGTTTGTACACTTTTTTATGGTCGTAATGTCCAGTAATAAAATGGTCAATATTTCTAATATTTGAGTACTAAGATATTGAAATTCGATCACAAATTTAACTGGATTCTATGACATTGTAATTTTTACAGTTTCGGATGTACTTCCATGTTATAATCATGTTGTGATAAGACGCATTGAATGATCTGTTGTTAACCAACGGCTTTTTTATTTTTGGCATGAATTTTTTTTTTCACCCATTTACATCATTTGATTTTATCTGTTGAAAAAAAACAAACACCAATGATCAATTATCCATTGCATAAGTACACATCATTTAACATACATTTATGACTACAGAAACTTTAAGTACCATAAGATAACGGGATATCTATTCACAATGCACTGCCATATATTGATTCTATCTATATTCATCATATTTTATTGTAATAAATAATAATAGAGTGAATAAAGTTCTGAAACATTGAGTTTCTTTTGTCTAAACGTTTACTTTAAAGTATACTATATTTTTACCTTATCAGTATGATAGTGTTTGCGTTCCCAACTCATAAATCATATGATAGTAAATCTATTAATAGTAATAGTTATTGTTTTGAACGTAGAGCTTGCATACAGTTGTGAATGTTGGAATTTTTTTTACTAGGGTTTTTCTATCAGATAATGTGATAGATTTGGATACTACTACTACTGCTACTACTTATTACAACTATAAGAAGATATTAAATGTCTGAAAATTATTTCTTTTGATTATATTTCTATTCTAGAATGTTGGCTATGAATACATTAAATGTATGCTGAATACATGGCATGAAGAAGGTCGTTTACAAAATCTTATACCAGGTGTGAAACCGCATATCTCTTCTTCGAATGAACCATTGATTGATTCATCATCCAGTGCTCATTTTACTCCAACTCATTCACTTGATAGTTTTACTGCAACAACAGCCACAACCACAACAACTACAACTACCACAGCTATTAGTTGGTTAACTCAAGTTAGTTAATTTGATTATGCTTTATTTTTTTTTTAAAAAAAAAATGTTATTTTTGCATTTCTATTTTAAATTCACTTGTAGTGTGTAAGATGCTGGATTTTTTTTTCTTTCTCTGGCATGTACAAATTATGTGTATTATGCATTATTATTTTTATAGTAGAAATGTGAAAATGAATTATTATTTTTTTCCTTTTGAAAACTACATAAATCCAAAAACCATGTGATGATTTATATATGAAGTATAATAAAAGCCGACATTTGTACGTCATTTTATCATTTTTTTTTAATGATCATTATTATTGCTCAAAATGAATTTTATTTGTGCCAAAAAAGTAAATTAATATCTTTCCTTCTATAAGTTAATCAAATTAACAATTAATGATAATAATAATAATATTATTATTTAAAATTATTATACTTTACTAGTCCTGTTTTAGTGTAAGGCAAGAAATGAGGTTGTCGAACAATTGACGAAAATAGTAGTCTTTTTTTTCGTTACTTCACTATTCCTATGAGAATAACTTTCGTTCAATCACTGTTTTAAACTTTAGAATACTGTTTGTGAAAAGAATAAGAGTATTTTTATTAAACAGTTGAGTTTGTAGTGATATATTTTTTTTTAGTTTTTAGTAAAGTTATATTTTTGTAGATACTTCACAACTAAGATTTGTATGATTGACTAAGAAGCATTGCTCGTATATCGTGGGATAACCGAGTTAGCAATGGTATCGTTAGGAAACGAGTTGTAGGTAAGGATGGCAGATCAATAGATGAAGTGGTGAAACTTCATCAGTTGAGGTGGTTGGGACATGTGTTACGTATGGCTAACCACCGACTGCCTCGACGAGCTATGTTTTGTGGTGTAGCAGTAGGCTGGAAGAAAGCTAGAGGCGGCCAAACCAAAACATGGCAGAAATCCATGAAGTCACTGACTAGTGGACTGAGTCATGTTGGTAGATGTAGACTACCTAGTTGGGGTCCGCGAGACCAAAGTCACCAATGGTTAGAGACCTTGAATGACATGGCTCAAAATCGTTTGCAATGGCACAAGTGCATCCATACTTTGGGCTCTCTCAAATCCGAATCATCTGGATTCTTCAGCACCTCTACCTTTGTCTTCTAACCTTATCTCACTGAATTATACTTCTTGAATAGTATCTTCGAACCCTAGTCTTCTTCATTACCATTAATACCTCTACTATCTTTATCACTATGGGATCTGATTTGACATTTGCGTCTCTGTGCTAATGTGGTATGACAACATGAACTTATGTACATACGTACGTAGTTACACGTTTCAACTGACTGACTGACTGACTGTATGATTGACCAGCTTCTTAGACTGATCATCATTTTTTTTCACAAACAGTAAAATATTTCTGCTACAATATGTAATATTGTAGCTGTACAGCTTTACAGGCTGATAATTTGGGAAAAATTATTTTGATCGGTTCGCAAATGTATGTAGCATCGTCTTGAAGTATTGAATTCATGATAACAGAATGTTTTTTCGTTTCCCTACTGATTTTTCTGTTCGCTTAGTTCGTTGGTAAATAGGACTGAATATGATCGTATTGATAAATTATTCTAGTCTATAAAAGAAAAACTGGAGCTTTTGTTTTGTTGTTCACTAGTAACTTAGATTGACTTATACGTACTCCATAATTTTTAAACTTAACAAACAAATTAGACGAAAGATGATGATTGATTCACAGGTTCAATAAATAAGGTCATCTACCAAAGCTTTTCAATGTTCAGTATTCACTTCTGCTGGATTCATCAAATATTTCAATCATTTGATATTTTTTTTGTCTAGCTGTTATGTTATATTATTGATCCTTATAAATTTTCGATTTCATGATTTTTTCAAATATTTTTGGAATGAGCTTATACACATTGATCATTCATTGGACTATTCTCTCCATTTAATTTAGAGAAGACAAATAGCATTTTCTTGAGGTAGATCAGTAAAGTATTATTCGCATCACTTAGTCCGATGCTCACGGATACAGAAGGCTCGATTGGCTTTTGCCAACCTGCGTCACTTATGGCGTAGGCGAGATATCCGTTTGCTGACTAAAGGATGAGTGTACTGCGCAGTGGTTCGCTCCGTCTTACTTTATGGCTGTGAAACATGGCCAGTGAGAGTAGAAGATATTCGTAGGTTACTGGTTTTCGATCATAGGTGTCTTCGTAGCATTTCTCGTATATCGTGGGACACCCGAGTGAGCGACGCTGTTATTAGGAATCGGCTGCTAGGTAAGAATGGCAGATCAATCGATGAAGTATTGAAACTTCACCAGTTGAGGTGGTTGGGACATGCGTTGCGTATGCCAAACCACCGACTGCCTCGTCGAGCTTTGTTTTGAAGTGTAGGAATAGGTTGGAAGAAAGCTAGGGGCGGCCAGACCAAAACATGGCATAAATCCATGAAGTCATTGACGAGTGGACTGAGCCATGTGGGTAATTGTCGACTACCTGGTTGGGGTCCGCGAGATGATAATAATCGATGGTTAGAGACCTTGAATGACATGGCTCAAAATCGTTCGCAATGGCGCCTGTGCATTTATTCTCTGTGTTTTCTCAAATGCTAATCTTCTGGATTCTTCAACCCCTCTAGTTTCGACTCTCTAAACTTTTCTCACTGAATCATACTTCTTGAATAGTATTTTCTAATCCTCACCTCTCCGATTACTTCTAATTCCCTTACTACCTCTTCTACTATTGGATTTGAATTGACGATTACTTCTCTGTGCTGATGTGGTATGGCAACATGAACTGATGTACTTATGTACAAAGTTCTACGTTGCATCTGACTGACTGAGTCCGATGCTCAAGATCACTTATGATAAATGTTGCGTAAGAGGATCATTAACTTTTTGTTCTGCTTGCTCGCTGAAATCCATTTGTTCTGTATTTATCCCTGCCCCCTAAACTCTTTTGATAATTTTGAAACTTCCATTTTCATTTTTTATCTTTCTCTCTGTGCATGATTGTTATAGATACATTTAGCAGTTTAAACAGAGCTGCACTATTATTGCGAGCCAAACTATTGAATCTGATTGGATTTAAGCGAAACATTGTGATAATAAGGTTTTTAAGTGACTAAAATGTGATCATTATAGATTTTCTATTAAACCATGAATAGATTTTTAGTTTGTTTTTTTTCAACTTTATACTTGTATAATCCGATTTTTTCTTTTTTTTTTCTTAAAGAGTTTCAGTGATCAGTTGACCTTCATTGATCTAGCCGAATGTATAGCAAAAACATATAAAGGAGTAGATTCTTCAGGTAGGTGTTATTATTTTAGTTTTTAAGAAGATTTCCTATGTAATATTAATTATGAAAAGTTTCATTAATAATATACTGTAGGGACAATTAGTAAAATCAATCAAAACAAATAATTAAAATTACTATTCAGTCTTGTTAGATGAATTTATCAGATTATTATTATTATTATCAATATTATCAATTATTGATCAAGAATAATAATAGTTAATGGTTTCTAGTTATATTATAGTTTACTATGTTACAATGTTATTTCGTTAAATTTAAACTCGTCGTCTGTTTATGACGATAATTACCTTAAAGAGAAAGAGCTTGTAACAAGTTAATTTAATGATATATTTTTTTACTGTATGTAAGTTCATTTTTCCCTTGTGACGTATATGAAATACAATAGAGAGGTTTGGAAACTACATTTATATAATTTGAATATCCCAGAACAGTAAAGGTAATAGCAGTCAGTATCAGTAGTAACAGAGAAGACTAGCGATCGAAGATAAAGATCCAAGAAAATAAAAATTATTGAAATAATTTTATTTAAGTTATGAGGAATCAAGAAGCCTAGAATTTGAGAAGAAAAAAACAAAGAATAGTTGCACCTGTGCCACTGCAAACAACTTTGAGCCATGTCTTCAAAGTTTGTAACCAATGATTAAGATAATCACGCAGACCCCAACCAGTTAGTCATTCTACACCTATTAACATGGCTCAGTCTAATTTACAATGAATACATGGACTGGTGACATGTTTTGGTTTGGCCGCAGTTATGTAAAAAATGTCCCAACTACTTCAATCGATAAAAATTTACTGGCTTGTCAATTGATTCGCTATCCTTATCCAGTACCTTATTCCTAACACACGTATAGCCTATTTATTCGTCTCAGGATACCCGAGCAATGCTTCAGAGACAACTGTGATCAAATACTAGTAACTTACGAATATCTTCCATGTTTCACATCCGTATTGTTAGGACTCAGTGAACTGCTGCACAGTGAACCTGTCCTTTGGTTAGTAGACGGAATCGTATCCCAAACATGCTTGTAGTCATTCTGTCAGTTACAAAGTAGAACTTCGTGCGTGCGTACATCAGTTCAAGTTGCAATACCACATTAGCACAGAGACGCTATTGTCAATTCAAATCACATAGTATTAGCAGTAATCGGAAAGATTAGGATTCAACTATATTATTCAAGAAGTATAATCTACTGAAACATACTTGCATTGATGCATAAAGTTGTTGGTGGACTGCATTTTTGCAGCATCTTCATCGAACAGAACTATATCATCTGCACTCCATTCAGCAAGTGAATCCTTTAGAAGTTAGACGACGGAACTGATGATTCTAAGAACATCTCTGTAATAAAGGTAATTAATAATGAGGAAAGTAGGATGGCCCAGATGAACACTTTGAAGTAATCAGTCCCATTGAAAGTTCAATATAAGCTGTGAATCGAGTAGACAGGTGTTCGTGAAAATAGTTTCGGTTTTACAAAAATATGTTTTCCTTTTATTTCATTTGATAGACACTATTCAATGAATATTGTCTTTCATAATATCTGAAATCTATTTCATCAGCAAACATTCAGTGCTATATTAAATCAGTTAATGAAAGAACAAAAAAACTTGCTATTTTGTATTTCGTAACGAGGACACTATAGTTTGCAAACTGATTATATAACTGTCATATATGAGCAAGATTTAATTCTCAAAGCTATCCTATTCAAGATGATCTATCTTTTGTTGTATAATCTATTAGGCATTCGGAATACTGTTTTTTTAGATTCACTTTTTTTTCAGTCTAACCCCATGTACCGTTGTTGTACATCTTATTATTCCAGATTTATCATTAATTATTTCACTATTACTCCGTTTTCGTATCGCTTGTGCCTGCGCTATGCATGCATTGTAAATTTTTTATCTGTGTTGTTGTGCAGTCAGGTTTTTGAGTTATTTTATGGTAAAAGTTTTGAGTCATGAACAAGTAAAGCAGAGATATTTATTTGGACACAGATTTAGACGTTAAGGTATCGCTCATTATTGCTTTATGAAATAGATCATCGATCCTATAGGCAATGTAATTGGATTGGTCAGTAACTGTACTACAACTATCTCCATAATCAATGGCCCGACCTCATGGACCTCAGTGTAATCTAGAAATCTGTTTTCGAAAGTACAGTAGTAATGCTTCAGGATGTCCTTTTTATCCTATTTCTAAATAATGTCATCATTAAATCAAAGTATTTACTACCTATATCTAGAATATTCTCTATCTGTATATTTGCCATTTTTTCCAAGCAAATGTAACCATTTTTACTTTCGTCAGCGACAAAGAAAACCTATGAACAATATAAAACTTTGCAAACGTGTGTAACAGGTTACTAAAATTTACATAATTATTCAGGAAAAGACAAAAACGCCAATGGCAGCAGCCACGGTAACTTCAAAAGAAAGCAAGTGGATTTGATAGTTTTTTTTTAGGTTGTCCATTAAACAGATGTTTTGTGTATATTTAATTTATAAAGGAGATATCAGATGGTGTTATACAAAATAATAATAAATTTTATTTCAAAACGGTTCGTGAAAAATTTACTATTCGAATGAACACTAAATACACTGGCATAGTTTAGGTAGCGAAAACAATGTTTAACCTGTGAATTTTTTTTTTGAAAAATTACAAAACACTTATTTTTGTATCTGAGATACTTGAAGTAGTTAAAGGAATACTTCTACAATTACTTCACATTCTCAACAAAACTCTTGATTCATGAAATGATATCCAGTTTTTGACTAATAACACATTTTCTATGCTTTTGTTGAATAGGTTCTGATAAATATTACACAACAGATAGTACTAATGTACAAAATTTATCTCAAATACCCGATTTGGATAATAAAACCACGATTACTGCTACTAATGCTACTGTTTCCAGTGGTAGTAGTATAATTGCTGTAAGAAAATTTCCGAAATCTACGCACACCATTGTTTCGGATTCAATATCACGATATATTGATAATGATCATTGTTTACAGTCTGGATTTAGTTCGAAAACTTCACCGTCGAATGTAAAACACCACAAGGAAAAACAGAAGCATGTTTTCGACTTTGTGAAAAATAATCTCTCTTGCAAGCGTAGACGACGTTTTCTGAGTGATTGTTACAATGCATCATCAAATACCGTTGGCACTTATTCCTACCATGATGTAAATCGTGCTCCAATCCAAAACAATTTGATTACAACCGATGTCTATAATAATTTGCGCAGATTTAAATCTGATTATAATCTACTACAAATATATGACAACAGTCAAACAAGGAGCGTAATGACCAATAGTGATTTCATGTCTGTGAACAATCCATCTGCGAAATCTGCACACGTTAATAGATATAGTATGTCTTCGTTTAAATCTCTGGAAGATGATGGATATTTAGAAGATGATGAGAGTTCCACAGACAGTGCACATTCTCCAGTTACAGCATCTGACCCTGAATTGAGACATGATGTTTACCCTGAATCAATAAATGTGGAAGAAAGGGGTTTGCGAAAGAGATCATCCTCTACTTATAGACTACCACCTTATTTGCTGCATACAGAAGTATCAAAGAAGAAATGTGACTCCCCGAATTCTGATAATAATGCGAAAAATCCATCCGTCATAAAAGGGCAACAAGGAAATAATGATGTGATTACCAACCACTCGTCTGCACGTCATCGAACCAAACACAATCTCAAAAGACATCATCGTTCATCATTAGATCGAGTAAGACATTAAACTTTATTCAGTATTTATATACTTATCTCATTATTATTTTAAAGATTATGATGCCAGTGAATTTCGGGTTCTACTTTTTTGTGTGAAGAGATGAGCAATAGCTTAGGGATAGAAGTACTGGACCTTGAGCTACTTGAATGCACGATACAACCTACTTTTATTTGGCTGATCGGATTAGTATTATCAGCTACTCTTTCGCTCACCCTCCTTGCCACAAAGACCTGGCGTACTGTTACGGGTGTGAGGGCGGATATCACTTCTCGGCTGCCCACACCGTGGAAGGGCGTTTCTTGAGGAACCTGAAAAAGAAATCGGTTAGCCTTGGCCAGAGCGACCTGGATGCGTGATTGCAGAGTCCAAGAAACAACTGCCTGAGACCAGTCACGCACGACCTTTTTATGGGAAGTTTTTAGTGTTAGCTCTGCTCTTCGAAAGGCCTTGCTGCCAGAGACGGAAATTCGTGAGGTAAGATGAGGTGTGACAATTTTAGGGTTTATCTTTTCCAACCCCTTCCTTCTTAGTGAGAAGGCAGCATCGCTGGTTATCTGAGGGAAACACCTTACCGTTGTCAGTCAGCAGTACAACTTCGTCCTCAGACATTGAGTTGCTGCTTTTGGTCTAACCGTTCTCCAATCGACATGCCTGACATAGTAGAACCTACAGGAACATATGTTGCAGCCAATATAGCTCGGTTGAGTCATCACGATAGGCAAGCCCGACCACCACGTTGAGGTAGCAGCTACGGTCCGGACCAGCAAGACCTAGGTAGGATAAAACTATGGGCAACTTAAGCACCATAAACCTTAGAATTAGGTTTTGTATTCTCATTCTTGGACTGTCCAACTTTTCATAAGTGATTATACCCGCCATTACGTAAAGTCTATATTGTATTCATTCTCATTGTTTGAAGCCTGTGTGATTGATTATATTACACCTAAACTTACCACGGTACATAAGAATTTATATGATGCTGTGTTAAACTATGGTGGCAGGACCAAACCTTATCAACTCACGCGCTTGAATCTTACTCGTTTATAACGGTCTGATAAGTCTCCTTAAGCATAGTTGTTAACATGTACGTATGGCTAGTACTGGGCAGTGGTTTTCTTGTTTCCTAGTGTTCTAGATGGATCACTAAGCAGTCATATTGACGTTTTCGAATACGAGGAATGCTTGATGAGTTTATAGTTTCTGTCGAATCGACATATAATTAAATGGACACACAGACGATTGTTTTATATATACCATTCAAGATGGGGCTTTAGATCAGTGTATAAATATTGGGGCTCTAACTTTTAAACCATACATCTTGTAACTGTTGATCACTGCAAAGCATCTATAATAAAAACCCTGAAGATGTGTTTATCCTTTCAATTTTTTTTAGTTACGAACTGATCGTGACCGAGTTACAGCCAACTAGCTCATTAACCTGCCATAGTTCCACTGTGAATGTATGCTTACGTATGTACATATTCGTAAAATTGTGATATTTCAATTATCAACATGGCATTACAATTACTTCTGTGTATATGAGAACAGGTTCGCTTTTTTGTTTGTTTCATCTTTTCTTATTTTCAACTGTTCACTTACTCATTCACCTTATTGATTTTGTTCGATTCCAAAATAAGAATAAAAGTTATATATATATATGACCTATTATTAGCAAAGAGCATTATCATCTCACATTTTTTTCGCTTAATAAACTCTTGAAGATAGATGTTATATCTTATGTATATCATACATATTACTAATAAAGATTTTGTTCTGAGTGTTCTTTTTTGTCCGAAGTTTCACTTTATAGGTGATTTGATTTCGACCAATCTGGGTCTCGTGTGCTGACTGACTTATAGGTGATAGAATTAAGTTTATTTGAATGGTGGTGCATGTGTTTCCAGGGGATGCTTATTAATGTCATTGCTTATAGTTAAACTAATATGGAGTGATTTCTGAAGGAAATTTACTATGGAAAAACTGGAATACAAGTTTCTAGTTATCTCGTTTTGTATTTGCATAAGATATATATTGAACAACATTTTAAACAATCTGATCATACGTTAACATGTTGAGATGACTTAATATTATCAGGGTAGGTTGATGGTCAGTAAAAATTACTTTTGAGCATGGGTGAAATTTCAACAGGTCTATTCGTTTCTATCAAACATCACAATGTTAATTTAACACCGATCCTACACCTTGTTTTAACTGTATATTTTGACAGTACAAGGAGATCGGGTTATTTCAACGCATATCAAGCTCAATCTAAGCATAAAAAAAAGTCCAAAGCACTATATAGTTTTATCATTTGTGGTATTTTACTTACAAACTTTATTGGGCCGTTTTTACATTATATATATGGGGAAAATGAGGCTTGTTCAAAGTAGTACATGTTTAATAAAATTTTTTATGTACAGTGCTCAGTAATTTCAGTTTCTATCGATTTCTCCAAACTGCATGTGTTTGTTTTCCTTTTTTTACGTACGTTTTCGATTTTTTCATCCACAGTAAGTTCCACGTGTCTTGTAGATAGTTTTTTAATTGCAGTTTTTTTACCAGAAGGTTGTAAATGGTTAATAAATTTAGCTTCTCGAGATATTTGATCCAAATGATGATTGATTGGTGAGCTTTTTTGAAAGGTACCTGTAATAATATATATATATATATATATATATATATATATTAAATCTGGTTACTTGTTGATAAAATCTTTCTTATCAAAATCGAATTAATAACAATGCAAAAAGTTGTCTAGAAATTTAGGTTGTCAAAACGGAGTTCCGATTAATCCTGTGGTTGAAAATGAAATGCTCGGATTTTGATAGGCCAAAGCTAAACATACGCAAACTATGAAGAATAAACTTATACTCTAAGCCAACTATTGACTGTTTGATCAGTGAACTTTCTGATATTGAATTACTGCAAAATATCATGTTATGCACGAATGCCTACATAATACTACTTTAACTCATGCAAGAGAGAACGGGAATTCTTGTAGTTATGGAATACAATAATCATAATTGTGGTGGTGTTTCGTTCGACATTAACCCAATTTATCAACCAATCAGAAAAATCATAGGGGACATAGGATCAAAAAACAGATCAAAAAGAGAATACAATCAAAGCAAATGTGCAAACAACGACAGGTTTAAGGTCAGCAAGAACCAATCAAGATCGATGTTAGCAGAACAAGCTACAGGTCAAGCGTGGAGAAATTCGAATGCTTCACTTCTATCTAAAGTCAGTGCTGATGATGTTGTTCAGAAGAACAATGAAAGCTCCACAACCAAAACAACCAGCTCAGAGAACGAAACACCACCACAATCATCCACCTGAGCTACAAGTTTTCTCCACCATCTCACAATAATCATAAACAAACATACTTTCAACATGGTTTAATATTCTTCCCACGATAGCTGATCTGAAAATAAATTGGATAGAAATCGTTTAGAGAACAGTACAATGAGTCTACCGGATTCTGTATTCCGACCACAATTCTTGATAATGTTTAATCAAATCTAGTTGAGCAGCTAGAAGTTTTATTAGATCAATAAAATTATCCACATACCTTCACTTGTTTGCCAATTCAAAGAAGATTCTGGGTAGGTGCCAGTAATAAATAATAACGGAAAGTCTACGGATATATAACACTGTTTAGAAACTTACCAGCTGCTAGATGATAGTGAGGTTTAGCAGGGGTTTTACTCAAATCCAACATGTCATCAATGACCTTAAATATGAAAAGAAGATCAAAGTTTGTTTAATTGCTAATATTCGAATAGGGAAAGTGACTTTTTTGCTAAATATTACGAGAGGTTATTGTTAAGCAGTGTTTAATATACCCTTTTGAGAATTACAGCTGTCTGCAAACTGTCTTATCTAGTATGCTTCTCTCCAAGTGTAAAGAAAATTGGTCATACAAGAGTAATAATGTGAGTCAAATCCATGTTACTTACTTGTTTATACCACTTACCTGGGACTACAAATTAAGATGACCTAAAATGACCAATGGATACTACTGTTTGTTGACCGACCATGAATTACTTGATCAAATCACGTTTACTGAGTTGTTGTATCAAATAAATGGTTATAGACAAATAACCAAAATCTTATAGTTAAATGTTTTGATGGTGGATTGTTAGCTAACACTCCAATTTCATCACTTAAACAAAAATAGAAACGAACTCGTAACAAAAGAAATGGAAAAAGATAATCTGAGCCGCCTTGTTTATTAGTTTTTGAAATTAAACATCCATTATTTAAATAAATAGCAAACAATTATAATGTAAGGACCAACTTACTGATGGACTTTCATAACCTCTTCCTACCATAAACAAGACAGACACAATATACCGTATTTGATGATAAAGGAAACCTGAAGCTGATACGCTAATGCGATATAACTTGGAGGGACTAAAATGTAAAATTAAGAACACGTTCGTAGGTTAGTATGTACAAGTAATGATATTTTGGGTACTTTGAAAAGTTAAACTACTTGTTACATAAAAGTGGTATCTAACTACCTATCAAAAAGCGAGAATATTTCACGGGATTTCGGTTCCTAGTTACGTATAGGTGTAACTTGGAAAGCGTAAATGAAAAGATTATTTGGCCATAACTGTTTCAAAAAACTTCCTTTAGACGTTTCCCCATGGTAGCTGTTACCTTAACGTGGTGGTTGGGCTTGCCTATCGTGATGACCCAACCGAGCTATATATCAAAGAGGGGGATACAATCAAAACAAACGTGCAAACAACGACAGACTTAAGGTCAACAGCAACCAATCAAGATCGAGGTTAACAGAACAAGCTACGGGTCAAACGTGGAGAAATTCGAATACTTCACTCCTATCTGAAGTTTGTGCTGATGTTGTTCAGAAGAACAATGAAAGCTTCACAACCAGAACATCCAGCTTAGAGAAAGAAACACCACCACAATTATCTACCTACTCGACCACTACAGGTCGAGTGACAGCTTATGGCGAACTTTCATTGCAACTGGTTACTTGAAGTGGTGTCCGTCAGGGATGTCCGCTTTCTCCGTTCTTGTTTAACTTTGTCGTAGATATGAATCTAGAGTTAACTTTATCATCGTAAGACTTTTCAGCAGTAGACATCCTACCAGAAGACACGCTTGTTGACTTAGAGTATACTGACGACATAGTTCTGTTTGGTGAAGACGCTGACAAAATGCAGTCTTCTAACTACCCTAAGCGATTCTCCCTATCGAAACGCAAAATGTTGCTCCAGGATTGGCTCGTATCGGCACCTGAACTAATGATAGGGAGTTAAACAGTTGAGCGTGTTGACCGCATTACTTATCTTGGGAGTCTTATCAGTGCTGATGGCCTGGTATCTTACGAAGTCTCATCACGGATACAGAAGGCTCGATTGGCTTTTGCCAACCTGCGTCACTTATGGCGTAGGCGAAATATCCGTTCGGTAACCAAAGGACGAGTGTACTGCTCAGCAGTTCGCTTCGTCCTACTATATGGATGCGAAAAGACCCGTAAGAGTAGAAGATATTCGTAGGCTAATGGTTTTCGATCATGGGCATCTGAGAAGCATTTCTCGTTTATTTCGCGACCGTTGAGCAAACAATGTAGTTGTTAGGAAACGGGTGCTAGGTAAGAATGGCAGGCCAACAGATGAAGTAGTGAAACTTCATCAGTTGAGGTGGTTGGGATATGTGTTACGAATGTCCAACCACGGAGTGCCTCGTCGATCTGTGTTTCGTGATATAGGAATAAGTACGAAAGCTAGGGGCGGGCAAACCAAAACATGGCACAGATCCATGAATTCACTGACAAGTGGAGTGAGTCATATTGGTAGATGTAGTCTACCTGGTTAGAATCCATGAGACGATTGTAACCAATGGTTAGAGACTTTGAACGACATGGCTCAAAATCGTTTGCGATGGCGTAGGTGCATTAATTTTTTGGCTCCCCTCAAATCCTAATCCTCTGGATTCTTCATCACCTTTATCTTTCTCTTTTTAAGTCTATTTCGCCAGATTACACTTCTTGAATATCTTCGATTACTGCTAATAAGTCTATTACTTCTGCTACTATGTGATTTGAATTTACAATTTCATCTCCGTGCTAATGTGGTATGGCGACTGGAACGGATGTACATACGTACGAAGTTCTACGTTGAAAATGACTGACAATAAACGTTTCTAAGTGTTTAAATAACTGCGTTGTTAGCGAAATATTTGTGGAGGCTAATATATAGTTTGTAAATTGAATGCGTACCACTATCACTTAAAATGCTGAAGAGGTATGCTGCGTATGAACAAAGACTAGACACATCAGAATAATATCGGCAGCTCTTATTTTTGTCCACTTGTAGGTCAAAACAAAATGACACAACCAATCACTTAAATATAATACCGCCCGGAACTCTGCTGTAGTTACTGTCGGTACCAAGCCCGGACAAAGGGGGAGGGTTTGGTATGGAGTTAGAGACCCCATCCCGTAGAAAACCAACTTGCTGAAAAAACGCCAACCTGAAAAAAATAAGTCAAACCAATTAAACTCTGTCCAGCAGTTCGAAGTTCTTCATTTACAAGTTATTATTCCTCGTGATGAAAGCTGTTTTTTTCGGAAGCCACAGGGCTAATGTCCCTTCTGATAACCTGAAATTCAGAATTTTCAACACAAACATCAAGACCGTTTTATTGTATGGAGTGAGAACTCGGAGAAGCACGAAAGCCATCATCCGCAAGATATAGGTGTTTATTGACAGTTATCTACGCAAGAGCCTGTGATATTGTGTGAGGATAGCTTCAATACATACTGACTACATCATAAAAATCGAAATATATTTCAGATGTTTTGAGTATAAGCATATGTTATAGCACAATAAAAATATTAGTCACAACCATCAAGAGTGTAATGATCTTTTAATCTCTTTCATAATCATTAGTTTATTCAACAATATAAACGATCAATAAAAAATAATGAACCATAGTACAAAAATTGTATTTGTATAAAATTTTGTTCAACTTACTGTCCAATAACATATATAAGGAATATTTTCAGTGAGATTAATCACATTTCGACTAATTAGGACTGTAAAATAACAAAATAAACATTTATTATTTGTATGTGGTTTCATTTATCTTCTACATGCAATTATTTACATGTTTTTTTTTATATTACTTCGACAAGAACGAAAGTAGTAACTTACAAACGCAAGAAAAAAAACACCTAACCAAATTCAGACTTTGAGTTATTGTTAATTAATGGTTTATTATCCTGAAAATAAACACAAACGTGTTTTCGAAAGGATAAGAAAAAATTGTTTGGACATTTGCATAACAATGAACTTGTTACAGTAAGAGCTGATCAAAACAGTTTGCCTGTAAGGTTATTAAAGACGCTTGTATATGTCGTGAACAGTATGATACGACTGAAAATAATACAAGTATCAATTGTAGTAAACAAACAAACAAACATAGAGACACCAGTTTAGAAATCACAAATGAAGGCGATAAATAAGAAGCATGTGTTGATTTTATAGCTGAATATTATTTAAGAGAAAGTGAAACGATCGCATCTGATTCACTGTCTCATTAAAAAAAAACATGTCATTTAACATTTGCACACCAAAAATTAAGATTATGAGGTGAAGACCAAGTAGAAAGGCTGAATTGGAAGCGATAATATATTTCGGTGAGATACTCTTAGTCTCCTAACTTGTCCAAATGATGCGTTTTATCATTTATACAATGACAGTTAATTTAATTGGCATAGGATTACTCACAGGTATTAAATTTGAGTGATGAAATAAGTAATGTATCCTTGAATCCAATGCTGCCGACTGTTTCTCCCTGTTCGTTTTGAACGTTATATACTCTCACCATAATGGTTACCAAATGTACAGCTTCACTACGCTTCCCACGAACATATTCAAATCTATATTGTGAACAAGAATAGTAATATAATGTTACAGTGATCGGTAAATGAAAACCATGTGTTCAGATTTTCAGCTACGCTAAACCCATCATGATAATTTGTTATGCTCGTCATTTGATATGCTTGAAACTATTACGAGTTCGCCTTAGTCAATAAACGAGAACGAGATAATGACTCAGCGACACGGTAGGCTACTCTAATCCATTGCCCCAACTAATTGAAGAAAAAGTCTTGATATAGAGTAGAAATTGTATTCTAAAAACACCCTAAAAATACAATGAACTCAAGCACACAATCGCATTTATTTTTAAATCACAGAAACGTCCTTGGGAGAGTCACAACAACAGCACGCTAAAATAACAAAGCAACCAATCACAGCAAGGGATTTTCCTGGTATGGAAATATGATCTCAAGATCATCTGATCAGCTCATGAATAAAATCGAAAATTAGGACATTTATCAAGCGAGTTCTGGGGATCTAACGTCCTCAACATAATAATAATAATTCACTTAAACTGATATTCAATGCAAGATACTCTGACCACTAATCCCAATTACAACACAGAAATATTATTCGATAGTTAAAGCAATTTTTACGCTCTCACAGTGTATGGTTGCCGCTAACAGATAGGCTACAATCCAGTTTGATAAGGAATTACATACAAATGAGTATAGTCCAGTCAGTGTCTTAGATTTTAGTGATACTGAAAATAGAGGCAGTTCATATTCTCAGCAGATTCTGTTCACATTTAGAAATTTATTCGTAAACTAAAACTTACTTGATGTCAATTTCACCATACTTCACAAAATTTATTTTCTTTTCAACCTCTTTTTTTGTTTTCATTACAATCTATTTTTATTATAATTTGCAAGGTAGACATTGTAAGTGTAAAATTACCTTATCTAAATCTGTTAGAGTTTGTTTGATTTGACTGATTAACATGGCGACTGCATTTAGTAAATGTAAGTAAATTCGAACGAGTATTCTAGAATACAGAAAAAAAAAGCATCTCATTTATAATTGACACAAAAATACCGAAAGAAGATTACGTGACAGTGACAAAGTAAATCCTCCAAGTAAATTGTTCAGATAGCAAAAGCCGAAACAGGTTTAGGTAGGATTTTTTTCATTGTTTGAGTGTGTTATGCAATTATTTTCACACTGGATAGCTGTAGTGAAACTACACACATTGTACAGTTAGGTAACTAATAGAAAGAAATCTTTACAAAATAGTTCTTGATCTTTTTTGAATTATATTTTATTTGACAGGAACTGTTTAAGCTAGATTATTTGGCGATCGAACAAAATTTTGTCTATTCGTCACCCAAATTTTGATTTATAAAGTTATTTTATCTGAACAACCTTAAATCATTAGACAACATTGCTATTTCCACTCATTTACGTCATTCTTTTAACCGGTGAATTCACCTCGAAACAGTTTGATGTAGGATGAATTCTAAGAATTTCACTTCACGAAGATTTTGCACACAGTGAAAAGTTATTTTTATGCATGTACGTTTATTGAAATTTTCGGCTATTCAAAAACTAAATACCTAGGTTAGGATAGTGATAGTTTAAGATAGATTTCTATCTTGTGGTGGTGGTGTTTGGTTCTCTAAGCTGGATGTTTTAGTTGTAGAGCTTTTTGTTGTTCTTCTGAACAACATCATCAGCACAAACTTCAGATAGAAGTGAAGCATTCGAATTTCTCCACGTTTGACCTGTAGCTTGTTCTGCTAACCTCGATCTTGATTGGTTGCTGTTGATTTCTATCTTATTAGGCTACAACAACATACGATTTTATACCACATTAACTCTTATTTCAAAACATACTAGAATAAGACAGAATATACAGTTAAACAAAGTGAGAAGCGATAGAAAGGGACATTATAGGTATCAGTTAATCATTTCTATTATCTTGATCAAATATGATACATGTATATCAATAAGTCGATGCCAAATTATATCAACCAGTTGACTTACTTAAATGATGTGTTCTGTTCATCATCTGAAAACATTAATAATTTGGAAATTATACATTTCTCAACAAATTTTTACTTGCCTGAATTTGTTAACTTTTGAATGAAATATGTTCGTTCACAAGATATTCCAACGGTTTGTTCACTTCCATGTATAATCTGTTTTCAATGAAAAGTTACGCTTTCAATTAATGAATGAGATATATGCATAGTTATCAATTGGACTTTGATTGGATGAAAAATACCTCAAAAAACATTTTGTATGCAATCATTTTTTAATAGGTATCAATATCAAGGTTGGAATTGATAGTTTCAAATAAAATATGCATTGGATGGAAGGTTAATAGTGATAAAACATTTTTAGTACAATCAACACCATGATAGGTCTTAACCTGCCACTGCTACTTTTATTCACGGTGATTCTGTGTTAGACCTCAAAGTGTTATTTGAGTGTATGATGGGAGGAAAAAAATATGTATTTGTGATATGAAGTAGTTGAATTAAAAAAAAATCATTAAAACTCCTTTGTGTGTGTTTTTGTGTATAGAATTGTGTAGATAATAGGTCAAATGTGGTTGTTTGGATGAACAGCCCAAGTTTGATGAATAATCAAGTTTTTTTTCCATTTAAGGGCAGAGGGGTTTGGAATTAAATGAAACGCTTCAGCTGCTCGCTTCTTTAGCAGGAAAAACCTTTCTGCATTATTTTGATGATTTCGAGATCGATTTAGTAATTATTGTAAATAACATGTACTGCTATTGCCGATTTAATTTAAACATTTCCAATTCTAAGGGATTATCAGTTCTTTTTTTGTGGCCCAAGTGTTCGTTGGCACCAGTCAAAATTTCACTAAGGGACTCAGTAATAAAGAACGCATCACAATGGACTAAACTTTTTCTTTCATTTGATGCTCTGAAACAATGCTTCTGGTAGCCCTATAGAACAGATCAACAGTGCAGAAATTCACTGAATGGATGTGCAGATTTAGAGTTAATGTACCGATTTGAATGTGTTGGATTTTGATAAATGGTTAGATTGAAATTTCCATTAGAATTCTTTCTCACAAAGGTAATTCACTAAGTCCGTCTTCATTTTCGAAAGTTATTTTGAAGTTTTCAGAGAGTGTGTTTATCAGTTTTGGAGAACCTTTTAAGGAGTGTCTTTTTAATGATGACGAATGTAAGAAATATAAATTTCTACTCATTGTGACTTCACCGAAAGATTTTAGAATTATTTTATTATAAACAATCATTTTCATTGTTCTTATCTAACTTTTTTTAACAAGTAAATATTTAACATAAACTTGAAAGTCTTGAATCTTCAATTTTAAGCTTTTAATTATAAATCTATGGACGGTTGGACCTTCCAAGTAAATATCAATCTTGAGGATGCACATAAGCAACTATTCTAACAGTTTCAGTATCTTCAATATCAGCCGAATAATATATTTATGTATGTTATGAATTTTTATCCAACAATTTTTGATGAGCTTCCTTTTAGTCCACCACAAATCAATCCGTTTGTTGGTAAACAATTAGGAGTAGTTTTAGGATATTCATCTAATATCCTAAGAGAATTATTGGTCAATTCCTTTTTGGTTAATTCCTACTGGTCAATTTTATGGTTGTCCTAGATATCAATGTTACGTGCTCCAGTGTTGTTTCTTATTGGTTGTCCTGACTATCAGTGTCAGGACATCTGTCATCTTAACTGTCAATGTCACAGAATTCGATGCTGTTTCCTATTCGACCAAAATGTATATATACGAACTACGTGTAAGGTTTTATGACCAGGACCAGGACCCGATCTGATTTCCGCGGTTTCGATTCAAGCAAGCAAAAACGCCAGGTTTTCAATACAGTGTTACTTGCTGAAACACTCAGTATTATTAATTAAACATTTTCAGATTAACAGTTAGTCAGGTTTTAAGCATGTAATCAGGTTTCTAAATATTAAAACTAATTTTGAAATTTTCTCCTCCCCTCAGTTAATTTATTTAAATTTCATATCTATGACATGACAGCATTTTAAATGATGAGTTTAATGAACAAACACTGCTTGACTGAAAAGATCCACGTAGTTAAACTTCCCTGTGAATGTTTTTAATGCAGATTTAGCAGAATTAACTCAATTTTATAAAAACTGATACTTAAATTCCTTCACTCATTACTGTAATAGAATACTAGGTTCGCTCAGAGAAAAAACGAAACTTATGATAGACATTAAAGGCTAGTGGATAAATAGGTAGTGATAATAGTAAAAATAAACACACTAATTCACTCCATCCTGGTGACATTTTTATTTTAAAAACGTTTTTATGGATTTTTAACAACAAAGTGCTCTATTTATCACTATTAATATCCAAATGTTTGTGCCTTTTTACTACCGAAATTTAATTTGTTTCATTTATATATTGAATGGCAGACGACCGGTAACAGAAAAGATGTCACATTTAGCTTACCATGTGTGTATTGTCGTTTTTGTGAGTGAAAACTGAAAACTTTTCCGGAAATTCTAAACAATCCTTGCTTGTATTCACACCATAAAGCAAGAAAGGTGGATCAATGCTAAAATAATGCATGTAAAATTTTAGTAAATTACCATCTCTTTGTATGATTATTATCTTCTTTTTTCGAATACTTGTATATGCTTGTAAGTGCCTAATTTAATTATCAGAGTAACAATAGTATTGTACAATAAAAAATAAATTTACTTCAATCTGCTTCTCAGTCAGTTCCTTTGACTGTGTGAATTGATAAGTTGAATCTATTGAACGGAGTGCGAATTCATATGAGCTTGCGAATGATATTATTGTCTAAAAAAATCAAGCCAAGAATTATTATATAAAGCTAACAAGTTTACTTAACTAGAAAAAATAATGAAATCCATTACTGTCTCAAGATTTTGTGGCGGTTTTGGCAAAAAGTGAACTATAGTTTATAAATATTAAACGGAGTTTAGCAAGATGGGTGGACGTTCGTATCGTTTAGACTTTGCTGCACTAAATGGGTCTATAATCTAGAAAGTGCAATGGGTCGGCTGATGTTAAGGTATACTTAATAGTCTGTGGAAAACAGAAGCCTAAAATAGTAGTTTACTTACAACGGTAAATAACGCATGATATTTAAAATGTTTATATCCCTTGAAACTCCAGAAATATTTTAAGTTATTTGGATTTTAACTTACCTTGCTCACAAAACACTCAATAAACACCGGATCAATTTTCTCTGTCAATTGGTGAAGATTATCACCTACATCAATCACCTGTAAAAACGAGCCAGGTAAGTTCTTCTGGAATTCGCATTACCTCACGAGAGAGTGTGAAAAACTCTCTTGATAATCTGAGATCACGAAAAATATTAAGAAACTAATAATTAAATATCTTAAAAACCTTTTTTTTCACCTAAGAAAATTGCATAAAAAAGTAAGGAAGAATTAGAAATTAGAATGCACGCACATAATTATGGAATTCTCAAGACAACTTCTACATTTTTGTTAGCGAAAGGTTTATGAAGTTATGTTCAGATAACTTTGTAAAGTACAAGTTGGATTGCTTTTTGAAGTTAATTACATCTCATCAAATAACTGGTAGTGAAATTTTTCGACGACTGATTAACTGTCTTAAGAAGAATCCATAGAGTGAACTACTTTCAACAGGTATACAACTGTTGTAAAAGCATCTTACTATACATCTTATTCGTAGATTGCTCTTGCAGTCGGTAAACAAATATCCAAAGTAAATGGTCATATAGCTCTCTAACATTGGCGGTAACTTCATTAATCTTACTAGATGCACCCTATATGAAGGCCCTCAGTCACTGGTCCACACCAGATCGCTATTAGGTACGCCATGCTGTGCAACTTAGATCACACGCTTCTCTACACACCGGTCATGTGTAAGCATAACTTTTGTCTCCTCCATTCATTACTTCTGATTTGACTGGGTTTGTAAAACTAAGTTATGTAATTCTACATAAGTATGGTGTAGAGATTTAAAAATGGTAAATTGTTAAAAAGAAAAACCATAACATGTCTGAAAAAACTTACTGACGCTTAATATCATAAGCATAACTTTGAACAAGTGGCCAGTCTTCAATCATTAACTTATTGAACACTTTGCATTCATCATCTAGATGCATTATGTAATATATGGATTTGGGACTATTTACTTTTGGCATCTGTATACGGTATACTGACCCTCTTAAGATTAGACACTGTGCTTTCAAACACACAAACTTTCATATCTTCATGTCTCTCAAGATCACTCATCTAAAAGTCATATCATCTCTTTGATAAACTAACAATGTTATCTTACGTAATCTTTGTTTACATACTGTATGCGTAGGTTAGGCCAGTGAGTCACATACGGTGATATCAGAGAAAAGTTCGCAAAATTACAATAGAGGATAACTTCATTCTGGCGGATACACAGGAAAATATCTGTAGAATGTTTTCATATTATTATTTGCATACCATCCAAAACATCAAGCTCCTGTCTGTATTCTGTCAAGTCACCGCGATTCCATTTGTATACATTGAAGAACAAATAAGACGCTGCATTTATAGAACCTCTATTAAAAAGCGAATCAATCCCTTGAAGTGAGATCAAAAACACTGAAAAAGACATACCAAGTATAATCACGAAACTGTCACACTTATACTCCCTTATAATCTTCTTTATTCCCTCAAGCCTAGATATGCTAAATTAAAAATCAGTTAGAGCCTTTGCGAATTATACCTAGTTTGCTTTGAAAATAGATATTGCCGAATTCGACTTTTGGACAGTTTAATGTTTTTGCTGGTCAACTGCATATTTGAAAATGTACAGTTATAATCTACCAATGACAAATTCAACCGATAAGATATAACAAATATCATCAGTAAATGCTGAGGTTTTATTTACTACTTTTTGTTTCACTAAAAGGTGGAGCATTGCTGGAGGCGTACTATATAAATATTATTAAAAGTCATTTGTGAATGCGACTGATATCACACAGCTTTATTATTTGAAAACCCACTGGTAAGTAGTTTGCTCACGGTCTGTTAGAACTTTGATCAGTAGTCGTTTGATTTTAGTTTCGAAACACACCTAAAGTGCTACATGTTTTCCTATTTAAATACAGTGAATCTACATAACTGGTCAGTTAATTTAGAACACACGATCTGTCAATTCAACATCCAGTGTCCAATATCTTTTTCACGAGCTGGTATAAACCAGCTGATTTCTTTGCGCTCGACTCTTGTTCTGGTGATACGGTTCCAGGTATTTGGTGGTGTCCAGTGGCAGTTGTTTTTTCGAGTTTGTATGTCCCGTGATTTGAATCAGCCTTTTAATTTTAGCAAAGTTGGTTTCTGGATACCAGCAGCTATCACGTCACAAGACTGGAGATCAGTTTGTTGCAGTGTGTAGAATAACAAGGAGGAAAGTCCGATGGTAATAAGAAGATTTCAGAACTAAGTTAATAAACAGGTAATTTAATTGACTAATTGTTTCTGAAGATTGTGCGAGACGACCAAAATGTAAGCGAGGAAAAGGAACCAGAGATAATAAGCGAGATAGGTTAAGTTAGTGATCTCAGGAGATGACAATAATAGCAACTGTGAAGTCTCAAGACATGCTTCAATCACAGCTTGTCCACGAGGGAGATGATAATCCGTACGTGTTACTCAAGCCTCTTCTTAAAGCTGTCCACTGAGGGAGCTTTTACCACCCCGGCTGAGAGGCCATTTTAAGTTGCAGCTGTTTTTAATGGGTAAAGGTGTGCACGAACCTGAATGTTTGTTCTTTGATTTTTCGGGGATCACCTTGAGGGGCGTGGTGGTGATGCTTCGGTAAGATGCTGACGTTGGGATTGTTCGGAGTGCTTAATATGTTGTACGTCATAATCAGATCACCTCTGATTCCCTTTAAACTCAGAATAAGCCCAAGTGCTGCAGTCGCTGTTCGTAAGTTCTATTCGTCAACTTTATAACTATTTCAAATATTTAACTTAAATTCCAAGGCAATACTGTTTTCAAATGTATATCAATCTGTCCGTTAATTATACTGTACCACTGAGTCATAAATAACGAAGACTTGTTGACTATTTGGTACTCAGAAGTTTAAACTTATTTCGAAACAATGCGAACTAGACTAAAGCCATATTCTTTATCCCCATAATCGGCAACTAGAGTAAACGAATCAAGTAAGAACTAGAATTTGAATGTTCCTGAACATATATTTGAGCAAGTGAATTAGCCTGCATGGGCAGGAGGTGCAATACTTCGCTCTTTCCTAACACTCATGTTAACTCCCGGTCAGAACGGCGCTCTAGTGGCAGGGTGTATAACTGCCCTCGCTGTTGGTTTTTCTTTACGGTGTTCCATGTCAACATTGTTATTATGGTCGGTTATAGAACCAGACTGCACTAGTAGAGATTGAAATATTTCACTGTCCCGTTACTTTTATCATCTCAGGCTATAAGAACTATCAGTGTTGTCGGACTGCTTTGTAATGACCATCAGATCGTACAAGTGTATATTGAGTACGACCTAATTTTGTTGTCTAATGAGCTTCTGAATATTTGCACTTGAGTGTTCGAGATGCTATACAGGTTACTTAAGAGGTTTACACTATTCTAAGAAAGTCGTTTCTATGTCGAGTTTTTAAAGTTCCTGGTCCTGAAGTCTTATACTTGTATTAGTTTAAACGGAATATGTAACTACCTCGTAAATTTTAGGCTAGAAAGATGGTGTTAGGCTGTAATTTCAATTCCGGCGTCACATAACAGTTTGAGTTGACAATAAAACTAGGATTGGAGCAGTCCTACAACAAAGATGTATACAGGCTCCTCTGTGCACAAGACCTTGGCACATCTTCACCCCATCGAGAACGGATTGCAGATAGAAGGATGCGGAGGTGCTCTAACTGGGTCACATATGGCCCGTCATACATATAAGGAAGAATCGCCCAACTATCCTGTCATATCAAAATTTATCGCAAGTTTTAAAAGGCTTATAGAGACCGCTGCAAAGACGAAAATAAATTATGGAAACTGGAGTAAATCATCGCATCGAACGTACTCCATGCCATAAACAGAGAGACAATGTGGAAATTTCTGCTCGTAATATTGGAAGATTGGTGTTAAATCAAACAGATATCTGGACTAAATAGACTCTCGACATTATTGGAAATTAATAATCCCTTCACCTTTAGCATTGAGGGTGCTGCGTCTAAATAATCGCGTATTTTATGTTACAGACAGAAATTCTGGCTTGAACGTTTTGGTAGATACAAATCCAACAGTGTATCGTTTATTAGAACAAAACTTGCGTAGGTCAAAAATACCGCCATTTACACTTCAGGCTGCCAAAACGTCAATGTTAACATACCCGAAAACCGAAATCTCACTCACTTTAATGGCAGATATTTTAGAAAAAGCCATAGGTGGCTTCCGCAGCAGGCTAGTTGAAGAGGTATAGCAACCGATCGCATTCTGTTCGAAAAGGTTCAGTTATGCAGAGTTAATACACTCCACTTTTGGACGAGTACTCTCATTGTACTTTGCTAGCAAACATTTTCGCCGACAACGCATTCATAGTTTATGCAGGTCAAAAACCGATAACTAACGCATTAAAAGCAAAAGCCGATAAACATTTGCCTGGAGAGATCTAATACGTAGACTCTGTGGTACGGCTCACCAGTGACATACATATAAAAGTTCAGAATAGTCAGAGAGAGTACACAGTATTCCCATCAGAAATGAACACAACATTTAACTGTAAACTTCGGGGCTTTGCAAATCAACCAGGAGAGTGTCGTGATATAAAAAACCTATTCTCAACAAAGAACTATAGTCTGTAATTGAGGCGACCTCAATCACTTACTGAAAGATATGGTATACATACGTGCCTGGATAAGAAGTGGCAAAGCAAGAGGTTCTCTTAGTCCTTCATTAGAAGGACCATTTATGGTAGTTTCAAGGAAACGTTAGTTTTTCGCGGCACGGAAGTCAGCAGATGCAGACATGCTTGGTATTGTTAGACAAAAGTCTACATATTTACATATTGAACCCTATATTTGGTGTAAGTACTTTTTCCTGAGGAAATTACGACAAAATGCTAAAATTCTAATGAGAAAAAACTCCACACGTGACCAAAAGTGTTACATAGACAATTAATTATCCAGCCTGGCTTACCTAGAAAGTCAACTTAATCCAAGGATTTCACCACAATTGTACTAAGATTAAGGTGTTTAAACCCCTTTCTGGTGTGTAATTAAAATAACTTAGTTCGCTTTTAAAAAACAACGAAATGCAGGACTTATTTTGTGCCTTACCCACTCCTACTCAAAGCGTTCTACTTTAATACGAATGGTTGTATGGGGTATAAAACCAAAATGTGACCAGAGTACTAATGTACTCAGGCTATTGCTTTCTTTTTTTGACTTTGAATATTAAAATCTTACATTTTCTTACTGCAATGATTTTATGTCGTTTAATAGTGTGTAGTGTGCCGATTTACTGCGTGTTCTTAAGCTCGGTTTATAAATGAGAACATGAACTCGTAATGATGAATACGTTTATTCGGAACATACCACAAAGCGAAGCGGAATTGGAGAAGCAGTGAATAAAACGAAGGAAGCGAATGGATAGGCGAAGCGCGTTGGATAAGGCAAAGAGAAGAACTCAAAGAGATAGAGTATGACTAAGAATATATAGTCAGGTAAAAATGAGACAGACATATGACAAGCGAAATAGGCATGCAAAGACATGAATAAAAGCGACGAATGATTGACAAGGTCAAATGACAAGTGGGACATGTCATGTGAGTTCATGGGGATATTAAGAGATTAACATTAAAGCGAAAAGGATGAGTAAATATGAGCGAACTGGAATATATGTGGAGGCACTACAAGTGATGCAGTATCAGTTGTTGGTATCTGGCTACATAACTTTAAATAACTACATATTATCATTCGCTGATTTACTTCTAAGCCGCCACATAATACTGGGTCCTATAATCAACTAACCGGTGTTAACGATGGGAGTGTAGTACATCTGTACATCATGTTAAATATCAGAACATATAGATCAAAACAATATTCATTGCGAATGGAAGTAAAATGATTACAGATGTGCTGAAATAAAGCGATATTATCTGTAATCGCTCTGAATATTTTCCAGTTTGCGTGATAGTATACATATGTATCGCTATAGTGCCTCCGTATATGTCGTGTCGGAAAACTCAGGTCCAGTCGAAATGTGTAATGGACTGTTATACCAGAAATCCATCACCGATTGCAAGAAATATTTCATGTTCTGCAAGTCCTTTGAGTTAATTACAAATTGATTGTTCTATTTTTGAATAAACAATTCCATGGTTATTTGAAAGAGCTTCAATATTTGACCGAATATCAGCTGTTTGCGTGCGTTTTAATAAAGAGATTGAAAACGTCGTCGTGGCGACCGTCAGAGGTCATGAATACGCTAAGCGACCTAGCATTCTTATGTTGTAGTCGTCCTATTTATATATTATTCTGAGCGATCATAAGATGAAGTTTATTTGACAAAATACTGTATACCATGATGCGTGACCTAATTTACACACAAAAATAATATGGGGCTCAACTTAGACTGTTTGGCCGATGAGCATTCCAGTTTATTAGGTCTTGCGCTCCACAATTATCTAAAATAACTTACCCTGACCAAATATGATACATGAAGTCGCAACGATGTTTGTTATGAATCACTGAATAGTAAAAAGATCCCGAGGATCTGTGACCGTATGGTAGCAATACTGGAGGTTTATTCGCTCGATAGTTAGTAAAGTGAAGACGAGGAGTGTCCGAACCGTAGTGTATTTGAGAGCGGCAACTGATATTACACAAATGTTTAGAAGGAGACAGTGGTGGAAGATCAAGGTTAAATTCCAAACGGAAATTTTACAGTTAGTAACAGTGATTGTACAAATGATTTACGAACATTTTTAAAAATTACTGAAGTGGTCTACAAAATTTGTGCATATTAAACACCGCAAAGTATAACATCTCTTCGCCCTATTGTTAGCGTACAATTCGTAAGTGAAAAACCGAAATCGATCTTGGAGTACTGGCTGTATGTTTTATAACATAACAATGCTCAGTAAACTTGGGTAAAATTTATGTTTCCAATGCATTAAAATACTTTTTAGGATTGTCAAGGTCACTCGGAGTTGTTTTAGATGATCGGGTATTACGAACTATCAGTCTGTCATTAAAAAAAGAAGATTTCGGCGGTTGCAGCTCCTCGTAGCAAATTTTTGGACCTGACACTCTTTTCTTTAACAGTAATTTAATCGTTTTGGGGAATTTTTCTTCTAGCTCCGGTTTGAGCTTATACATAACATTCAATGTGGAAGTATCGTGAACATATGTGTAAGGAATACTAGGTTTGACACCTTGTACTGAAGTCTAAACCTTATTTTCACATATCATAAAATATTGAAGAATGAATCTTCATTATAAATGCTTACTCGGTCTCTTAGCGCGTGTTGCTAGGGTTTTTGATTTGTAAGCTACTTGTGTATTTTTGAGATTATCTTCTTGTGGAATAACAATCAAGAACTTGAAGCTTTGGTAGGATACTAGTTCCTTGCAGTATTTCTCATTTTGTTTTTGAAGAAACGAACACAAGGGTTCTCTTTTTTCGTTATGTACTCAGTATACCTAGGTACACTTGTTCTTAAAAATTTCAATTTTTGTCATTTTCATAGAGATAAGAATTATAAGGCATTTTGCGTCGACACCTTAAGTGTCCCAGATAGGACGCGCATCAGTCTTTCATACTGATACAGTAATGCACGTAGAAGCTCTGTTCTTGGTCAGTTGTCGAACGTGTTTTGTAACTGCCAACCCTAGTGATTTCGCAGGGAGTCCCTCAAGAAGTTTCCGGTCCTGTTGATCAGAAAGTTCTTAATACGTTTGTAATGAAACTTCGGGTTACCAGTTGCTTCTTAGATATCACAGGCCAGTATACACCAACGTTATATTAAAGTGATGGTGATGATTTCTTGATGTCGAATTCAGAGGTTTGTGCATATACATCCATTATAATAACCACGTATTTCTGTGTGTCTTAAACCCTGTTGCTAATTTTATTTATTGTGGAGAGTGTTGCGATAAATCCATCTGTTTTCTGAGTGGTTAAGAAGAATGATTCCGCCACATCCATTTTCCTATGTATATTTACACCGTCAGTCAATGCTTAAGGGTCAGCTCTTATAATAATTACTTAGTATCTATAAAAGAGAACTCAGATCATAAACGACTCTATATTTGGCTCTTAAAGACTAATAAATACTGGAAACATTTGATATTTGTGTGCATTTGTATATTCATTATTGTGACACGCAAAGTTGTATGAAATTGTAACTACACTCGCCATTATACGTATAGCGAAACAACTGATTATTTAAGTTCGTGTTCTCTTGTGACTTAAGGGAAATGGTGAACTCCGAACGAATGATTCAAAGCCTTTCACTATAGCAAAGATAACTAAAACATTAGAATCAAATGAAATATGAGACAGAATTAAGGCATTTACCAATATAATATCCTCAAGTAACTTACTCAAAAATCTAGTTTGCTCTTGTTTACTTATGGTCTTTATCATGACATATATCCAAAGGTTTTATATCCTTTTACATTTTGTGATTCGAAAATGAAATAATTCGACAATTATGGTACACTAGATATTGGCATGTTCAAGAATTTGAGTCTTACGAACATTATAGTTGTATGGAGCGGTACAATATTCTTGGTCGCATTGGGGAGGGTGCCCATGGGGTTGTTTTAAAAGCTAAGCATATTGAGGTAATTTCCTGTTGCCTTTGACTTCTTTCACTAGAGTGGAGAGCTTGTTGCCTTGAAGAAGGTTCCTTTAAGAAAACTTGCTGATGGAATTCCTAATACAGCTCTTCGGTAAGTTAATTAAAGTATACTTATTATCTCAGAGAAATAAAGGCTCTCCAGTTTATTGAGTCCAGTCCGTATGTTGTCCATCTGCGAGAAGTCTTCCCTCATGGTACTGGTTTTGTTCTGGTCTTCGAGTATATGGTTACGGACCTTAGTGAGGTCATTCGGAATTCACAACCCCCTCTTACTGAAGAACAGTTTAAATGTTATATGTTAATGATACTAAGAGGAGTTGAAGTTATGCATTCTAATGGTATTATGCACAGGGTATGCATCTATTTTTAGGACGTTTCCCAATCTTTTTTCTTTCATTTAGGACCTCAAGCCTGCCAATCTATTAATTAGTTCTGAGGGGGTCCTGAAAATAGCTGACTTTGGTCTTGCAAGGGTTTTTGAAAATAATAATGAGCGTCTATACAGTCATCAAGTGGCTACAAGGTAACTGTTGCTAAATAAACCCATCTTTCGATTTAGGTGGTATCGGGCACCTGAGTTGTTGTATGGAGCTAAAAAGTACACAAATAGTGTTGATTTATGGTATGTCAAATATAATTCATTCACTTTTTAGGGCTATCGGTTGTATATTTGGTGAATTACTTAATAGCTCTCCATTGTTTCCAGTATCGTAAATTTTACTAGAACTAAAGCTTGTTTAGGGAGAAAATGATATTGAGCAGCTTTGGTTTGTTGTACGCGTTCTTGGAACTCCAAATGAAGATATATGGCCTGTACGTTCTTTTAAGTTAGTGTGTGATAATTTTTTATTTGTTATTTACAGTAATTTGGGACCGATTATTGTGCTCATCATAAAATCAATTTTTTTCCCTATTCGTTAAAAATCCTCAACCGAGATATTTTTTAAATTTTAGGCAGATTTCAGTTGACTTTAACTGGTGATTTAATAATTTAAAGACGACTCTTACTGAGGCTTTGAGTGCAGGAATTCTTTTTTGGAAACATTTAGCTATAATACTGATTTTGATGGGCGCTACCTTGGAACCTACTTGATTGCATCTGTAGGATAATCATGTTGGTATATGCTAGTTGATGCGAGCTGGCTCAGCCCCTTTAAGGTTAAGTGTTTGTGAAATGAAAGTTAGATCTATCTTGTGTCCATGTGAAAGATAACTTCAAAAATTTGGTTATATATACATATTATTGAGAAAGCTTGTTCTGTTTGGCAAAGTTTAACATGTTACTCATCACTTTGTTAACAAGCACTACTACTAATATGACCAGCTTTAAGGACTTTATCGTATAATTCCGGTAAGGCAAACACATCAACCCTTTAAATTTGTTACAACTAAATATACTCGGTAATAAGTCAGTCGTTTTTTAATAAAATACTAAGACGGCTGTTTACCTATACAAAACATGATTATATAGTCAGATAGATATGTCAAAAATCGAATTAGCTCACTAGCTGATCGGCACATCAATCCAATGAAGTAATAAACCATGTACTTAGGTACATCAATTTATATAAAATCCATCATACATTAAATGAGATTTCGAATCCACATGTCGTGCCAAGAATTTTTTTGTCACAATTTTCAGACGAATTTAGTTTAAATGCTTCATAAACTTTATGATAATAGAAGATTCCATTATTTTTCCAGGAGGTCAAAGAACTACCTGATTACAACAAGATAAGTTTTAATCTGTGTGAAACCATTCCATTTGAAGAAGTTCTCCCAGATGCATCAGTTGAAGCCATTGCTCTTGTTCGTAAATTCTTAGTGTACCCACCCTATAAAAGAATTACAGTATCTGAAGTAAGTTTTGTCTTAAGTTCAGTTTACTTGATTTAGTGAATCAGATGGCTCTGTTTTACACTATTTATAGTATTCTATCTGAATAGTCTAAGTATTTTTCTATGAACTGTCGACTTACACATTTTAAGGTGCTCCGTAGACTGAAACTAATATAGTTAGACGGTGCAAGTAATCTCGAAAAATAAACTGTACTCATAATTTAGTGCATCAATACACCAATTTTTTTATTCGAAACATTATTTATTTCCCTTTTGGTATGATAATATGCCAGTTTATCTTTCATTTTAATTCTTATCTAAATACGGTTCTCCTTTTCAGTGATATTTCATACTAGTAAGGTTAGTTATTTTGAAATCTTTCAAAACTTTACAGATGATGATTGCTTCTGCACTATCAAACACACGTCAATTTTTATCTGAACTGAAATAAGTAATCGTACACTTATTTTTGAATCTCCACAAAACCCTATTATGATAATAACCATGTGCTCATCAGTGACTGGTTTCTAAATGCGATTCCGACAGTTCCAGTGTAAAGATGTTACAAGTAGAGTTCAACGAATATCCGACGTACTTATTGAAAGTTGGTCGTGCGATATCATGAATTGATTGAAGTTAGACACAAATACATTTATTTGGGAGCTGCGTTCGATGCTGAATAAGGAAACAGTTGTTTGAGTCCTTTTATAGTGTTGAGAGGGGATTGAGTTTATCGTTGTAATTTCGACAAAATACTAGTCCAGATATCTCTTCGTTTCTCATATGTTTCATTTATTTAGGGTTCAAAAACTTGGATTAGGCTGTTATTTACAGTATTAATCGAATTTGTAAAGAACTGACTTTCTTCTGAATTAAAGTTTGGTCTTAGTTCCTATGAAATGTTTAATAAATAACGCTCACAGTTCTTCTAGCTCATCATAATATCAATATTGTATGATTCAGTTGGTAAGATCTGCTTCGAAATGTAGAATCATGCACATTTTTTTAAAGAATCTTATTCTTGTATATTTCAGGCATTGAAAGATCCATATTTCACTACGGACCCATTACCTGCCCAGCCTTCTGAACTACCTGTTATTACTCCGCATCGTAATAATTTACCACATCCTCAAGAAACTTATGAAGTTTGTCTTACAACTACTTTGGATTCGATTCTTGTGGATCATGAATTACTGAAGGAAGGTGTAAAACTACTGGATGATGAATTAAAAGATTGTTCAGACAACTCAACCGGTGTTACTCGCATATCGTCAAACTAAAAATTTCTATTCAATTTTAATTGATAGTGTTATAATAAACAGTTGTTAATAATTATCTTATGAATCATCTAACAATTATCGTTTATTGATAAACTTGTTTTTGAATTTTGCAAATAAATACAAACTCTTGTAGTTTACAGTCTTGAAGAACTTTCTGTGTACTAAGGTTTTTGGAGAATTTATTTCACATCATATAATTACCATTTGTATCTAGACTGTCTTAACAATATTTTTATAACATCAATTACTTTTTGCTGTCAAACAGTTGGAAGTAATCAATGAAAATCCTTGAACCTGAGTTTTGTATTAACTTGGACTTAGCAGTAAGATATATTTGTAATCTTCAAGAGATTCTCTGAAGGACGTGAACTGCCATCATCATTAACCATAGTGATTGACTGAAGAACTTATTAAAATGCCTCACTAACTACTTCAAACGGTTTATAATTATCATGTTAAGACTGTAGATGACTAAATACTTGCTTATTTGGATTTGATTAGTCAAACATTTACTGAAAATTGTTTATCCTTTCCCACCGTACTTAAGGAAATGTTTTCTGTTTCACTACGTTACGTTTTATTTGTGACTAGTGGTTTGGAAGTGCCTGTAAGTTTTCGAGAGCTTAGAATTTGATTGTGATTTTCATAAGATTAAGTAAGCATTTTTTAAAAAAAAACTTCTTGATTGCACTAACAGCTATATCAAGATAAACGGTTGCGCAATTCATATTTTTTGTTGTTGTTTGATGATATTTATTTCTTTTAAATATAATTTGCACGTGAATTAAAATGGATAGAATGTGTTACAAGGTATAGAACGATTTAGGATAACTCATAAAATTCTATGTTATAGCAAAAGTATTATCAGTGACGGTTAAACAATCAAACATACGATCATATCATTAAAGAATATGAAATGAAATAAAAGTAATGGAAATAAAGTAATATTAATGCTCAAGATTTCAAGGGAGTTTTATCTCTTAACGGGTTTTGAGCTATGTATGAACTGATTGATCATAATTATGGCACTAATTTCAACCAGTTGACTTTTTAGCCCTAATCAAAAGTTTATGATTTTTTTTCACTAAATACAACTGCTGCAGCTGCTGCTCAACTTTATTTTCACCTCTACCTGACAATTATCTACTTGGAAAATATTTTAATCAACAGGTTATACACTTTTTTATTGTCATTTCTATGGATTTAACCATTTATATTTGATTCAACGAAGCAATCTTAGTCAAACAGAAAATGAAATTTATCATAATTCAAATTCATTTATGACAAAAAAAAATCAGTTGTAATTGAGGCTTATTTAGAAAAAGTGTTTGAAGAGAGTTTTTTTTCCGAACACAACCAATTGACTGATGAACAATTGGAAAATGTGACATAATAAATTATACTACAGCTACTAGTATTCTTCACCTTGAATTATTTAAATCTATTTTCACACAAACTTTTTAATAAAACACTTGTTTTAATCAGTCAAAAGCTTGTCAACATTCTATAGTTTATTATTAATTTTGTTAAATAAATACACATTTACTTCATGATTATTAATTTAGTTTATTCACTTTCAAAAAAAATTTCAATATAAAATACTGCTTCAACATTGAAGTGTTACTTTAAAACAAAACTCAATTAATTTGTCTTATAGATTTATTTATTTATGTACGTAGTTATATGTACTTACGTATGCATACATATATATTCAAGGCGAAAATTAGGATTTAAACACTGTAATCATCAAATTCTTACTTTGAATCGATTCCAGTGAAGTTAATTCAATTTTCAATAGATTTCTTCTTCTTCTTCACAAACAATAACACACTATCATTTGTGCGAAGATGAACAATTTTATTTATTCTAATTGTGTATGTCTTCATACAAAAAAAATTTTCATTTACATTCTTCCTAGGATTCGGTTTCGTTTTACTTTCTGTGATTCAATAATAATAATAATCAAACAATCGAATGTTGTTTAATGAAAAGAAAAAAGTTCTAACATATCAAGGAAGAGCTCATTGGAAAAGAGGAAAAAAATACAGTCTAATCGAATGTGTGTGGAAGGAAGGTGAGAAAGTAAAATAATAACGAACAATAATGAATGAGTTGATTTGATTGGTGAATTATTTTTATTTAGTGAAAATAAAATCAGTTTATTTTTCACCTTTATATAACAATAACATCACAACAATGATATACATTCACATAATGACAACAGAGTAAAACAACTAACTAACAAACAAACTCATCTCAAATAGAATTCGTTGTGAATAAATGAGTTTTTCCTCATTTTGTTTGATGAGTTAAACTTGAATCGTTATTGTATGTATGTATACCTCTATAAGTATTATACATATATATATATATATATATATATATATATATATATATATATATATACATATATATATATATGTATACGCATAGGTGAGCATTTGAGCTGTACTCTTTTCTCTAGTTATAAGCAGTTTAACTCTAATTAAGTTTTGTTACATTAAATTGATGTACTTTTTATATCAAATTATCGTTAGATTATCCTCTTGGGTATAAATCAATCTTTATTTTGGTTTAGTAATAGAATCATTATAATTGTGGGGATGTATATCTATATACATATATATATATATATCTCACTTAATCTAAGTGTGTTCTCATGAAAGTCAATTTATAGTTAGAAGATATAATGATGTTAGTTTCGTTTTTCTTCATCACAGTATTCTTGTGATTGTTGTTGCTGTTGTTGTTGTTGAGATGTATGAAGTAGTCAAAAATTTAATAAACTGCAAAGCATTATTATTATTATTATTATTAGGATTTACTTTTTGTGAGAAAAAATGAAATCAAGTTTGTTTTTTTTTTTTGAAAAATAAACTTCACATCATAAATAAATTGCAGAAAATTCATTAACTCGATGTTAATATAATTTTGATAGATATGATTATAGAAGAGCATAGAATATAATCTCATAGATTTGATCGTTTTCCTAATTATCTATTTTGATTGTTAACTGTTTAAATGAACTAGATTGTTGAATGTGTTGTAATAGTTGAAGAATATAAAGTGTAATTCATTTAAGAAGGATAAATTATATTTGTCAAAGTCTCACTGATTGAACTTTAACCAGGTGTGATTCAAGTTTTTTTCAAGTTTATCTAATCATACACTAAATAGAATGATCGAATATAATTAGATATACCAGGTTCTAAGGTTAACGGTATACTAAACAAGGTCATGCAATCCTGTGAAATTTGTTGAAAGTAAGGTTGATTCTAATTCGTATCAGGTATTTGTTATGAAAGGTAATGAGTATTAAATGAATGAATAGATGTATGTGAGGAAACATTTCCATGGATCATATATCGTCCCTAATTTAGGATAATTTTAGAGAACATATGTAGGAAACATGTTACACAGTGCATAAAATGATAGTAGGTAAATAAATAAAAGTTTGTATGATTGTTTTTGATCAACTTGATTGTTGATCACATATTCAAATAAACAAACTGATTAGAACAAGTGAAAATAATCAATGTTGTCCAAATCATAAGTGATAGATTAAAAAAAGGAGTAGTAGAATGTAATAAACAGTTCAGATTTACAGATTAATTATCAATTGCCATGGTAATGCTAATTGTATTTCCCCCATTTCATATTATATTTTACAGCTCGCTGTGTTTATTTTGTAAAGCATAATTTACAAACAGTGATTCCCGGGAGAAACAAAGCAGGATTTCTTGAAAATAGATATCACTGATTTTCAATTATCTTAAAATTTATCAAGATAATGTGATATATACAGTGATTTTCATTCGAGATTAATATTAACTTGAATGTCAATTGACACTGAATGATTATTCTTGTCTAATAACTGTTTCAATGAATGTTTTGGATCTAATCCAAAGCACAATCGTTAATATGTAAAATTTTAAAAAGTTTACCTTCACTTTCAACAGTTAGTTACTTTAATCAATAGATTTAAGCTTCATTTATTCTATACTATTGTGGTGGTGTTTAGTTCTCTGAGCTGGTTGTTTTGGTTGTGGAGCTTTCATTGTTCTTCTGAACAACATCATCAGCACAAACTTCAGATGGAAGTGAAGTATTCAAATTTCTCCACGTTTGACCTGTAGCTTGTTCTGTCAACCTCGATCCTGATTGGTTGCTGTTGACCTTAAATCTGTCGTTGTTTGCACGTTTGTTTTGATTGTATCCCCTTTTTGCTAATATTTCTACTAACCTCATTATTCTCATTAGTACTTAGGGAATTCCCAAATAGAAAATAATTAACTTATTCGATTTTTATATTACCTTATTTTAAAGTTAATTTAACAACTGTTATCATTATTATTTGAGTATCACTCTTTTTGATCTAAAAGTGACCGTTTGAAGAGTGTTTTAGAAAAATAGCCTCATATATCCTCAAGATTCTAAAACAATATATTTTACTAATTTAATAACATTTCTTTTCCTATTGCCACTTTATTTTCCAATATCCCAATTGTTTTTTTTATCTGGAAGCATAAATGATTCATTTGCTATAGGCACGGAAGCAACTTACATGAAAATGTATTCCTTATTCTGTTCACAACTATTTTATGCAAGTGTAATGAAATAAATTCATTCACATATTTTGCAATGAGAAAAGCCACTTTCTCTTTTCTTTTTATTCTGATGAAAACTAGTTATTTGCAGAAAATAAATGTTCGATTGTGTTTTTTTTCCTACTTTTCTGTGAACATAAAGGAGAGAATTTTCGATGATTTCCTCCGAATGTAATTATTTTTTTTAACCAATAATTATTGATATTGTATTTTCTGGAATTAGTAGACCGAATGTTATTTCAAATTAAATTTTTCATAGTTATATTTGTAGGAACAGTTGAGTGTGCTATGAAATGAATCTTCTCTTCAATTGCCTTAGATTAAATTTCGGCTAATTCCGTTTGTTTGATTGTGGTAATAAGAAGCCGAATACGGATTCATTTTCATCCGTGCGATCGTTCATGCAGACAGACGTGAGGATAAAAAGGGGAAAAGCAAAATGAAGCAAAGGAAAGTGGTCCAACTGAATGTAATGAAGAATGACTAAGTATTGATTGTCAGACAAAATTAAGCTAAACCTATGCACTCAGATGAGATCAATCAAGATTATTAGCAAATAAATGACAAGGTCGAAAGATATGTGAATAACTTCAGAAGAATGAATCAATTGATTTGTCCGAAGACTGGGACAAGCCATAGGAACTTGATATATTAGAACACACTACATTCTCTTCGTTATCCTTTTGATAAGATTTCAGGTATTACAATGATTGATTGATGATTTCAAATGTGTAAAAACACAAAACCTCCAAAACTCTGCCCGAGAATATCGTTACAGTGCTCATTAGTGACTAGCTTCATTAGGAAATTCTTGGAGTTCTAGTTGAGAAGACGTGACCAATGGAGTTCAACGCTGTCGGGTGTAGGCAGTAACCACCGAAGACAAATTGGTGAGGTCGCGCAAAAATCCGTAGATCAATCAGAGTTAGATATTAACACCGTTGGATGCCGGCCCAGTGGTCCGATGGTTAGGGCATTCGCGCACAATACCGAAGGTCCTGGGTTCGGATCATGCGAGGAGCAGGAGTCGTGGATGCGCACTGCTGATGTGTCCCATTCCAGGATGAAACGGCCGTCCAGTGCTTTCAGGTTTCTAATGTTGGTCTAGCAATGATTGACTGATGATTTGAAATATTACAGAATTGCTTTTTTAGTAAATTGTTAAACAGTCGAATGTTTACAAATTATCTGAGCCTATTTCAAACTAAACACAGTCTTTGTTTAGATTTTCTTATGAAAATCTAAATTTTCCAAAACTTAATTCAAAAGAACAATCAGAACAGCTTGTATCTCATACTACACTACATTGGTAGAATCAGCTCTTATAACAGCCGATTTCAGCCTTTATTAGTAAATAGGTTGCATTATATGTGAAACATTCTGTTTATTTGAATAAAAGGAATTGTTTTATTGAAGTAATTGAGAGAGATAATGGTGTCTGTATCAAATATCTAAAACAAATTTTATTAGAACAAAACAAAACAACTCAATAAAGTAGTCAGTCAAGAAAATCTAATTTGATATTTGAACAGATAATCAGGAAAACCTACATAGTTTGACTACAAATTGTACAGGATGCATTACAATGGTTGATATTATCTCATATTCTAATTCCTTAAATAATTATTCAATTTCACCAAGATAAATAATGCATTAATAATATTTCCTATAACATCAGTCATTCTTCAAACCAGTCATCCATCAGCTAATATTTAACAATCTTATCTGTAAACAATACTATTCTTTTCATTCAAATATTTTGCTATGACCATTTCAAGCATTATGATTTCGATAGAATATGGAAAAAGAAGAAGAATAACTTATCATGTGATCATTGTTTCTGCTATGGTTGTATCCATCTGCTTGCATGAATTAAGTGCAACCATAAACGAAAAACCCTAAGGCAATTTGGCAGGAAAATAGAAGGAAATATCTTAAATCTTTGGCAAATATTTGTTCTCTGTATAAAATCCTATGTCACATACTTAATTTGAAGTTGAAGACTTACATATATTAATGATAACAATCAGTTATTTTGAGCTGTCTTATATAACGCGCCCTGATTCAATAATATTTATCGTTAAAAAGAATCTACAAGATTCCTTACAAAATTTTAAATTTTCAAATTATGCTAGAAGAATATACTTCATTTTAAAATCAATAGCTTGATTGAAAACTGATTACATGAGTAAAAGAATTACTTCAAACAATTCCTCAGGTACAAAAATACCGAATGATGTAAATATTAAAGAAGGAAAAATCATTTCATGTAAAATTTATTATGTTTTAAAAGCCAGAAAACATGATTATAAAATATTTGGATCAGAAATTATTATTATTATTATTATTATGGTCATTTCACGTTACATTAAATAAATTTGTAGTTGAATTTTGACACGGAAGCAAAAATACCATTTTTTTTTATCTTGTACGACTTGGCATTTTCTGGATTCACTTAGTGTACTGCTTTTCATGAACTTTAAAGATCACATATTTTAAGCAGAAATATATCAACCAGTATGAGAAATATATACTTCAGATAGATTGTACATCAACATTCGAATTTTTTAAAATAGTATCTAGTTCATAAGTGTAACAGTTATGTTCTGCTTTGTTCCGGTCATTTTTAGCACATTTATTCTTTATGTATTCATCAAATCGTATATCCAATGATAATAGTTCATCGTCATCATCATCATCACCATCATCATCATCATCATCATCATCATTGTCTTCATCTTCAGTAACAACACTATGACCATGATCATCGACATCATGATTATGTTTATCATATTTGAAATGATTGGAGTCGTCAAGATCTTTGGATACATTCAACTGGTATTGATTTCGTCTTTTGTGACGAGTTCGAGTACGATTAAAATCAGTAGTATTTTCTGAAATATATTTATTAAATAATACAACTGCTTCATTATTAATATGATATGGTTTGTTTGTATCATTAGTATGATTTAAGATATGATTGGTTGTATGGGAATCTGTTAAGTTTTGATTCATTGACATTGATTGATTTGTATGTGTTGAAATGGTGTTTTTCAAGACATTCGATGTAATGTTGATCTGATTATGTAATGGAATTAATTTTATTGAATTGTATAAATTTCCGTTGATTGGTTTCGGACCAAATATCTTGTGAATTTTACAATGTAATTTAGCTTTATTTGCATAAATAAAAATTCTCAATGGAAATGAACATAATAACAGTGTAGCGATTAGATAAGTTATGCCTTTTAAATAAACCGGTAGTTTTGATGATCGATGAATGATAAGAAATTGTTCTGGAAATTTGATAAAATCTGCAAAAGTACAAACTGAGAAAGAGGTTTATGTAGAAAAAAAAGGAGAGAAAACCAATTAGTACAATTAAGTTAAGCTAAATTGTGCTTTCAAATTAATTTTTATGTTTAATTGGCAAGTGATATCTGATAAATATACCGATTTACAGTTGTCAATTCAATAAACCTGAAAATATAACAGTAATCCTAAATTTAAAAGAATTAGTCCCTTTGTGGTGCTGTGGTGCGAGCTACTTATAAGTAGTATATGACGTGAGCGTCAACGTAATATCTGGCAGCCGAAGATGGGGGGAAGATCAAGAAAGGAAGGGTTAGAAAACAATGGAATTCGTATGAAACGCATGAATAGTGATAATGGATTGATGTTTTGCAACAGGAACAGTCCAGTTCGATATGACGAACTGTTATTTTGCAAATGAACGATTTACGATATGGTTTTCCAATTTTACTGAGTAACTCTGTAATTTTCGTTAAATACAATTCGGTTGCCCCACCTGTATTCTCTTTCACTACACCTTTTATAAATTTTAATAGAACAGTGAGAAGATGTAACTGATCTGAAAAATGTGATATATTTGCGCTATACATTCCGAACAAGCCGGTCACACATTTTCACTTATCCAAGGCATTTTATATGAAGATTAATAAAAGGTCAATTAAATAAAAGTTCAAATAGACATAAGGTGGTAATTTTTCAGATAGATAACAAATTTGTAAATTATTTTCATATCGCACACCGAAGGTGAATAACTCGTCTAGTTTTTATGAATATAAAACTGTATAAACTACGAATTTCGCGAGAAAATTTTGTTGACATTTAAACAATTGACTTGTAGTGTATGTACTAATATTTCCAGCCCACAAGGCTTGTCTCAGTCTTTAGACGAACATTCTTTTCGACTTATTCACACGTCTTTCGACCTTGTCCATTATCTGCTGATATCGTGGTCGTTTTCACTTAAGTGAATGTGTGCAGCTTATCCCGCTTATCACATGTCAAGCTTAATTTTATTTGAATATAAAAACTTATTTGAAATCATGAATCGATCAATGTTAGACCAACATTAGAAACCTTGAAGTACTGAATGGCCTCTTCGTCCTGGTATGGTACTCATCAGCAGTGCGCATTTACGAATCCCGCACCTCACAGCATTCAAACACAGGACCTTTGGTCTTGCGCGCGAACGTCTAACCAATGAAGTTCGACCTGTTCGGGTGTAGACAGTAACTACCGAAGACAGTATATGAGGTTGCGTAAAACCGTGAATTGATTGAAGTTAGATATTAATGCTGTTAGATACCGGCTCAGTTGTCCAGAGGTTAGGTGTTCGCGCGCAAGACCGAAGGTCCTGGGGTTCGAATCCTATGAAGTTCAGGAGTCGTGAATTAGCACTGCTGATGAGCGCCACAGCAGGACGAAACGGCCAGCCAGTGCTTCAAGGTTTCTAATGGCGGTCAACTATTGATCGATTCACAATTTTCACAACCCCGTTATACAAATACTTATTCATGTTTCGTCGCATCGAGCTAGCTCATTTATTTTCTTCATTTCGCTTCACTTTGCTTGTACGTGTTTCATTTTCCTATCTGTCTGCCTAAATGAAGGCATGAAATAAATCCATCCGCTAAAACCTATTTAGCTCTTTATTACCGTCATTGTACATAGGGTTCACCTAAGTATGATATACAGAAATGGGAAGATTTATTTTATAGAATATCTAGTCATTCATCTAAAATGAAGTCAGACAGCAGGACAATGAAGTTCTTTAAAAATTATATTCAGATTTTTATAGACAATGTAAATGTCAATAACTTCGATTATTTCTAAACAAGAGTACAAAATAATGTTCAGATAAAATATTGAACTTGACTACTTTCTTTTGATAAGATCTTCGAGAATATCAGTTATATCATTTGTGATTTATTGTCAGTTATAAATATTTTTTTTATTCCGACTCTCTTATTTTCATATGTATTGCTAAATAATTTAAAGTCTACAAAGTAGACGTTTGTCAAAATTAATTCAAACAAATAAATTTCAGTCATGGAAATTTTTTTATTCACCGTCCATTATTCCCGGTATAAAGTTATCATTATAATTTATTTTTGTACCGAAACGACCATCATAGAGTGTATTTGAACTAGTCAGAATATTAGTTCACAAATGATATTTTTATTTTTGTCCAAGTCTTATTTCATTAGAAGGCAAGTAAACGCTTCACCTTTGAAACAGTAAGCCAGAATTGAATAGTATACCGATTTAATATCAATCAATTAGGTATCTTGTGCAACCACCAGACATGGTTCAACTCCACTGGTCATCGTTTCTCTCGGAGATCAGCTATTACTTATAGTGTAATTTTCAATGATTATCTGATGTCAATCCATGATGGTAACAATATAGTTGACAAACCGTCATCAAACTTTCTAATACAATGCTAAATAAAGGGTTTGTTGAGCCGGGTATCATACGAATATCAACAAAGATGCTTTCACATTTAACTTGCATTCATGTTTGAATTGTGAGCCATACAATAAATTGAAGGTTGCCTTGTATTTCTTACATTCAAATAAATCATGGTTGATTTGCCTTCTTATCTGACTGAGTTCATTGTTTTATTACAACTGAAATTTCATTCAACCACAGACTGACTTCTAATTTACAAGACAGTCCTTGTTAAACAGTATTGAAATATTAAGAGAAAAAAAATAATCTATTTTACTAACTTTGTTCAGTTTCCATGTAAACATCGAATTTTTCATATGTGGTAAAAAATTCTTGTTTTTGTCTTTGATATTCCAAATATGTTTGTTTATCAGAAAAACTAAATAATGTGCTCAAATTCATTTCGATCAGTTGGAAATTTTCTAATTCACTAATATTATCTGACATATCCCATAATGCATCAATTTTAGACAAATCAAATGAACAAATTTTATTCATTGTAATAATACGATGACATTTAATTTGATTTACATTAGGATTACATGATGCATGTGAAAACATGTCAGGAAGTTTATTCGAACTAATTGGATAAGGGTGTTCCAGTGTTTGCTTTCCTCTAGTTGACTTGTTAAAATCATCATCTTGAATAAATGGATATTTAGTTGGTTTGTTTGAATCGGCTTCATTCAATATCAAGCTTTGTTGTATTGGATTCTGTTGATAATTAGTATATTGTGGTGTATTATGAGCATAATGATAACATTTAATTTGCCACAGGATAGAAGGAATGAGTCTATGTGCATTATTGATTAAATTATACGCCATTTTTGTATCAATCAGCCATGTTGTTTGAATCCAATTTCTTGATTGCCATGATTCAATTAAATAGATTAAATAAATCAGGAATAATAAACCACTAACAATTAGAAGAGAACTTGTTTGACACAATAGTTTAAAACTTTGTTCGTGTTTATGATAAGAAATAGTATATTGCAGGTCGGAATGAGATGAATTCACATAATTTGTTAGTTGTTTAACACCGCATGATGATATTAAAATAATACCAGTGACTAAAACTATTGTAAGGCATGCACATCTCCATTCACCTAAAGCATATAGGATACATTCATTGTAAGTTCGTTGAACTGGGATCTGTTTCCAGCAGTAGTGAACAAAACAAAATGAATAAGTGATCATATACAAAGTATAAATTTGTAAATCATGAGTAAAGAAGTAAATTTATGACTAAATTTTCTAAGTAATAAAGGTTTATTGATAAAACCACACGATTCTAATAGTCATAAAGTTACCAAACTAAGATATTTAACATAGTTGAAAATCATTAATGATTAGTCTGTAGTGTAATTGTGATCTGTGATAAAGTATGTGATTGACTAACAAGTGCGACAAAACAAAAAAATACGAAATCTTTAAAATTTAATGTTTTTAGAATTTGAAGTATAGAAACTAGTTAACACATTGAAAACAAAAATAGACCAATGAAATAGCGGTATTAGAAAAGAAAGTGAAAATGAAAACTAACTGGAAACGATCCGAATAAAAATTTGTTCAAAATGAATGATTTGACTACTTGTTTCCTAAAGGACAAAGTATTCATACAGCTATTTATTCTTTATCAGTTCCTAATAAGGTCGTAAGTAATGTTGTGAGATTTTCCGGCTTCCTACTAAAGTCTAATAAAATTTTTCTACCATGAAATATATAAATTTTGTCGAAATGCTTTAACAGGTTAGTACGCGTTAATTTTTAATTCTTTCCAAATTAATGCAAAAGAAGGAAACATGAGATGACTATATGATATAAAGAAGAATCTGTCTGGAAAATGTAGTAAAGCTGAATGACCAGTGAAAAACAAGGAGAACTCTGGTATGGACCAGTCCTAATGTATCCAACCAACATTGGAGCAACGCTTCAGGACATCATAAATGATATTGACCCAGTAATAGTAGAAGAAATCAGCATGGCCATGAGACAAATGAAGAGTGGCAAAGCAGCAGGACGAGACAACATTCCAGCTCAGGCATTGAAAGCAGACACAACAATCACTGCAAAGATGGTGAACGATCTGTTCAGAAAGATTTGGTTGGATGAACAAGTACCAAAAGACTTGAGAGAGGGACATCTCATCAAGTAACCAAAGGAAAAAGATCTCAACATGTGTGACGGTATCAAATTACCATCAGTGTCAAAGAATAATTTGCACGTAGTGACGTTGAATAAAATAAAAGATTCAGTGGACACCCGGCCTTGAGATGAACGGTCTGAATTCAACAAGGATCGATCATGTACCGACCAAATCTCACGCGACACTACTGACCATTATGTAACAGTCAATCGAATGAAATTCACCACTGTATTTCAACTTTATTGACTGTGAGAATGCATTTGACTTTATGAACAGAATCAGATTATGGAGGCATCTTTGACTTCATGGTGTGCATGAGAAGATAGCATCATAGTGAATTCTTATGATGGATTAGACTGTAAGATCTTGTGTGAAGGACAACTTACAGATTCGTTCGAAATGAAGACCAGTGTCAGACACAGTCGCTTACTCTCAGTCTCTTTCTCCTGGTGATCGACTGAAATCTGAAGAGGCCAACACGTGAGGGCATGTAAGTGATACAGTGGATAGCTCGAATGCAGTTGGATGATCTGCATTTCTCAGATCACCTATCTCTTCTATTCCACACATAAAGACAAATACAGGAGATGATGGCAAGTGTAGTAGCAGCTTCTGCAGTAGTAGGTCTCAGCATACACGAGGAAAACACTAAGATCCTACGATACAACAGAACATGCGCCAACTAAATCACACTTGATGGAGAAGCTTTTCACAGAGTAGAAACGCTTACATATCTGAGCAGCATTATTAATGAGCAGAGTGGATCTGAGGCAGATGTGTAGATATTAATCGGCAAAATAGCATTTCTACACATGAACAACATCTGAAACTCAAAACTACTAGCAACTAATACCAAAGTCAGAATTTTCAACACAAATGTCAAGACAGTTTTACAGTATGGAATAAATTAGGAAGTACCATGGGTCGACAGGACACACATTGCAGAAATCACCCGACTACATCACAAGTCAAGCATTAATCTGGAACCCCAAAGCGATGGGAAGAGAGGAAGACTGAAGGAGATACTGCATCGAGAATCGAAAGCAGACATGGAAAGAATGAACATCAATTAGAAAGAAGTGGAAAGGAAGACCCTTGAAAGATTAGTTTGGAGAATTCTGATTGGAAGCCGATGATCCACTAAGGGTAAAAGTTATAATTAAGTTAGGTAGTTATCTTTTGCAGATAATCTACGTAACTGTGTCAAGCTCATCATGTCAGTCAAATGATACTTATTTTCTGATTTTTTTCAGAATATGTTATTTATTCGGTAATTTTTTCAAAATTCATATTTGACAGAAAAAATAATGATTAATAAAATGTCTGTATCTAGAATTACGAAGTAAATAAACATTAAGAAATGGGTTTTTATTGGCTATCAGATAATATCACCGTATTTTAACTAAATTATATTACAATCTAAATAGTATATTATGCTAACAGCTGATGCTATGTTGTCAAATTGTGTGTACATTTTGAAATGATTACATAACCATGATCCTTTTAAATGATGATGGTCAACTGAATATTATAGACTGTATTGACTGACATGAACTAAAAATGGCGGAAGCATAGTATCACATGATGGTTTTTCAATAACTCAAGTTCATGGATTACATATCATACGTCTCAATAGCGATATAAACATTGGCTAAACTTTATGCCGTTATTTTATGGAGCATAGAACATCGATTAGCGTTAGAACTGGAAAAAATTAATGTCTACTAAAGGTTATCAAATGTGAAGCTTATGTAAGTGAACCTGATCAACTGTAAAATCAAACATATTTGTTTTCATGTGACTGAAGTATGCACTTGAGGGAAATAGAAGATAAAGCTTAAACCAGTTTGACATAACTTCCCATGAGAACTTATCCATTGGAACTATTCAGTATGACTGTCTTTGATCATAAAATTAAAATAGAATACTTATAAAAGGTTTAAACACAATATCTTATCTCTGTACTTCATGGTATCAGTTCCACTAATTCATTCACATAGATGAGGAGTAAATTCTCAAAGAAACATGGGAATAGGTAAGATATAAATACGGCTTCTAACTTGTAATACGATTAAAAATGTTAATTAGTCAACATTTAGGTGTTTACAAATGTAGACTACTAATAGTAATTGAAGAATTAATTTGTATGCACTGACTTAAATAAAAATGGTAATAACAAAGTAATAAAGTTTGGGATACTTAATTTTGGACATTGTTTTGTAAATAGCATGAAGGTTGCATGAAAAATCAACGTACTTAAGTGGTTGTATATTGTTTGACCTAGATTTCTTTTATGACCAAAATTTTTACATTAATCAGTCACATATGTAATTATTCTGTCTGATCAATAATTATCATCTCACCATTCATTTTTGTTCTTACAAACTAAAGAAAAAAAATTTGCCAACTGTCCATTCAGAACATGAAAAACAAAAAAGAAGAAAACCTTTTTTTTTATTCAATTGATAAATTACCATGGTTATTACAAATGACTGTATTCATTCAATATTAAACAATTGAAATTTGAAATATAGAATGATTGTTTTAAAATTATAAATAGATAGATAATGAAATAATGAATTGTGTAAAACTGAAAAGTTTCTCAATTTGAAGTAAATGGAGAAAAGAAACAGTTTATTTGATATACATCATTTTTTTATTGGCTGTTGATATGCTTATAGCTTATTCATTGCATTACAATAAATATATGTATCAGTGCATACTATATACTACTGAAATAGTGAAAAATTACTGATCACTGATGTATCGAGATCTAGAAAGACAAATGTAATAAAGTATTTGTAAGTGGAAGAGTGATTTATAGATAAGGATAAGAAAATTCAGCATGAAACCAATATAATTAATTTCAGTAAGAAAGTATTCTATTCTATGGGAAGTGTAGGATAAACGAAATGTTAGAAGTATCCTTTGTAGTAGGTGAACAGCATTTTATTCAGATGAAATGTGACAATATACTTCATTAAAGACCAAATTCACGAGCTCGTCAGCATGACCTTACAACAAAACTTACCCTTATCGTGTATCATTCATCCTAAGCTGAAGCTCCTAGCTCACATTAACTACTCACCTAAAACCGAGTTTATTCACATGTATACACAGCTGTAGTGTTAGAAGAGGATAAACTAGCTATACTCAGCATTCTCTTTATAAGTTAATATCCGAAGAGGTTCTAGTTTCATTGTACTTGTACCATTTATCATGTATTCTGTTTATACCATATTCTCACTTTCATTCATTTAGTAGCTCAATTTTATTGAGTTGGTCAACTTAAGGTGGAGGATTTCTGACGATTTTTTATCTCAAGAAGAGTTTCGATTGCGAATAACCTTGACCAAACAAACGGTGAAATATATGGATTATTGGGTATCTGATTTATTCTAGTGTGGAATGCGCAAGTGCTACTCACCCAAGAACCACAAAATCATTCAGAATTTGCGTAGAGTGTATTAGTTTAAGACCATATAGCTGGTATTTAATAATTCACCTTTATAATATTGATCGGTTATCGATATTCCGCAACCATTATCTGTTGACAGTTATGAAATGTACCCTACACCTGGTTGAAGTTCTCATCAAATCTGGTAGGTTACTAGTATAAAGCTATTTAAAATGAGATTGAAAGAGGTGGAAATAGCCATCTCGAGAAAATATGATGGATCTCCTTTTTCTGAATTTTAGCGATAGTTTATTTATCAGTGTATTAAAATCTACTGACATAAAACTAAAAAATTTCAGATGTTAACTCTTAAGTATGAGAAGTTTCCCAGCAATATTTAAACCAAGCAGAAAAGAACATATAGTGTAGTATACTAACTAGAGGATTGTTTTACAGATATTTCACTCTACTTTAACTAACAGACAAAATAATTCAGCAAACAATCGTTAAAGATTCATACACCAACTACATGTTTTAAATTTTCAACTAAATTATATTTTAAACATCCAGTTGTAGGTTCTTGGTGTTTAGGAAAATTGAAAATCGAATAGTAGTAATCATTCTTGATAATTAATTCACTTCTTTATAAAAAAAACGTAAATGTTGCCTTTATGGGTAATAGCAGATATGAATATATTTATGATGTAAACAATTCGGTAACATTTTGTTGTTGTAATGATAAAGTGATAAGAATATGAAAACATGAATATATGAATGAACAATATTCTTTTCAGAGAGTTCACTTTCTCTCACCCTATCTGACCTAAAAATTTATTACACAATTATTCAATTTAACACTTCATCTCAACATTGACAATTTCATTTTTATTTTACAAACGATTTGAAATTTGTGTACGCTGTAGATTTAAACGATGCATTTCGCCTTAGAGACCTGCCGATTATTTTTTGTGGATGATTAATTTGAATAAAAAATTGTAAAATTTGATGAACATTTCACGAAAAGAATATGTTCATGTTCATGTATTCGAGTTTTATTCAAATAAAAATGTCATATTATTTGTGAGTAGAATGAAAAAAAGAGAAAAAAAATTAAAATGACATTTCAATGCTAATGTTAATTAATATTTTCATTCTTAATTTAAAATTAGATCATATCATATGGAAACAAACATTTCTCAGTTGATTTTTAACTGGTAATTTTGTAATACAACACTATCATTGTACTTGTTCATAAATAATTTCTTTGGAATTTACACTAGTTAATCACTTGTATAAAAGTAAGAGTTCTGATATCAAATAAAAGCACGAATTACATTATAATATTAAAACAGTTGATCCCTTTTATAAATTTTGATAGAACAGTGAGTAGACGTAATTGATCTAAAAAAAATGTCATGTATTTGAGCTATACATTTCGAACTATCTGGTCATACACTTATACACTTTGTTAAGGCATTTTATATGAAGATAAATAAAAGGTCAGTTAATTTTCTCTCTCCTTTATTTACGATTATCACCTTATCCCTATTTGAACTTTCAGTTAATTGGCGAGTGTATAAGGGAATGTGACCAGATTGTTCAAAATGTATAGCGCGAATACATGATATTTTTTTAGATCAATTACATCTTCTCACTGTTCTATCAAAATTTTTAATTTTAATTAGCAACACAACAAACAGCAGTTATGCTATGATGAAATCAAACTTTTTAATCTTAAAACCAATTGTAAACATTGAGAATATAATATCAAGAATTATTACTTAATTCCTAAGTTAATATATATAACAACCTTTCACAAAAATCAGTTTTGAATTGAGTTGGCAAGAATAAAAAAAACTAAACTTACTAATCTTCTTGTTTTGAATTCGCTCTCTTTAGAATTATCATCACATGGATTTGACTGGGTTTTTGAAGATGTTGATTGACAAGATGGAGGAGAATGAAGAAATTCACTAGAATATTGAACATTTTGATTTATTTCTGTTGTCATAATTTGCCTTTTTTTCTTTTTAGCTTGATAACAATCTTAGTTTTCTAATCTCTCAACGATATAAACCTTTTATTATCTTTAAGAGCTAAACATTATACTGTTAAATCTTCACAGACAAAATTATGTATTATGAAAAAGTGTCATTAGTTGTTCATAGGCAAAAAATTTTTACAAAGGTATTATTTGACTATTTGACACTGTTTTAATGAAATATTTTTGATAGTTGAAATTGATCATTTTATTAATAAAATAGACGTAAAAGTAAATGCTTTTTTTGCCTCCAACTGATAAACGAAACTATCTTTACAATCATTGGTCGAATAGAAAAGGAGATATTATAGGTTTATGGTATAATGGATTTCTATGAAATAACCAGTAGAAATTCAGTAAATTAAATTATATTTTGATGATATCTTGAATAGTTTCAAATGAATAAACACTGTGTAGTTAGTTGTTCATTCAAGTGTTTGTTGTTTATTATTTATGGTTATTTTAATCTTTTCAATGATCTTGTTCAAATTTGAAGAAATCAGTTTATTTTCATTTAATTCTGCTGAATGACTGGATCTCTTCATTGATGGGTTTAAATGTGTAGTGAAACACTAATCTCCATAACTCTAATTGAAAATATAGTAAAATATGCTCACTAGTGACTAGCTTCATGAGGAAATTCTCGGAGTTCTAGTTGAGAAGACGTGACCAGTTGAGTTCAACCCTGTCGGGTGTAGACAGTAACTACCAGAGACAAATAGGTGAGGTCACGCAAAATCCCTAGATCTATCAGAGTTAGACATTAACACCGTTAGATGCCGGCCCAGTGGTCCAGAGGTTTGGCGTTCTAACGAAGGTCCAGGGTTCAAATCCTGCGAGGTGTAGGAGTCGTGCACGCGCACTGTCGATAAGTCCCATACCAGGACGAAACGGCCGTCCAGTGCTTCCAGGTTTATAATAGCGGTGGTCTAACAATGATTGACTGATGATTTCAAATATGTAAAAACACAAATCTCCAAAACTCTAACTGAAAAAAATCTGTAATTAAACGTGAACAAATTTAGCAGATTAAGTTCAACAACAAAATATCGAAAATGATCGCAGAATCTTGACAACGTAATAAATAAAGTACTCATTTGTGAATGATTCACAATCGAAAGAATCTCAAATCATCACTTAGTTGATTGAAATATTCTCTATTTAAATCATTTAGTATGAATACTCTTAAAGATCTAAGAAATACGGTATATAAAATTTGGGACCGAAAACAGATTAGTTGTTAGCTATGTGAATGCGGATAATGTTACTATATTCAGAAATAAAAACTTTAGAGTCAATTTTATAACCATTTTGTTACTCTAAATATAGACTCCTATCTTTAATTCAATATCGTTGATTCAATAAATGGTACTTTTTTCCAATACTAGAAATAACATAATTTATTGAATGAGTTAAATATGAGTCACAATACATTGATTATTTGATTACTTCACTACTTTTATTTAGCATAGGTTGAGATTGACTTTATACTGCTTTAACATATTCGATATTCACATTGTTTATTTCATTTCTCACGAGTTGAACCTTTACGTATAACACATTTGTACACAAGATGAATTCTAGAGATAATATGTGATCAGTTTTATATCAGATAACTATTTAGTAATTGTGACAATAAACTATCATTACACGACTAATCTAGTATCGTTTCACTTTCCAAATATCCATTATTTACAATACTATACTACTATATATTTATTTGAACAGAGCAATAAATTTTGACAGTACCATTGATTTATGAAATTCAGTACATTAAAACGTTTAGTTTCAACATTCAATATTTGACAAATGATCAGACTATTATTTATAATCACAGAATCTATTTTTTTTTTACTAGATAACAAAATAGGAATAAACGTTGAATATGAAAATTTTCTTTTTGATATCATTTGAAAATACTTTTTATTACTATTTTGAATTCTGGAAATACTGACTTTGTTTAAAATGCCTATTCATGACATGATTCTACACTTTGTAGTCATATTCTTCAAATTTTGTAAAAACACTCCACTTTTTTTTCATTCAAACAATTTCAATAAAAAAGCGAATTATTTTATTTTTTTTATGAAAAGTTGTATTTGTTTCCACAATCTGCAACAATTGGTTGTCTATGAGCTAGGAATTATGAGATAACTAGTATTCAACTAATGTTTACCATTGGCAATTGAATGGTCACGTGATTAAGGAGCAGTAGCTACTTTATGAATACGCATATAGTTCTGTAATAGACCAAAAAGAACAAATTATTTATTGATTGCTTATGTACACAGTTAACCTTAGAACACTTGTAAATAATTGCTCCTATTTTACAAACTATCTATGGTAATTTTTTTAATTATATCAGTTCACATAGTTGTTTGATAATATATAAATTAAGCTCGTTAGTTGAACAGAAAAATATCTCAGTTGACGGATACCATGCCTCATAATAACATTAGTATAACCCTGTATGAAGATTAAATGTTAGAGGAACTGTTTTTAAAACAATAAATGTCATTCTGTTTGAGTAACTTTAATCAGCTATTGCTATGGATAATTAGGACTATTACAATTTGTATCGGCAATGATTGAACTGACAAAGACAAAGAATAACGGTTAGTTGACTAGGATTTATAAACTCCTCCTAGAGCTGTTCTAGGGTTGCTGCCGGTCCCAAACCCGGATAGAGGAGGAGGGTTAGACATGGGGTTAGCGTCCCCAACCCGTAGAAATCCAACTCTCCAAAAAAAACTAACCAGGAAAAATAACTTTCTGGTCGGCAGCTTATGCTTCATTAGAGGTAACAGGCATTAGTAAGTAATTAGTTAAGACTAGAATTTATTAGATGTCAACAACGGATCAAAACTATGTCTAAGCATTCTGATATATATTTCTATTCACATCAACTGGTAGTCACATTTTAAATAAATTTATCTTAGTCACAAATGATATTGGTTAATCATTAGTTTCCCATATGAAAAAATTTAAAAAATAATGTAATATCAAAATTCTATCATCAATAAACATTAACAATCTTTTGAGTTATATAACTTTACCTTTCTAAGAACCTAATAAACAATTTGTTTCAAATTAACCAGTAAGTTAGTTCAGTGTTCAGGTTCAAATAAGATTCATTTTTATAATTACTCCACTATGGTACTGAATTTTATTAAGTAGTTAAAATTAATACATTCAGAGCTATTTAAATGTCACAATATTTGTCAACCCTTTTTTGATTTGAAAGCGATCATAAAAGCTGACTCCGAATGGAAATGCTTGGTATTAGGATTTTGACTCTGCATTGTGATGCATGAAATTATAAAACTTCCAACAGAATTTATTTGTTTGAACACAACCTGTATGCCGATTATCACAAAATGTCAATTTTTAAATGTAAGTCCCTATGAACTTGTATGTGGTGGTCGAGTTTTGTTTTATGAGCTAGGTGTTTTATTTGCGGAGCATTCATTATTCTTCTCAAAAACATCATCAACATAAACTTTGGAGAGAAGTGAAGTATTCCAATTTCTCCACATATGACCTATAGCTTGTTCTCGTAACCTCGATATTGACTGGCTATTATTGAACTTAAACCTCTCTTTGTTTGCACCTTCATTTTGATTGAACAGTGCATCGTTTATATAAACATCAGTTGGCAGTCAAACACAATGACATTTCTCCATTTATATCAGTACATACGGACAACCATGGACATACATTCGACTGGAACAATGTGGAAATACTGGACAGGAGGAGCACAAAGAACCCTAGAGAATTTTTGGAAGATTAGAACTCAGGTCAGTAAGCAGTCAACAAACACATCGACATTGACCAAATTTACCAAACAGTCAGAAAAATCATAGATGATAAAGGATCAAGAAACAGATCAAAAAGAGGATAAAGTCCAAATAAAGGTGCAAACAACGACAGGTTTTTGGTCAATATCCACCAGTCAAGATCGCCGTTAAAAGAATAAGGTATGGGTTATACATGGAGTGATTTAAATACTCGGAAGAACAATGAAAGCCCTACAACTAAAACATTCAACTCAGAGAACGAAACTCTACAATAACCATTTACCTTCGCAACAAATTTTCCCCAACATCTCTCAAATTGTATGTAGACAGTCAAAAACAACAACTAAGACATAATTTTAGTAAATTCATCAAGAAAAAATGGGTTTTGGCTAGCTGGGCAACATTGAACCAACGTTTAGTCAAACTCATCAGTTGATGTTGACATCAGGACTCCCAGTATCAAATGCTGTATTCACTGAATCACATAATTGTTCAAAGAGTAAGATATTTATATTATTATTAGTAGGAATTTTAGTTATTTCCTTGTTGGTAGTCTTTGATGAATTTTAACTAGTCTTTGTTAGTAACATCACTTCAATGCCAAACACTTCTTAATATAATTTTTTATTAATAGAGTGCATTAAGTTAGATTCAATAAAATTCCAAAATCTTTTCTGTTTGACATCATCCAGAAAATACAAGTATTCATTTATAGTTGTCGACGCAAAATACTTCCGATTCGTCGGCTACACACTATCACCAACAACCTACTATGGATAGAACAAACCAGATTGAAGTGTAGGAAGAAATCAAGAAGCTCTTTACATAAATAGGACACACATTGAGGAAAGCACCCAACTGCGTCCAGATTGGCTATGATCACCACTAAATACTAATTACTAGCCCGTCAAGTTATTAAAAGTAAATCTAGGGTAAAGAGTATATTTGAAGGAGAAATTGGGTGAAATAACGAGCAACAAGTTATGAATGATGAAAGCAACGCAGAAACAGAAAGTTGTGCATGCGTAAGTGTTTTTAGTACAGTTAAACAGAAGGAGTATAATAATAAATGTTTCCATTTCACCAATTGCGTTTTCTTCGAAGAAGTTTTCCACTACACCCTCAAGGTCAAAAGAGGGAAGGAAGACCGAAAAAAAACACATTACCCCGAGA